CAGGTGATGCGAAAGCAGGTGTTGCGAAAGCAGGTGTTGCGAAAGCAGGTGTTGCGCAGGTGAAGAGGCAACAGCGAAAGCTGGAATGAACGCGATAAAGGAAGGGGGAAACGCGAGAGGGATGCGCTCTTTTATAATGGGCGGAACTTCTGGTCTGACGTGTCATTGGTGTCTACTCTCCACCAATAGAAACGTGGCACAGTACTTATATTAGGTACTTGTACAATCCACCCACCCACCAATAGGAACGTGGCACCGTACAAGGTAATTGTACAATCCACCCACTCTCCACCAATAGGAACGTGGCACAGTTAAAGGTAATTGTACAACCCACCCACTCTCCACCAATAGGAACGTGGCACCGTACAAGGTAATTGTACAATCCACCCACTCTCCACCAATAGGAACGTGGCACAGTACAAGGTAGTTGTACAACCCATCCCGCTTAGGTAATTGTACAATCCATCCATTCCCCACTAATAGGAACGTGGCACAGTACCTTAGGTACAACATGTGCAGATTAGTAGAGAGTATCACGTGAGTCATGTGGTGGTCTAGAATGGACATCCCAACTGGGTATAGATTGGCAGACCATCACGTGATTCACGTGATACTCTCAACTAATCTGCACTTGATAGACGACTCAAGAAATAATGAGCAAATACGGCTACGGGAGCACTTTTATAAATACTATATTACGCATATATCCCGATATAAAGCCTTTTATTTTCACTCTGTATTTTAAGCTACTGCAAGATTCAACTACTTAGAGCCAATAAACATCACCATTTGCACATTGGGCATCTTGAAATACAGCAGGACAAAAATAATGGGGAGAAAGGCTGGGAATCCTTTTGATAAATAGCCAGGATTGGAGCATAAATACCACCGCCCTTGGTAATTGCTATTCAGTTAATGGCCATAAGGGGACAGTACTTTGGAATTCAGATAGAGCAACAGAAAATGGGCCAGCGATTTGCGATGCAAGGTCATGGTCATGTGACAGTTATTCATGCAACAGATCACGGGTTTTCTATTGTATTATAAGATACATCCAAAGAGTGCCATAGTTGGCGATACCAGCTACCACATCACCAGCACACTCATTTATCTATAAACAATAATGATAAATTTCTAAAATGGAGCAACTAAAATCGAGGAATAAATAGATAAAGAAACAGCATTGATGCCTAAGGTAAATAAAGGAAAGAAACGGAATAAATATAATTGTTCATAGCAAGGTGGTCACTTAATAATTAGTTCAAGTAATTATACTAGCATGCTGAACCCTCCATTGTATCTTCTTTAGTAGGAATACCCAAAACATCTTTTTGTCCCGAAATTCTCAATTTACCCATTTTAACAATTTTAACCATTTGTTATGTGTGCTGTTGGCAACTAGCAACATGTATTTCCATAAGGTCTAGTCTGTAATGGCTAATAGCTACCAAACTCGAGGGTATGAACATAGCGCTGGTCTTGTTTGTTCGGAGACATTGATGTCTGTTTCATCATGCAGGAGGCATTGCATGCCATATGTAGACAAGCTGCTATTGATGTGCACAAGTGACTGAATGAGTTGCAGTGGGTCATCGTCCTCCTTTCTTTCGCGGGTGCGTGGATCGGGATCACCATTTTCCATGTTACGCCTGCATTGGCGCTGGATGCTAGCGTCACATACCGGGCACCAGAAATAAGTGCATTTAGCAAATTGCAAGCAAGTATCCTTTCATTCATCAGTAAATCGGAAACACATTCTATATACTTGTAGTCTCTCAACGGCCCAGGTATCCAATTACCTACCTCAAAAATGTCAAGCGCATCCAGCGCACGTTTACCTATACACTCGTTATTCTACGCCTGAATGCATATGCATTGCTTAGCTTTTCTCAAACCTACGTCCATCATCGTAATTAATTTATCATCGTCCACTCCACTCAAACAAAGCCAACCAAATTATACATCCAGACTCTGCATCCCAACCAACTCCTTATAAACACCCCCTAACGCCACCAATTCCGAATGCGTTCCAACTTCAACAACCGCACCAGAGTCCATAACCACAATCTTGTCAGCATTTTGAATCGTACTCAGACGGTGCGCAACGACAATTGCGGTCCGACCATGCATGACCCGATCCAGAGCTTCTTGAACCAATTTCTCAGAATGCGAGTCCAAAGCAGAGGTCGCTTCATCCAAGAGGAGGATACGGGGGTTTCGGATCAATGCACGCGCAATAGCGATACGTTGGCGCTGTCCACCAGAGAGTTGAGTTGCTTTGCTTCCAACGCGCGTGTCATACCCAAGTGGGAGAGCAGACACGAATTCGTGGACGTTGGCTTTCTCTGCGGCGGAAAGAAGGACTTCGTCGGAGACGGGCCCGGAGCCGTACGTGATATTGTCGCGGATGGACGTGTCAAAGAGAATGGGTTCTTGTCCCACATAGCCAATCTGAACAGTATCATGAATAAGCAAACTGATGAGAGGAAAATGGAAAATGAGATAAGGCATTACGCACCTGTTGGCGCCAGGACGGGAGATCCAAAGAGGCAAGCGGGTGCCCATCAACCAAAATATCGCCGTGAAGGGGATCGTAGAACCGTTCAAGTAGTCCAACAATTGTACTCTTTCCACTCCCACTCCCACCTACAAGCGCCACCGTCGTTCCAGGTTCAATGTCCAGATCTAGGCCTCGCAGGACCATTTGAGTTGGGCGTGTTGGGTAGGCGAACCAAACATTGCGCAAGGAGATGTGATAAGATGGCAGCGAGGTGGGGGATGTGCCGGGGAGAGAAGCGTCAATGCGCGGGTGGCGGTCTAGGACGGAGAAAAGGTCTCGCGCAGAGTGTTTAGCTTTCGCAATATCAGGTGCAAAGCCGCTCGCACTAAAAAGTGGAAAGTGAGTGTCAAGCCGGGGGATGTGCACTCGGAGAAAGGAGAGAGTTACCGTCCACTCGCCATGGATCCAAAAACGGTAGCAATCATCACTGTAAACATTTGTCGCATATCAATCTCCCGCTTCGCAAACAATGTCCCCCCGTACCAAAATGCCAAAGCATTCGCCAAAAACCCTAACCCATTCGAAGCCGCATACCCCAACCCTGTGACATATGCCTGTCGATGGGCAGCAGCAATCGGTTCCGCAAGAGCGTCATTGTATTTGTCCAAAAATGTGGTTTCGCGACCAAGGGATTGAACCGTGCCGTGGTGTTGCATGGCTTGGATGGCGACATGGGCGGCCTTTTGGTGGGCTTTTTTGGTCTTTGTGCCAAAGCCTTTCAAAGACGCCATTTGCATCATGCCTAATGGAATAACAAAAATATGAGTGACAATGAACTTTCAGCACAAAAGAAAAGTAACACACCAGCAAAGATCAATAACGGAATACAGGTCATCGTCACGACTGTGACCTTCCAGCTTGTCACAAAAGCAACAACCAGCCCTCCAAAGATATTCACAAACAACTGCACCAAAGTCCCCATGACCGAGCCGACAAGGACATTAACCCGGGCCGTGTCAGATGCGATACGACTCACAAGCACTCCTGTCCGATTTTCCTCTCGATCAAACCATCCTGGCTCTTGTTTGAGCATCGCAGCAAATGTCATGGAGCGTAGACGAGAGGTAACACGTTCGCCAGTACATCCAAAGAGTGCGTGCACGCCATAGTTGGCGATGCCAGCTACCACGGCAATAACCAAGAACCCGGCTGCCCAGTGGTTGGCTTGTCGACGCATTTCGGACAAGTCGGTGAGGGTAAAGACTTGTAAAATATAGCCGTAGAGAACGGCGTATGTCGGGAAGATGGCGCCTCCTAGAATGGCACAAATGACTCCGGCGGTCACCAGTGAGAGCTCGGGACGGTGTAGGGCGAGGATACGGCTGTAAAAAGCCTTGGTGTGGGGTGACACTTCTGAAATGGCTATAGAACCCTTTTCAAGGTCGGGTTCGTCATTTCGGGTGGGTTCTGATTCGACCTGATCGTCACTTTCAATGTTAGGATAGTCGACCGGGACTTTTTTGTCGTCGTCCTCTTGCGCATCCATCGCTACTTGCTGCATATCCACCAACCGCTTATACACCCCATTCCGCTCCACGAGCATTCGATGATTGCCTTCCTCGATAATGTGACCCTTGTTCATGACGATAATGGTATCGGCATTTCGAATGGTACTCAGCCGATGCGCGACAACCACTGTCGTTCTCCCAATAGAGGCGCGTTCGAGCGCGTCTTGGACGAGCTTTTCACTTGTACTGTCTAGAGCGCTTGTGGCTTCATCTAGGAGGAGGATCTTTGGGTTGCGGATCAAGGCCCGCGCTATTGCAATGCGCTGTTTTTGCCCACCGCTCAGGAGGGCCCCACGTTCGCCTACAAGGGTATTGTACCCATCCGGGAGCTTTTCGATGAATGTGTGTGCGTTGGCCATTTTGCATGCTTGGATAATATCCTCCTCGCTGGGTGTTGTGTCGGCTGGAGCCCCCAGGGCAACGTTTTCAGAGATGGTAAGGTCGAAAAGGACAGGCTCTTGAGAGACGAATCCGATCTGTTGGCGCCACCATGTCATGTCCAGGTCTCGGAGCTCATGGCCGTCGACAGATACTTTGCCGGCTAAAGGTTCATACCATCGCTCGAGGAGCGCAACAATGGTCGACTTTCCACTTCCTATACATGAATGTTACGGTACTGTTATTTCGGAAAAATGGGATACATAGCTTCACTTACCACTCTGGCCAACAAGGGCCACCGTCTTGCCCGGCTCTACTTGAAACGAGACGTCATCCAGCACTACCACGTCAGGTCGCGACGGATACTTGAACTGAACACCTTCAAACGACAGACGCCCGACGATGGTACCCGGTCGGAGAGGCTCTGCTGTCGGATCGCGCGGTCTGGCAATATCGGGTTCGCGATCAATCAAGTGGAAGATGGCGTATGCGGCAGAACATGCATTGCCGAATGCCGCAATTTCGGGTGCAATGCTGCCTGTTTGAAATAAACACTGTAAGTCGCTGTATAGGGGCGCTGACAAGACCACTATGCTAGGCCCCACACGCACTCATTCTCATAGTTCCAATCACCAAGGCAAAGTACACCGCAACAAGGCGACCTGGTGTGAGCTCTCCACCAACAATCAAAAAACTCCCGTAAAAAAAGGCAATAGAGTAGGCAAGGTACATGCACAGTTGGACACCTCCTGTGCCTAGGCCTTGTGCTTTTGCTTTGCGAGAGCCAAGGTGCTCAGCCGTTTCGAGACGTTCTGTAAAGTCGCCCACGGCGCGCTGTTCTGCGCCAAGGGACATGACAGTGCGAATGGATGATAACGCTTCTTCCACAACGTTATTTGCCTATTGGAATGGATGCGTTGGTGAGCGACAGTGTCCATACCGCATGTCCCTCTCACTCATCCCTCCCTCTCATTCGCTCCACCTAAAACTCTCGCCACACTAACAACGCTCGCTATCCCTCCGAAAGTTTTCTTGTCTCACGATTGCGAGACGCACTATGCTATGTGTACTCACCTCCGCATACGCTTTCAGGGCTCCAATACCATACCTCGCAGCCATCCGATTACATATAACATTACATGCCCCCATTAAGGGAAACAATCCACACAGGACCAAGGTAACCCTCCAACTCTGCACAAAAGCAATCACGAGAGCCGCAATCAATGTACAGAAAGCCTGCACAAACATGCCGACTTTTTCCCCGATCCCGTTCTGGATAAGGTCCATATCAGAGGTGAGGCGGGATGAGAGTTCGCCTGCATTATGGGTATCGAAAAAGGAGCGGGATTGGCGGAGGATGGCGGTGAGGTATAGCGTGCGGATGAGATTTGTTTGGCGGTTGGAAGAAAGATCCCAGCATAACTAAGTGCGAAAATCGGGTGAGTAAAGAGTACAATCCATAAAGCCATGCAGTCCCTCACTGAGGGACGTTCCATCCATTCCACTCAAGAGGTATTACCATAGACACAAACGAGAAATAGATATTCAAGTCATGTATGTATTGGCAAAAGCCAATAGCTCAATATATACATTACTTGTCATGATGTTGGATGCCGCACTGTCGGCACTGTGTACCCTTGCATATGTAGTTTATCCCTTCTAATTCTATTATATAATGCAAGCTCGCATAAACCCATTGGTATTCCTTGTCCATTGTATCTCTATCTCTGAGCTCTGTGAACCCTTTCTCTGTCAATCTTTGGCTAGCGCTAGGAGAGTAGATACATACCATTTGGAGATAACTTGTGATAAACATGCCAACAGCCAGGTAGACAAAGTACAAGACATGTGTTTCCAAGACTCCTTCAAAGACGTCTCTCTGGGTGACACCTCTCTGATACTCTGTAAATGCATCTACGAGACCCGCAAAGATGAGCGTCATTAATGGTCGTGTGCACCCAGCGACTCCAGCTGAGAGGGAGCCCAACGCCATAAGCAGCAAGGGCTTATAGTCTGCATGCCGATAGAGTTGATGGTAGGAGATGCGACCGACGAGCCCGTCCTTTTCCACCTCCACCATGTCTACAATAACCTCCAAAATAAAACGAGTTTTGGAGGAGAGTCCTTGGAATTCATCCGAAAGTTATAAACGAAATCTGAAGACCGTGGGCGACCGTGGATTTGAAATTGTTCTTTATTACGTAATCTGATCGGAATCTTCCAAAGTGTGATATTTGGCCAGATGCATGTGGGACAAGTAGAAAGGATCAGCGGTTGAAGGGTAGAAGGAAGCTGGAAGCAATGCAATCCATACGCATGGAAATGTTTCTCGTTGGAGACGGACTGAACAGCGTCAAATGGAAAGTCATGCATATCCAGCTGATTGTGTTTTCAGCGTTTGTCTCAGTACCAGCAACAAAGGCTGTGAACACCACTGAGGGGGGACCGCCCAACCAACCCAACCAAAGCTGCTGTGGACACTCGTCGACCAAAACGAGAACACACGATGTCGTGCTGCCGATTTGAGAAAGCGTAAACGAACCATGTAGTGGGTCCAGAAGAGTTTTGTCAGATTTCAAAATACCAGTATATTCCTATTACTTTTGTCAGGTCTCAAAATACAAGTGCCTTCGCATATACAGGGAAGCTATATCTACAATGTGACTATTTACAGATGCCAACTCACATGCTAGCCCTGACTGGCAATCTCCCATCGGATGGACGTGAAACCGCTCTTAAAGTCCGTCCTTCTCACCGCCACTACGACATTCTCTGGTACAATTCCGCGGGCAAGTGATCTAGCCACCGCCAAGATATACAGAGCATTCTCAACTTTACGCTCAGCGATCAGTGCTTGGTCAAGAGAAGGTGGAAAGGGAAAAGATGTCGCATGCAGGTTACTACGAATAACAAAAGCCTCTGCTTCAGCTTCGGTATACTGGGTTATACAGCTGCTGATCTGTCGAGTAAAGTAGTTTTGACAGCGTGGCGGAACGGGACTGACGGGCGTCAATATCGTCGTTCCCAATGGTGGCAAGTAGGTTTCGAAAAGGAAAGAAGGATCTGAATGATCCACTATCTGTAGAATAACGAACCAGGTTATGAGCTAGCCTTCTCCTACAATTCAATAATCTTTTGACTTACCCAGCCTGACCCACCGTTTGCTTTCCAGTCATTGACGGCTCTGGCCCGGGATCCACCTGCAGCAGTTCGCATCCAATCCATCAAGCCCATCTTGATCGTTGCCTTGAATTTTGGCGTATAAAGAAGCACTTTGAATGAAATCCTTTTAACATGGTTATTTAGGTTTTTTTTAGTAGAAGGGCAAAGTGTATCATCTGTTCATCTGTTTCACGAGGATGACCTCATTACTTGAATTTAACCAGTTGAGATATTCGAATCACGCTTATTGCGGTTATTGCTTCGCACACCTGATTAATTCCATGCAATTCAATTGAACACTAAATCCGGTTGCATTCAATTGAAGTGAGGAAATTCAAAACCCTTCCCTCAACAGAGTTTAAGTTTCCTTTGCTTGAGAGTTTCATCCCATAAAATGACATGGATGTTCCACGCAATAATCTTGCAGGAATTCCAATATTTCTCCAATAAGCAGCTCGCATTGTTTAGACTGCGAGTAGGGTTAGGCCTAATCGGTAAAAGGAGGGAACTTATCTGAAGCAATGAACTAAGGAAGCATTGACCCGGCGTCTTGTTAACATGCACAGTCATAGATACTCGTTTTGGGCCTCATGTGTAGACCAAGCCAAACATTTAATGTATTCTTCTTGCTAATGCGAATGCGGATTTGATGCAGCCAGGTCCTATTAACGATTCCGTGCGTATGCTGTATTGCCTATACACAACCCATTGCCGCCTCTTGAAACTCACAATGCTGGCGATAGAACTGGGGCGACGAGGGAAAAATTTCTTAAGAAATCCAGAAAGCGACCCATACATCTATCGTTCTATTCCTCACTATTTAAAACTATCGTCGTTGTATCTTTGACATCAACTCGCGCACTGCTCGAATGTACATCCACGAGAACGTGGCGTGATATACGGGGACTGTCCACGTAAAGTGCCTTATAATTCGATACGGATACGAATAGATGTTGTTTGGGTCGTTAAGGAGAAATTCGGTTAATATGTGTACTAATGATCCGCCCAGACTGAGAAAGGCCGCAATGAACATGCCCTTGCCAGTCGTCCGTAATAAGGCAAGCACTTCTTGGGATGATCCCTTTGAGGGCGCCAATGGCTCCTTGGAAGGCGTCTGACTGAACTGCTTTCTCGTAGAGTCTAGTGTTGTAGATGGCCCCATGCTAGCGGAGGTGCCCATACTAATTTCAAGATCAGCATCCGTCTTAGGAATTCTGCCCCGAATGTCTTGCTTGATTCCTCCGGCTACCTTGTTCAGTGTTCGGAACAAGTAGATGGACACACCCAAATCGATCGCCTGAGCACAAGAATGCCAACTGAAGGACAAGACAACGCCTTTAGAGTCCCTGTAGGTTGCCAACCAGTTCGGTACGTGTGGGGCAAAGAAAGCCGCAATAGTGTTCGATGTTGCAACGAGGAACCCTGTGCAAAACCATATACCCACAGGAAGCCATTCCATATTCCTGATCCACCATTTCTGTGCAGTCAAGGACGTTTCCACTCTCTGGATTGCCGCCCACACCAGTTGGAATCTTCGTAGGATAAACCAGATATAGAACACTGATGAAAGGTACCATGACCAATCGTAAAACACCATAACAATCCAATGCGTGCGCATTCCCTCCTCATCCATCATAAAACAAACAGCCACGGTGAACAGGGAATAGAGCCATATTCCCACAATACAAAATAAATATACATAATCAAAGTAGGTTTTCGTGGTTTGCGTTCGACGTAGGAAAGGTTGCAAAGGCAGAAAGAGGTTCCAGGTTGCAACCAGCACCGCGACCGCCGATATGCACACCATGATAATCTCTAGACTGCGTGGCGGAGGTGGTACATTGTCGGGCAGTTCGGCAGCCATGATGAGTGTATAATAGAATGTAGCAAACGGAGGTGCTTATGAAGTTCTCGCTCGACTGTCTGATTCCTCCTTTTAATGTCTCCTGCATTATCTATGGGGCATTGCCCCACAGCAAAACAACTCTAAACATCTCATCACACACCAGAGCTACAAGACAATGGGAGACAGCAAAGCATAATCTAAACATAAGCATAAAAATCTAAAAATAGGACGGAATCGAGGGCAATGAAAGCTCGGCGATCAAGCCTGGTACTTGGACACCGCGCATAGCGACGCCTTGGCTGTGACGCAGATTAATATCACGTGTTTTATTGTCGGGCAGCAGCGACCAGATCAGGGTTTTGCTACAAGGGTTACTTGATGCCAGTATAGCGATGCTCTGGGGACGCACCCCAGTTCGTGCAAAACCATGCTGTCATGCAGGACGGCAGACATCTCGCACCCTTGCTTCCGCTTCCAATGGCCACTCTGGCGATCCATGGAAGTCGTTTCTGGATTGGTTCATGGAGTCGTCTACCGCACCACACCACAGGCACCAACCAAGACGCCGTTGCGCTTCAACGGGTAAGCAATTTCAAGGAAAAGGAACAGGGCAGTGGACGTTACGTCCACTTGAACATCCGTCTTTGCGAGCTGCAATGCCGGAACCTTCAGCCAAGTTCACAGGATCTCCAAGAACTCGTGACCAGATAGCTACGACCGAAAGCGATATTGCAGATTGCGGAGCTAGACGGCTTCGAGGAAACATCCCATCTAGAAGATTCCCAGTAAATACCTCCCTCACCCATTATAAGGAAGTTCTCAATCGTCTTCACGTTCATCACCACCGCCGGGGACATCTTAACCAACCCGCCCAAGGCCGCGCCATCCACTTCACTTCAGCCATGAAATCTTCGGCTGATCCGATTGAGCAACTTGAGTCTGCTTTGGAACAAGGTGTAGATGCAGAGCGTATCCTGTTGTCTGACCAGTTGGACGATGGCACATCAGGCGAACCGATTCAAAAGGAATGCAACCCCCCGGCCACTGTGGCAGAACTATTGCGACTCTTGTCTGAACTGGAGCTACAAATCAAAGCAGATGATGGATGTATCACGCCTGACGCACACTACTTGACCTCTCGTGTTTGGAAAGCGTTCAAGAACCTGGCTGAAACCATACCACACGAGCTCAAGGCGTTGCGAAACCATGATTTCACGGTCCTCTTTGAAATAGTGAAACGGTCGCGCGTGCCTTGTGAAGAACGAGTAAATCGAGTTATGCTTGTTATGAATACACTGCAAGAATGCGGACGTCCGGCATCTCTTCGTGGTTATGAGGCATTAATGTCTGCACATATTGGTGAAGCTGGTGCCTCAGACATCTGTACGAAGATTTTGCAAGGAGCGATAGAAAATGGGATTACTCCACGGACTGAAACATATAATATCCTTCTTCGTGCGCGGATCGTGGAATATGGTGTGGATGCTGCTAGGACGTGGTTGGCGGAACATGTGGAAGGCAAAGCACAAGTGCGTTCGACGAAAGAGTCAGAGTCTTTTCCTTTTGCGGCTACAGTCAGCACCTTCAATGCTATTATCCATGGTTATATCCAGGCGGGCGACATTCGCCGCGCCTTGCAGTGTGTGAAGGAGATGGAGGAGAAAGTGTTACCCCCGAACTTTATAACTTGGACGATGCTAATCTTTGGGTATAGCAAGTGCGGCGACCGATCTGCGGTCATTAGAACCTTTCGCAACATGATTGCGGCAAATGTACGTCCCTCAAGAGTGACATACGAAACCATAATATTCGCATTATTGGGAGGTGGGCGAGTTAAGAGGGATTTCCTGCAACAAGACTCACGAGAGCGTACTACATACCCGGTCAGTGGAGACCAAAAGGCAGGCGACGAGGAAAAGAATGCGATGGGGGAGGCAATGGAGGTGTATGAGGATATGATTGCTGCAGGCTTCAAGCCAGGAGTGATGTTATACAATATTTTCATGACCGCTTACCTCAATCGAAAAGAGTTACCTCGTGTCAAGCAATTATTTGACGAAATGCTCAAGAGAGGCCTATACCCCGATGTGGCGACTTACACTATTGCGATATCCGCGTGTAGTGCGGCGAACGACATATCGGCAGTAGACGAAGTTTTTGCCCATTTACGTCAGAGTGAGATAGAACCCGACATTATTCTTTATGGGACCGTTATGGCAGCGCATGCGCAGAAGGGAAACCTCGTCAAAGTGCGCACGTATCTAGAGGATATGGTGAATGCCGGATGGAAGCCTAATTATTATATTTGGCACATCCTCCTACACGCTTACTGCCAGTCGCGCGATATGAGTGGAGCTCATAAAATCGTTGAAGAAATGCAACGATCTGGTTTCCCAGCCACGGAAATTACATACAACACCCTGATCAATGGATACGGTCATGTAGGCAATATTGAAACTGCTGAGGAAGTCTTTCGATCATTCGTTAGTAAGAAGATTAAGATCTCTGTGGAGACGTTCAACATTATGATCAATGCTTTAGCCCGAAACCAAGATCGAGAAGGTGCCATGAGGATTTACGCGGAAATGATTGATCGCGGCCTACAACCAGATCGGATTACGTTTAATATCCTAATTAAACTTGAGTCGAATCGATTGGATGCTATCGGAGCTAGCGACCGATACCGGGAAATGCTTTCTGCGGGTCTGGAACCTGATGAACGCACATACATTCCAATGATCAATCTCCATGCGCGCCGTTCCGATTTCGACCGTGCCCGAAGTATTCAGCGTCATCTGCTCTCCCTTGGTCACCTCACACCCACATTCCAATCGCATAATGCTTTCATCGAAGCTTATTGGAAACAGGGGAGCGCCTCGGATGCCGTAAAGGAGTATGAATTCGCAACAGAAGTTAAGCAGATGACACCCGATATCCGAACGTTTGACATGTTGGTACGTGCTTTTGGATACAAGGGAGATGTGGGAAGCGCACGACAATGGTTTGACAAGTGCATCGACGTGGGCATCCAACCCGATACACGACTGTGGAATGCCTTAATGTCTGGATACGTGACGATAGGGGACCGAGATGCTGCCTTTGCGGTTTGGAAGGAAATGGAAAAGGCGGGGGCCAAGGCAGATATTTTCACATATACTTTGATGTTGAAAGCCGGAGTAAAGCAAAGTGAAGGACAGCAAAAGGAACAACCTCAGGACGATCGGCATGCGGCCACATCCGGACATTCTCGGGATGGACGGACACGCACGAGAGAACGGGTCACAAAACCAACTGAACGGCGTCATAGTCGGTTACGTGCGTGGATAAATGTGGGTTTGGACGAGAAGACACATCCAGTAGAGAATAAAACCTCCAATCTCGATGAACAGCAGGATGGAGCAGCGCATCCAGATACCCTACGACCTGAGGATGATACGTCGGACCATGGTGTGCGAGTTACATCTGATATCGGAAAGGATCACGAATCAGCCATTATGTCCGACAATGAACTACTTGATCTTGCTACCGAAGAAATCGAAGACTCTGGCGCGGGGACACCTTCAGTAAATGACATTGAAAACACTGGAAGAGAGCTTTCAGCGAAGGTTCAACAAGCGGTAGGGTAAGAGGCAGAAGATCACACACAAGCGACACTACGGGCTCGATATGTGATGGATAGGGTGGATGGAACCATGAACCTTATTTATGCACTGTTGATAATATAAAAGTACCTCACTGGGGTCAAATCGAACAAACTCTTGGATCTTTTATAGTGCTGAAATTCAGTTTTATCATGCATAAATTCTTGTACTTTTAGCCAATAACGCATAGATTCCCAGGGCGACTAGTTGCGGGTTATTAACCAGTCTTGCCATGTCTAAGTCGTTTCGCAGCAGACTGATATTCCCCAATCAGAGGCGCCCGTCCTCTCAATCTCCAAAGAAACAAGTTTAGGACAATCTCTTTAATATATTAGATGACTGTACGTGATAGAAGCAAGTGGGCAGCATTCACACTAGTTGGCCATTGAAAAGAAACAGGCAATTTATCGCATCAGTTCGTGAATAATTTAGCTATTACCCAGGAAAAGGCCAATCTCTGGCATGTAACTCAACCAAACCCCCTCCCACAATGCTCACTGATTTATCTTCCATTCCTTGATTTCAATTGCCGTATATTTCATGATACTTGACAGCGCATTTGAACACTGACAAAAAGCCACAATGCGTCTGAGTCATCAGCCAATGACCTCAATTTAATGGGCGGCAATACAAGCGTGCCCTTTAGACATTTCACAGATTGACACCTCAATGTCTGCCTCGGCCGAATATCAGCACTTTGTAGGAAAGCACCTCGTCCAACCCCCCAATACAGTTGAAGCGGTACTCGCTTCAGGCATTCCACAACAACAGGTAGTTTTCCCTGTGCTCTTCTGTGAAACACACATGTGTTGTTACGCATTGACACCAATTTCAGGTCGTGACATTGGACGACCTCCCAAAACCCAACCGTGTCCTTGCCCAGGGCGGAATGCGGACAATGGATTTTAGACCTGAAAGAGTCAATGTGGAGGTGGATAAAAGAAATGTCATCTCGCGCGTATTTTTAGGCTGAGGGCATTAGTCCGAAGTATATGATAGCAGATAAAATTAGTTCAAGGAGGAGAGGCAACAGAGGCAAGTACGGCAGCTACAAGTGAACAAGTGTTATTTCTTCAAAAAAGGTTGTGCCAATAGACCATACCCATAAGGCCAAACTAGATACACCCATACTAAGGTTGTGCCACATGCTTTCATCTCTTGTTCCAGTCGGCAAAACGGTAATCAAGCGTCAATGCAATTGACCATTCTTAACCTCCACTTAATCATCGAGGGCAGGCACCTAACAAGAATCGTATAACTCACTCAGCACACACATACTTGCCCGAAACAGGTGCAAAAAGAAAGCATACCTTCACAATGGGCACATACTCTGGTTCCCACATGGCTTTCCGTACCATCTCTTCAACATGATTCTTTTCATCCAGCTTCCTTGCAACACCGTCCCGTCTCGCCTCTTCTGCAACAGCGCACGCAACCCTCATCGACACTGCCCGCGACTCGTCAATGCCAGGTAGTAACCCATCCTCCCTACGCTCAGGGGCATGTTCTGCAATCGCCTTGGCAGCAGCAATGAGCATGGCATCGGACAACCGCGTTGCACCGGAGACGATACAACCGAGTCCAATGCCGGGGTACGCAAAGGCGTTGTTGGCTTCTGCGATGCGGTAGGTTCTTTCGTCGTAGGACACAGGCGGGGATGGACCGCCCGTTGCGACAACGCATGTGCCGTTTGTGTAAGAAAAGAGGTCCGCGGGGTCGGCTTCGGCAAGGGACGTGGGGTTTGAGAGGGGGAAGATGATGGGGTGTGGGCCGGGCATATGTTGAACCAAATCCTTTGTGAACGCCCCTGTGGAAGTTGATACGCCAATGAGGATGGTAGGACGGACAGTGCGCATTGTTTCTTCAAAGGTTTTGGGACCTGTGTTTTTGGCGTATGGGCGTTGGGTGAGTGTAGGGTTTGAGTTTACGGTGATAAGCCCGTCCTTGTCGACCAGGTAGATGTGGTCATGGGCTTGGCGGTCATAGGCGGCGATAAGATCTGCGATGCCCGTGCCAGCTGTTCCGGCACCGAAGATGACGATGCGGTGGGAAGAGAAGGTCGTTTGGGTTTGTTTCAGAGCGGCGAGAAGGCTTGCGAGAACAATGACAGCCGTTCCTAGACGCCCAAAGGTGTGCAGGATGTGTCAATACTGTTGGACATCCTGTAGATCCCATAGACACCCTTTCCTGTCCACCTCCATTCTGGCTCTTGTCATATCTCATCAATCTCGATGGGGCTCACCTTGCATGTCATCATTGTACGTACAAAAGGCATCGCGATACGTGTTCAACAACACACGAGCATTCTCCTTTCCAAAATCTTCCCAATGGAGCACGGCATTAGGCATGAATTCCTGTTTCGCCTTGACAAATCTGTCCACAAAGTCGTAATAGTCCTTCCCGCGTATGCGCTCATGATTCCACCCAGTGTACAAGGGATCGTTGCGTAGCTTTTCGTTATTTGTTCCGACATCGAGAACTACAGGCAGAACCCGCGCGGGGTGAATTCCTCCAAAAGCAGTGTACAGAGACAGCTTTGCTATGGAAATCCATATGCCGCCGACTCCCTGATCTCCAATGCCGAGAATCATTTCCCCGTCCGTGACGACAATCATGTCAACGCCATCGGGTGCATACTCGGGCAAAACCTCTTGGATCCACTCGCTGATTCTGTCCCTGTCTGGGTACGACAAGAACACTCCACGCGGTCTACGGAAGAGGCGGCTGTAGTTTTCAATGGCCTTGGCTTCTGTGGGCGTATATACGATGGGGAGCATTTCCTCCAAGTGATCCTTCAGGAGCCTATAATATAAGACCATGTTTTGATCCAACATGCTGTTCATGAATGTATTTTGTAATAGCATTGAATCTTCCTGGCGAAACTGACGATACGCCCGCTTTACTTTGCCGTCCAAAGAAAATACGGATTCTGGGAGAAGGAGCTGCAATCCCAACTGGATGCGTTCATTGCGTGGAAAGGCTGTCCCTTTGTTGAGTAATGGATGGTTGAGGATCTCATCAGCTCCAAGTGTCGTGTGGATAACCTCCTTGCTGTCGCTGCACGTTGTGTATCTGTACTTGGGTTTGGGCATGAATAAGAATTGCAAAAGCAAAAAGAAAAGAATGTGCAAGGAGCACGAGTACCCCGATAGGAGGTTAAACCCCAAGTGTGAAGGTGATGAGACGTCACTATAGTGACTCATCAGCATGTCATTCTGAGCATTGCAACGATCCCAAGCTGATGGCATTTTGAGTTCACCCAAACAGGATATTGTTCTATTTGTATGGGAGAGATATGTCTATCATTGCCTGTCAAGTCGTGAAATGGAGGATGCGTCCAAAGTAATCAATGTTTTGCCCGATCTCGCTTGTCTACGACCGTGGGAAAATGAAGATAAACAAATGACTCGACCATGGGACGCGTTTACATAATCTTAACTTGCGCAAGGGGAACGCATGCCAGGAGGTGGAAACGACGACATTGATTGGACCTTCATGGCGTGTGCAAAAGAATGACGTACGCAGGATACGGTATCTTCCGCCGAGAATTCCCGGATTGCAAAAAAAAGCGCAGTTCCCCAGGGTTATAAACAGGCGGGTGAGGTGTCCCTCCGTATTAGCGATAAACCTCTTTTCTCAATCTTCATACGACCGTCCTCTCTACCAGTAATGCCTAAAAAGTTCCACACTCCTCCTAATGACCTCCAAGACCTGCTCCCGTTGGAAAGCACCCTCAAACTGTACACCAAGAGTGCTTTGATCGACATTTCCAAACGGTACAATCCGATGGCCAGGCCCCCAACTGGTAACCTTAGGGCGGTTTTAAATGATGTAACTCAAAACCTCCAGTCCCCAATCCGCAAACTCAAACGAAAACAACCGATCAGCATCATCAACAGCCTCGAACCTGTCAACGACCAACTTGCGTCATTGGATGATATCTTGAGTAAGATCCAACAGAACTACGACAAAATCAAGGAAAATGACAACAAACTTCAAGTTCTGACTGAACGGACCGCTCGGATCGAATCTTGTGTCCAATCTACGCATACTCAAGTTCATTCCAACGATACAGTACTGCTCATGAATGTTATCGAAAACAGGTTGTCTGATTTGGAAAATCTGGTTATGAGGCAACACAATCAGGTGCTGTGGGATTTCAACAAGTTCAAAACAACGACGTTTAGCAAGATCGCCAACATCGAGGCCGCGGGTAACAAGTTGAACAACAATATGCACACCATGTCTGAGCGATTGAGCACACTCGCCACGTTGACGGAATCAATTTCAGTGGAAGTTCCCAAAATCTATCAGCAAATGACGCAAGCCTTTCATCAGATTAACGAAGCAGAATCTCGTATGGGATCCGCCATCGACGGTCCGTCGCCAATGGATGTTGATAGTCCTTTGCGGAAAGTGTCCAATGTTAGGTTAGTATCTTACTTGCGTAGTGCTTTGTGTAATTGTTCCCTTACCATTGTGTATCTTCCTAGATTCTTGACCTATATTCCGAACTACCTTGCAAGCCATTTTATACCGACTCAAAACCCTGAGCTAGTTACCTTAACGCAACGTTTTCCGCGCGTGAGCCTTCGTCTGTTTATCAAACCGCATACCAAAACCGAGTGCGTTCTTGAATGTGCACCGGAGATCGCTCTCCTTCTTCGTACGCGGCCCGACCTGGAACGTGTGAATTTACTTCGTGTTTTTTCAATTTCTGGACCCGAGGATATTGCGCACCAAGCGTGGACCATCATCAAAGACAAGTTTCCAACGGCGTTTGTCCTGTTCAAAACCAAAAAGTATTGATATTGTGCCGATTTTCAGCATGTTGTGATATGTATCTAGTTGGTGAAATGATGAATATCTTAAATACATTATATGCGACAATATTTCTACTTAGGATCTATAATTGGTAGAGGTAAAGTTGGATGATTTCATTGGGCTGCAATCGTCAAGGGGTTGACAGTACACATGGACGACCCAAATGCCCAACTACAGATATGTGGACTTGATCAAAAGGGAGATTCCAGTAGCAGGGTGCCAATTCACGGGCTGTTTACAGGAATGCGTATTCAATGCCCTCAAAGCATCTTTAAAAGTTGCACCTGCCAATGTGATGCGAGACCATCGGACAGGCGTACTGCGACATAGAACACCCACATACGTTGATGAATTGTTAACAATGATTCCCCAATGAATGAAAGCGGAATTCGCTCAATTACTTTATTATTAAAATTAATTCACCGTAGTCGCAGCCCGCTATCTCGCTTGTTCATTTGAATTAAAAAGAATATCTTTGTACATATATCCGCTGAATGCCCCGAATTGTTCATGTCAGAAAATGTTGTGTACATGATAGCTAAAGCAACGAGAAAGCGCAATCAGTTTGGTTAAACTCCAAATGATTTAGAATACAGACATTCCAATTACTTACCAATTTGTGCACCCTCCACCCCTTCCACCAGGTTTATACTCGCTGCAACCACACTTTCGACAATTGGGACTGTCCGATATGTCAATGAGCGGCTTGGCGCTCTTCATGGTTTTCGAACGAGTCACCAAAACGCCGTCTTCGTCGGCGCGTCGAGAGGAATGCGTGCTGCTCTTCTCTCGGTGCCGATGACGCGTGGTTGAGGACCTTTGAACTCGATCATCCCTGTGATCGCTACGGCGTCTTACGGAATCACGAGGAGAAGCGATAGCCTCTGATCGTTGAGAATCGGATATCTGTTGTACCAACGTACTGGTGGATCCACCTCCGATGGCCGTTCCACTCCCATATCTGGACCGGTGTCCAGACGATCGGTTACCTTCATCGTTGCGATCACGGTGATCTCGGTCAGGGTTTCGTTCATCTTTATTTCGGTCCAATTCCCTGTCCTTTTCTCTGTCCTTGTCACGTTCGCGGTTACGCTCTCGGACACTTCCACCCGGTCTGTCTCCTCTTCGTGATCTCTCTCGCTTGTGTTCGCGATCACGCACCTTTTCCCGTTTCCATTCAAGTTCTCGCTCCCTTTCTCGATCTGTATCCCGATCCTTATCACGTTCCTTGTCGTCTGCCGCGAAAGACAGGAGAGGTTTCGGCGGCGATGGGGGTGAACGTCTCTTTGCAACTACATCGTCTGTACTACGGTAGTTGCTTGATCGAGTCGTGGTCGGTCGTCTCATGAGGCCAACATCTGACTCGCGCTCAGAGGGCGACTATGTGAAAATTAGATTATGCAGCATATGCCGACTAACGGGCTGCGTCACTTACGTCATCTGGCACTCGTCGCGTTGATCTAGTTTTTCGTCGTGCCACATCAACTTCTCTCTCCGACTGAGAGGTAACATCTTCCCTGTCAGTCACCTTTCGACTAGGTCGTGTCGCCCGTCGTGAGACGAGCCCACCGTCACGCTCCCCATCCTCAGCTATTAATGCGGTCTTTTGACGCATCTGTCGAACAAGTAAAGGTTCATCATCGTCGTTCTCCGACGATGCTCTGCGGCGGTGGGATTTGCGGCGGGTTGAGGACCGACCAGCATCTGGTTCGGCTGACCTGCGAACTTCCGGGTGACTAATATTATTGTTCACGGTGCCAAATTGTAGTAGTGGCTCAGGGGATGCTGCACGTCGAGCAAGCCGCGTGTGATCCTGGCCCAAGTCCCCTTGTGAGCCACCTTCCGCACCCTCTACTTGCTTCGGATCTATCCTCTCCCGTGCACTTTTCCCTAGAGAATCGCCCTGTCTCCGCCGCCACGCTTTGGCAGAAATTTCATCGTAATCCTCGAAAAGTTCCGGGAAGTCAGCAAATGTCTTCTCACTCCTAGCCAATCGGATGGCTAGAACCCAATCATACAGTCGCTCCTGCTTTTCGACACACAAATATCGGACATAATCCTTTTTGTTTTCAAAGTAAGATATGCTGTTAGTTGATCGAAGGGCGAAACAGAATTGTGTTGGCGTCTTCTTTCGGCGTTGCGATAGAGTATATACATCGTAATTGCCAAGTCCACAAAAAAGGGATTCCGAACCCGACTGGTTGGCATCTTTGTAATAGTAGATACTGGCTTCGCGTAGTACAAAGAACTTGCGTTGCCATTTGCCAGGCTTCACTTCCATATGCATCCACCCTTGAACTCGTGGATATTTTCCCGCTACGGCTTTAGGAGAAACAGTGTCCCTGTACCCGTACTTTTTCATGACGATTGCGTTGATTGATGTCCCAGCATCCCAAGCAGATATAACGTCCGTAACGATTTCCCAATCTCGCAGCGGGCGTTCAATGCCAAGGTCATTACAAAGTTCAAACAACGTCCAGTTGGGTGACTTTTCCAGATGAAACTTTGTAACCACATCATGAACAATTTGATCGGCAGACATCAGGGATGTCAGGAGCAGCGTTTTAAAGGATCGAGCGTCCTCGATATAAATGCGAGTTGTAATCTTTTTCACATTCGCTTCGGTGAGCTTCGCCATTATCATATTCCTCTTGTCATCCGTCACAGGGAGAGTGACCTGTTCTGACATCGTCTCCTCTTTGATGCTCTTGATTCTCTGCAGCCCCTTCAATGGTTGGATTTTGGAAACTTCTCTTTCGTTCGCCTCAACAGCCCATGAAGGCGCGCCTTTGGTTTTGATGCTTTGCAACGCCGCCAACGAGGGGGACAAAGCCACTGAATTCATGCTACGCGAGTATCGATTCTTTCGAATAAAGCGATCCAACGTCACCAGGAGCCCGTCCATGTCCTCATAGTCGTCTACTGTAACATCTTCTAGTTGTGCTTTTGATTCGTTCTCTTGAAGTACCGGTTCTGACAACTGAGCGGGCGACTGATCATCGGCCGATTCACCTCCTGATATTAGGACGCTCTCATCTTCTGATTCAACCGTTTCACCCCTGTGTCTAGAAACTCGACCTTGCGACCGTCCTCCTCGTGTCGCAATCCCACCGCTGGTGCGCTCTTGCAATGAATGACCTTCCCGATCTGACTCAGGCTCACTGCCATATTCGTCTGAAACAGAACCCTCCTCGGTGTCATCGTCGTAGTCTGACAGACCCTCGCTCCCGCTGTCACTGTATGAGTATGAATTTGTGAGAGCATGTAAGTCCACTGGAGATGGTACCGTGGCGCTTTTAAGAATTGATTGTGGTTCTGGGTGGGAGATCTGTACTTCGTGTGCCAACGTCCCTGATAAAGACTCCTCTAAAGTTGCCGCAACAGTTCTTTTAGGGTCTCCCGACGAAGCAAAGCGTACCGATCGTGTTCCTCCAATGGTATCATTTTCAGTATTCGCCAACGCCATAGATCGTTCTGACGCATTACCAGGTCCAACCATACCGCCCTCCACTAGCTGTCCTGGTGGTCCTAACGTGTCTAGCGACGCTGTATGCTCATAGGAGACAACTCGTGCATGTGGATTCGCTTTCAATTGCTCCATGAATTGGGAATAGTCCACAACGGGCTTTGGAAGGGAGGTAATAGAGTCTCGTCTTGGCGGTGCTGGTATAGGTGCATCCGGCGCAGTACGAGCTGTCAGAAAGGCGGGAAGATCCCCCAAGGCGACCTTGTTCGGTGCTGATTTCGAGGGCGATGAACCTGTTGGCGATTTAGAGTCCAGGCCTTCCGAAATTGTCATGTCTTGTGCGGAAATCAGCAGACCGGAGCTCACTTGCGCTTTCCTGTAAGCAGGCAGGCTGAAGTGCTCCTGACCGTTGGTTTGAAAGGGTTGGAATGCAATGACTGATATCGTAATACACATGACATTTTCAACGACAGTTACATTAAACTTGAGTTTTTGATTCTATCACAGACATTAACTGCAAAAACGATGACGGGTGACGAAGGTATACTAGCAAGCTAAAGTCTATTTTGAGCATTGAACCGGAAAATGGCCGACAAGGCGATGTGGTTTCTTGTTATCATTGGAGGGACGGGCATCCACAGGGCGCTGTGGGCTTCTCGAGGATAAAACTACCAGGTTGCCCCACGTCAGCTCCAAGGTTGCGCTCAAAACAGCACCTGGCGAGTTCGGGGCCCGTCGGACAAGCAGAGCTATCGCCGTTCAATGCTGACACATCGCAACAAAGTTGGTTGATACACTTTGAGCCCGAAGGGCAGCCGGCATCTAAGACGCATTCCTTAAATGATGCGGCTTTTCCAGGAATCGGCATTTGACAATTAAAATTGTTGAAGGTGTATTTGCAGTATTTTGCAACGTCGCATTGTTTGCCGTCCCCAATACACTGTCCGTTCACGGCACAGAGACTGAATAGAGTGAGGAGAGCGAAGGCGATCGTGTCGCTGATGAAGTGCATAGCGGTCATTTGATAGCTTATTGGCTTTAAGATGAGTGGTAGACGTTGCAGTTGGAGGATGATTTATTCAAGTAGGGTGACTCGCCCGGCGTTCTTTTATATTCACCGTGAGCAGAATTGCAAAACTTGCTGTCATTTGCGTTCTGCTTCAGGGTAGTAGCACCCGCCTCCAGAATGCGGCATGTCAAGAAAAGCCCAACAGATCCCCGACCTTTCAAATCGGCATTTTTGCAGAGTATTATCCAATAATCGGTGCAGAAGGAGTCATTACAGTCGCAGATCCACAGCATCGATGATGTTGAGTTGTCACAATCGGACAGTGAACACCTTTCCAATGAACAAACCGTTCAGACATATCCAACCATTGATCACTTACTCTACCAAAGAAGAATGCACTGCGAACAGGACGAGGAGATCTCTGCACCTGAATTTGTCAGTGCCGCTTGCGGCCGAAATCCAAGTTAACGCGATGTCTCCAAACCTTGCCACATGGTAAGTTCGCAAGGTCGAAAATGTATGCGGCATGCGGCAGACCATGGCGGTCAATACGTTCATCCCAACGAACGTTACCAACTCCCCATTGTACGAGAAATGCAGATCAAACGCAGATCTGAGAAAATGGCTTTGGATATCTCCAACTAATATTCTGCTGACAGATTTCGATCGTGCGGACTGCGGCATGTCTTTGGATCCATAGCGTTGTGTACGCAAAATCATTAATAAGTAAAAGCCCAAGAAATACAATAGTCAGGCGAAGTTTGAAATCACGTGTATAAAAAGTACTTGTAGCAGCTACCCCTACGAGGACCTGTTAGGTGTATGGTTGGGGGCATGTTGACGGTGATGACGGTATTTACATGCAATGGCATGGCACATCTACAAACGGCAACTGGCGTAATTGTTGTCCATGATTTCCATAATCTGGAAATGTGCCGATTGAAGACATACCACTGTATTTCGCCTTTTCTTTTACGATTGTTGACTGCCTTGTCGACATACCATGCATGCTAACGTAGAGAGCTTTTGATTCATATCTCTTAGAGGCATTCATCGGATCATTTCTGTACATTTGCCTCCGCATATCAATCTGAAATTATTCTGTGGATCTTCACTGTGCATATTTCTTGCAAAAACTGCTGTAAAGCGGTGACAGCAAAATTGGGTCGCATTTTAGCATATGATCTGGAAATTTTAAGAGTGTTTCAAAGCGTGCATTGCGCTAAAGACAATGAATTTAAACGTTGTGTCTGTATCGGCCATGTGCTAAGGGTTGTGGGGTTGAATGTTGTCACCCTCCACATGCCGCAGCGGTGGTGAGCGTAGACGGATTTAGAGCAACAAATGCCGTTGCAAACCATTCTAACTGCAAATTCGGCTACAGCTACAAAATGAAAACTAGGATGATCCCCAACGCCTGCTGCACCCCAACGGCTGCGACGATGGCAGCAACCTACCAAGCTGGAACGACCTATGTTGCAAGTAGCGGCGCTGAGGTCGGCAACCATGGACGCTGTTAAATTTCAAGTGCCGGAGGGGTCGGAGCATGGCTCAGAGGTTGAGCTTGCAACAAGTTATATAGTGAATTTCCCCGCCCGTAAAGTTAAAGCAATATAACCAATATTGGCAATAATTGTTCATTTAGACAAAAGAGGTAATATGACCCGAGTTGCGCATGCGTTACATAAGGCAAGATCAGTGCGAATTAACCACATTTAGTGACATAATCAGCACCCCCATCGCTGACAGCGGTGAGGTGCATGCTAATGTTCTCCAAACTGCGGTGTGGCATGCCAATGTTTTTTCTTTCTCCAAACTGCGGTGGAGCGCATGCTGAAGGTCTATAAAAGGGGGGCATTTGCTCTCCCCCCATCTTGTTTCTTTTCCCTCGACTCTCGAAGCATCCTCAAGCAACTCTCAAGTCAATCATGAGAACGCCGATGTGGTGGTGCCGAGGGCCTCGTCCGCCCGACAACGACAACAACATAACCCCTTGCAAACACTGCTACTACTATGCTGCAATGATCGCAGGTATGCATTGTTTTTGTATTTTCCCAGGTGTATTCCCAGTCTAATTATTCTGATTTTACTAGTATCTGAACATCCTCCGACTCAAGAATTTCGGAATCAAAGGCCTAGTAGGATTTCTCTCGTGGTGGTGGGCTTAGTTACCCGGTTAGAACAACCGTAATGTATTGCATGTGTAATTGGGCCTAGTCGTAGTTGGCTACTAGTAAGGGGGAGTAACTTGGCTTTTCCGAACCGGTTGTCGCCGGTTCATTCCCTGGTGTATTATGTTGTTATTGCCAATACACTAAGGCAAGATCACTTTACTCCCACGCTCCTTGTTCATCCTGACCATGGCAAAAGACGAAGATCCGGCATTGACAATAGATGCACCTGCTAATGCGGACCGTATATCCAATGCGTTTCCTACCGTTGATGAGCAGCGCATCAGGAATTCGTTGAAGGACCGCTTTGCATTCTCCAAAAAGGCATGCTGCTCCTGGAATTTTGGCGATTTTGGCGACGCTAGCTCACCTAACTACCTGAAAGGCCAATTTCAGGAAAATAACAGCCAAGCATTCTATTCCAGCGTCGTATAGGCAGTCACCAGAAGAGGTTATGGTTGGACAACCTCCTTTGGACGCTCAGAATCCAAATCTTCCAGTACAACCAGGTTCTGGATCTTCAAGGCAGCCGACACTACCCCAGCAGCAATGTACCGAACATAATAGCTACAGGTCTTCCTCTTCTCAGCTCCAGGCACCACCCACACCAGTATTTCGGCCGGCTGTTTTCCTCAACTCTTCCTGTAGTACACCTGTATCGTCCACAGGATCTCGCGTCAGTGACAGCAGATCTTCTACTCCGTGCCCTGCTAAGAGTCCTTCATTACAATTGGCAACGTCGCTATTCAGTCCACCGATTCGAGGTCCTGAGGACGAAAACTTTATCAGTGGCCCGGATGATCTGGAATCTGTGTCAGCTCCAGAGACCGAACCTGTCAAGATATCTGACAATACAATGTCTCGGCATTACGGGTATGCGGAGGAATACATGCCCGATTCAGCTAATCGGTCAACAAGAGAACGAATAATTGAATGTAAGAATACAAACTGCCCTTCGCAAAAATTCCCAACTCGTCCTTCCCGATCTTGACCACAACGCTTTCTTAGATATCCAGCTCTATCACATCAAAGATATTATGAAGGCAATCTTTGACGCACAGCGCGTCAAGGCGCAGGTAATACTAGTTTTTCAGCTGTTGACAAAATGACCACTGCTGAACTACTATCTCTAGCGAACATCGACAAAGGAGAGATACTGCGTAATCCTCCACATTGATCCTGCAGTGTTGTTGGACTACGACGGTAATGACATGGCTTTTTACCTGCTGAACGAAGATTCAGCTTATAATGTTCTCCACCTACCCGCACAGAGAATATTGGAAATGAATTAATACGGGGTTTGGCTGAGAACCTCAAAGAAGATTTTGCCAGTGGTAGGCGATTAGCTTTGCTTCTATGGTTCGGACGCAAAGGCATTGATGACAGCTCCAGCCTGCTTTTGGCACATTGAAAAAGCGACACGCGCTCAATCCACCCTCTTTCCAGAGCACGTACGAGCCGCCATCCGTCTGGCCTACTTGCCAGCGATTCCAGAGTAAGATGCATCTGGACTATGCTCTCATCTTCAGTTTCGCTACATTGACGCTGCCATACAGGCTGCACTTTTACAACTTACGGGAGGTCTTCAATCACAGCCGCGGAGAACTCTGCAAAGTCACAAAGCAAAACCTTGTCGCTATTCGTGGCATTGTATCATGCTTGCACCTACCCTTTCATACCATGTATGTCCGACAAGTTGCTTGACGTGATCCGATACAACATCAAACATCTTCAATGATTATCCAGATACAGTCAGACGTATGGATGCCTTAACCCCAAATGCAGAAATCGGAATACTATGTGAGCTATTGTTGTAGTCTTGAACTCGACCTAGTCTGCATGAACTACCCATCGGGCTTTTAAGGTATGTTGCAATCAATAATCGAGTGCATCGAGTAGTCAAAAGGGCGGAGGACGGCACCTGCTTGCATACCACGACAAGGTTTGTACGTACAATAAACAAGAGCGGTGCCCACAGTGAATGATGGTTTCATCGAAAATGCAGCGCAACGGTACATGACGTCGATTTAAACTGTAGCCATTGTGGAGATATAATGTTAGATATGGCTGCAGATCGAGTAACAACAGGTAGAATGCGCTACTATTGAAATATTGACGTCAACCTCGATCACACTAACGAAGACGAACCCAAAGTACGGCAGAAGGGCCAAATGCTCAACATATGCGCTGACGGTTGCTTCTCGAACGGTAACGCATGCCATGGCATTTACTTTTACCTAATTATTACCACTCACCAAACTGATATCACCGTTAGAAGTAACATTCGACTTGGAAGGTAGGTATTTGGATCATCAACTGACTTACGCTCAAGTACAGTCTGTGCTGAGAACAACACTAGATGACCTTGTCAATGTTGTCCAAGTTGGTGACTACATTGAGCTTATTGGCAGTGTGCACGCCCAACCTGGTAATAAGAGAACAAAAGTGAGGATGAATGTTTTAGTAAACAACTTCCTTTGAAGGTTATACCATTGGCACTCGGTTCGTCAGTACCTATCGGATGCTGATTCGGGTGAGTTAACTAGTATTTCGTTCACGGTAAGGATGAGTTCAAACTAAGATGGCATGAATCCAGGTTAATAATGCTCGCAAATTGAATTGGGTATGTGTTCATTGATGGCGGTCGTTACAGCACACGTTTAACTTACCATATGGGGAACTAGACTCCTGCGTTATCCGCCAACTTGAACCTTGGAAGGGCATGGACTCTGAACACACAAAAGCCCGATGTGTTCGGGCGCGGGACCGATCTGTTGCCACAAGTTTTTCTGCGAATGCAGCAAGGTAGCTGCGTACATGATTGTTCTGACAAACTTTGAGCACGGCTAATATTATACATCGCAGCGAACTTGTCACCTTATGCATTCTCACAAAAGCTTGTTGACAGCTTCTGTCGTAAGTTCCCAACCTGTTAATCCAATTTTCAAATAATCTCTTATTACGGTACAGATGATGTCGTGCCCCGGACAATGTGGAGGAAAGCGAAACTTGCTATGCTTTTAAGGTGAAGAGTTAATGCAACGATTGGTTCCTGCTGCTACGATGAACCAAGGACATTGTAGTCTCGTATCGTTACCATCATCTGGGGATATTATGCCAGATCTTAGATCACAGAGACAATCCGTTAATCTCCTGTACACTGTGGACTTGACCACGCCAGTCCTATTGCGCTTAATATTACGGGCGGCAAGCTTGCGTAGGTAAGGAGTACCACCTAAGCTACGTGCCGTAGAATTATCCATCAATCAGGCTTATAGAAACCAAATCTGGACACATGGAATACATTCCAAACATGATCCGTTGCTACAGATCAGTGACTCTGGAAAACTACAACATCAGCGCATACAAGGTCTGCTGGGAGCATTCAGAACCTTATTTCTTTTTACTGTCCTACTCGAACTCTGGCATGCTGATACTAGCCTATTTCCTTTCAGCGAGTCCGCTCACACAAGCCAGAGACGGGGTGCTTTTTGTGGAATTAGACAAGCTTAGCCGAAAGCAGGTAGCGAGCCTGAGCGAAGGTACGTACTGCACATTAACGCCGAGCGGAACACCCATGAGAGCTGACAATGCAATCAGCTGTGGCCACACCTATCCTTCGTGGATTGGCACACGGCGAACAGATTGTCCCGTTGCATGCAAATGTCTGTGTCTGGGGATCAGCATGCACTCACAATGCCAAGAATAAAAGATGGGATCCAGAGGAAAAGACTTCTTTGGAGGTGGACATCTACGTTCTTTGCAATGAATTATATGTTGTTGCTCTGACCGCCCTATCCAGAAAACGGTGAAAGAGGCCGTGAAGCCATTGCTAAGGTAACGTACATACGGCCCACATCCAAACTCACTGCACTCTTTGATGCGTTCCGAGTGTATAGCAAATTCGACGTTGTTCTCAACATGTGCCAATCGTCCACCAAGAGTAAACACGATGAAATCATCAGCGGCCACATTCTGTCACAAGAGATGCGGAAGTTGAACGACCAGCAGCATGGCGATGAGCTGACGGCCGACCCGTTCTATGTGTCCCATGAAGACTTTGTGCAGGTATACCTTGATACTCTCCATTGTCATGCTTCTCGCTGACATGTTCTGTATCCTTCTACCTAGTTTGTCCATGCGGCTTCTAACATTACAGTCAAGTACGTTCCTTAAAGCGTAATATCTGGCGTTCAAATACCTTGTCCCTACATTTACTCTCTGCGCAGGCTATCCCTGGAATGTCAGACCTTTCTACGCTCTTATTTTTCCGCTCTTCGGCGTCTTGTTGGGAACATCCCGAGTGCAGCTGATTCTATGCTCGCTAAAATGGAGGTATGGATGAATGATGCTATTGGTAAAAATCGACGACACAGGGAAAGATGTTTCTGACCTTTTTACGCATTGACGATAGACTCTCATTCGCTTAGCATGCTGCCATGCCAAGGTATCTCCACTCTGACATCTCTTATACGGCCCATTGCTGATATCCATTCGTCCTGAAGCTGTGTCTTCGTGATACTGCTCTCATCGATGATGGACTTGTCAGGTGGGGCATTCTGCCTGGAAGTCATTACGTACGCTCCAATCCCCAACCTTTTGTTAGTATCCTCTTTGTGGAAGAAACAATGGCCGCCGCCCATGGCATCTCGATTCTCGGATTCAACAGCTTACCAAATGACCAGGAAAATCTCCATGTCCTTTTCGGGTCTGGCGAACAGACTGAGAAATCCGGGCAACGAGTCCCAGAGCGCGAGGAGGATGCAAGTATTGAAAACCATTATGCAGTCAAGCTTTTGGCCTCACATATGATGCTTTGACTAGGTGATGGTCCTCGACTCGGACAGTGAAAGCGATAGCAATGACGATGATTTTGGTGCTGCTTCTGTTAGCGAAATGGCCTTCAATCGGTAAGAGTCTGTGTTCCATCTGACGCTACTGCAAATACTCATCTCCTGGGCCATAACGCAGACTCTACGCGCACACGATTTCTATCTTGGATCGCTTTTCTAGTGAACTTCGCATGTAAAGAGAATCACAAATTAGTCATGCACATCATTTGTTAACCTATCCTAGCATAAATGCACGCAAAATAGAGTCTCAACAATTGAAAACCCACATTCTATCTAATCTGATGATAAAAAACTATCTCCTTCAGGTGGCATTCCGTTCTAGCTGTGTTTGCCAGCCCATCGAACGAGACTTTCAGAACAAACTAATCAGATGCTCACCGATCATCTCTTACCCGGAACGTTTCCTACCTGATTCTCTCATACGCTGGCAAACTGTTTCTACCACCCAATATCGTCCTATACACATCATTGCCGCTCCTTCATCGCCATAGAATTTGAGATAAGGGGCATTGTTTGCATGCAGCTACTTGTTAGTTGCGATGCGCCCATTACTGATCCCTGGGATCATCCAACTTTGATCTTTCATTGAAGAAATCAACTGACCGACACAATCATGATAGCATCTTATCTTTGGACGAGCGGTATTTTGGATGAGATCTTCCGCCCAAGGGAAAAACTCCGATGATTGTCAACCTATGTATCGACATTGGGAGGATAGCATTTGGGAAGCTGGCTGGAACAACTGGTTTTCGATAATCAATCAGTTGTAATCAAGTTTGTCAATGGTTTACGTTGCTGACTTTGGTCAGAGCAACATGCGTTAAGCAGAGTATCATATCTACAGTATACCCGTATAGGTCACTTTATTTCCGCAAATATCGGCTGTGACAATCAGTTGACAATCAGTTGATTGGTATTAACTACTATTCGCGGTATCTCTCGGAAGCTGGGGATCCGTATGAGGTTTTGGGGGTTATAACGATTGTGAATGCATTGATGAAGTTTGGCATACTTGATGTTGGACCTTGGAGAAAAGACGGTGTGGGCAATGATTGAGCAGGGAGAGCTCGGTGTCCCTCTTGGAGTTTTACCACCAGGGCGTTTTATCCATTCTATCCAGAAGCTGCTCAACTAAATAACAAACATTCTACAAGCACCATTGCAACCCGCCCCATATTTTGATTTCAACCTCTCAGAGTTTTGCCATTTCCCTTTTATCCATATCTCTTAAAACTCGTCTCAAAATCTTTCCAGAGGGCGATTTTGGAATTGCGGGAATGAAGCGAACACCCCCACGGAGTTTCTTTTGTGTGTTGTCAAATCAGTATTATCGATACATGTATATTGTTGCAGTAAGGTGACATACCTTGTGTCCCGAGACCTTCCCATCCACGAATTCTCGAATCTCAGTTTCGCTCACGCAACTCTCAGGTCTCAGGACAATATATGCTCGGGGAACTTCTCCGGCACGTGCGTCATTTCGTGGAATGACTGCAGCGTCGAGGACCATGGGATGTGTTAGGAGGATTCCTTCGAGTTCCGCCGGAGGTACTTGAAAGCCTTTGTATTTGATCAACTCTTTCAGTCGGTCGACGATGTAGAAATAACCTTCTGTGTCGGCGCGCGCAATGTCGCCTATACATGAAGCCCACTGGATCGTTAGAAACACGTGTTTCGAGTATAAACAAAGAGTTGGATCGTTACCTGTGTGCAACCATCCCTCGCTATCAATAGTATTTCTGGTGGCTTCTGCATTGTTGAGGTAGCCTTTCATGATATTTGGGCCTCGAAGGCACATTTCGCCTTCCTCCCCAATTGGCACAGTCTGTCCGGTTTCGACATGTATAATCTTGGCCTAAATGTTGCCAGTCCGTGAAGGCCGAAACAATCTTACAATCAAATTATCAAACGCACCTCCATGTTCGGGTACAGAATGCCGATTGATCCTGACTTTATCTTGTGATTGGGATTTGAGTGAGAGCTTGGTCCGGATTCTAAAGAGACAGTAAGTACTCCATCGGTACAGCAATACTCTGCTAAACCCATGTAGCATACCTGTCATGCCAAACCCTTGTTTTATTGGCAACCCAAATCTTTCGCTTACTGCGTCTTCAATGTCTTTACTGAGAGGTGCCGCTGCGGAGTGCATTGCTTTGATGGACGAAAGGTCATACTGTTTGGCTAGTGGGTTCTTGAGAAGGAAGGAACGGTTAATCGCGGTAGTATGCAAGCCCAGCCATTTGATGTTCTTACGTTCAATATCTGGACGACGATTGGAGGCGCAACTTGCAATCCTTGCACTTTATACTTTTGCACCATCTCGAGAAAGGCTTTGAACTCAAATTTTTCCATGATAACGAGCGTACAGCGTTGGTACAACGCAACGGCCATGATCGACACGAGTCCGTAAACATGATAGAATGGTAGGATGGCGGACCACACCCGACATTGGGTGTAATCCGTGACTTTTACCGCCGCGTTCTGGGCAACGTTTGCTGTTATGTTTCTGTGAGTTAGTATCACTCCTTTTGATCTCCCAGTTGTACCAGAGCTGTAGCAGAGGAAGGCAGGATGTTGTGCCAATTCGTCTAGAGTAAAGACAATCTTGGGAGGTTCGAGATCCACCATGAGATCTCGTATGTGAGGTGCATCACTTGATGCTCGAGAGCCCATGACTGCTATCCGGCTTGTACTGATACCGGCAGATAACGCGGATTCCCGAGCGACATTTAACGCGGAGGGAACGGTGAGGATGGCGACTGCGTTGGCATCCCGTAGTTGGTATACGAGTTCTTTGGATCTGCCGACAATCCCCGTTAGCACAACTTGAGCTTTAGATGTAGCAAGTAGCACTTACGTGTAGGCAGCATTGGCAGTGGTGACTGTTGCGCCGAGTCGAACAATGGCGTAAACGGAAATGACAAAATCAATGGTATTTGGGGCTAAGGGCCAAAATTTGAAAATATATCAGGTCTTTTCATCATAAGCCTCATCCTTCTTTTTTTAATCGTTACCGTAGATCGCGACGACATTGCCCTTTTTGATGCCCCAATGGGCGCTCAAGCCGGCAGCAAGACGATTTATGCGAGCATGAAGCTCTGAATAGCTCACTTGTTCATCCGTCGCAGCATCGATGAGAGCTGGTACATTGGATGAACACCTTGAAAGTTGGCCAAAAATAAAACTATATAAATCGGTGCAAGGAATTTGGATGGGGGGATATGAGCTTTGGAATTCCGACAAGCTCGTCCTCGTCGTCGTTGTTGTTGTGTTGGGCGACATCTTTAATCAACAAAAAGATCATTAAAACCAAGTTCTTATTAAATATCTTTAATGGTAAAAGTGTGAAGCCGCGCTATTCGATGGTTTCACTCAACTTGTTTAATAATAAAAGACAATTTTTTTATTTGCTTTCTTGGACTTGTTTTTGTGCCGCTTTGGCACACACGAACTGGGATTCTATGGCTGGTGACATTGTCGTTGGTTTTTGCATGATTGCCCATTGTTCATCGCTCCCAGCAAGTCATCATGTCGTCTTCAGACGATGATGCTGCACGACAGTTTTACCTTGACAACTACCTCCTCGTGAACCTCTCGTTCCTTGTTCTCGCCCCAATACACCTCATTGTCATTTCACTCGTCTTTTACCGGTCCTATGTTCTCGTCTTCAAGGAGAAAAAAGCACTGTCACTATCACAGAGAATACCAGTGTATATTGTAATAGGAGAGTTTCTCATGTTGACAAGCTTTGGAACGACAGCATTGTATCAAATTATCAAACAGCGACTGTTTACGGGAACAACTTGTCGAGCCATGGGTGCTTTTACGGGCTACTTTGCTGCGGTCGAGTACCTTCTGTCCTCGTTTCTCTCTGCCTTTACCTATGCTCGTGTGTGTCGGCAGTGGGAAGTGAGCTGGGGAAAGTACGACTGGGGCCTCCTCATTCCAGCGAATGGAATATGCCTCACTCTCCTTGTTATTTGCTGGGAGACGAATTGGTTCGGTCCCTTGGGAGAGTTTTCGTACGTGTCTTGCCCTTACGATCATGTTATGGAAAGAGGGACTTTGGCTGATCTTTTATAAAGCTGTTTTATTGACACGACCCAAGGTGAACACTCTCGAAATATCGCAATTGCGGCAGTCACCCTGCTGCTATGCAGTATAGCTTCGGTCGTGGCGTTTTCAACGCCTGTCCTGGTCAAAATTTGGAGAACAAGTCGTGATCTGGAACGGGTGCTTGCAATTACTGTTCAGGGTGGGAAGCTTGTTTTCGCTCATTCTGATGTCAATAAAGCGGCCAGTAAAATCACAGTCTATGTATTGGTCTACTCTGTCAAGGTGAGTTCAAGTGCTCCCCCAAGATGACTGCGAATCCTTTGCAGAAACTAAATACTTTTGCCTGTCCTTGCTATGAATTAGTGGATTAGTGGGGTGCCACTATATACCCCGCTGCTTGGACAAGGACCTGCACGAGTACCTCCTATTTATTACGTATTCCCATACATCTTTTTCCACATTGGGGGGATCATCAACGGAATTGTGTATTTGCTCTACGAAGACTTTATCCCAGAGTTTATCGCTCGACCACTAGCTCGAAGACGAGCTCGCCGACAGTTGCAACAGACAATGGCTGCAGGGTGGGATGTCGGAGATATGCTGGGGGTGATGACCGGTTTGGAGGAGAGAAGAGACGAGTATGTCTCGGTGAGTGTTCCTGTATGGAACGGCACGAGTGGAATGAAGGGCCGAACCAGTGGGGCAAGTCAAGGCAATGCCAACATTCCATGCACTCTCGCGGGCGTTTCCCGGAGTTGGTCCGCCCCCGCATACATAGACCCAGAAGCAGATGAAAAGTTTGATACTCGGGACGAAAGAATTGACTTAAAGACGATGCTTATAGAAGAACAAGACGAACAGATAGATCTGATAACCATGTTGGCTGGTGAACGACAAGAGTTGGAGGATTGGGAGGCCGAAAATGCATCACAAGTGCCTCTGAAGGATCCTACAGATGAGTTGACGCTATTGACTCAGGAGGCATCCCCGACAGATGAGGTGGAAGGGCAGACTTCCAACTCTGCGGATACCAGCAAAAAGAATTAATTTCGTAGTCACTTTTATGTGTTTATGTTTCTTGCATAGTTGTTTACATAGTGTATTGTATATAGAATCATTCTCGTATCATTATTTGATATTTCACACAAAGAAATAGAATTCATCTACTTGGAAGCGTATAAACAAAATCCTTGGATGATGGGTCATTTGCAGGGTCAGATCGCCGAGGGATCGAGTTGTTGTCTGGTGACGTCACAAGGGACGAGGACTCTTAAAAAGCGAAAAGTCTTAATCTCCATTTCTCTTCGTCCAAACCATACACACACACCTACAAAACGACGACGACTCAAGATACCTTTACAATGGCTTCTGATCCATCAAATCCCACACCAAAGCCTACAGATACCTGGGCAGCCCATGCCAAAAAAGCCCTAGAGACCTCTCCTGATGCCAAACACGCAGGAACAGAAACCGCCGCACATTACGCAAACGAAGGAAAAGAAGAGTCCATCGAAGCCATGAACGCAGCCCGGGAGACTTCTGACCGAATCAGACGTGAAACTCGCGAACTCTATCAATCCGCAACCGAAACAATCTCCAAGGCTGCTTCCTACATTATTCAAGCAGCAGATGCAGCTGCCCGAGAATCAGGCGAACATCCTTCACACGAGGCATTGGAAAAGCGTGATGAACTTGCTGCCGAGTTACGGAGAGAACAGCAGAGACAGCTCGCTGATGAGACAATGGCGAGACAAGAGGCCATGAAACCCGTTGTAGAATTCTTCAATCAAGGAAAGGATCCTGAGATTGAAAGGGCAGAGGAGGAAAAGGCACTGCTAGAGGGGAAATCAGCAGATGATGTGATTTAGTTCGAAAGCAAACTTTTTTGGGGGGGACTGTATAGTGGTAGTTTTGCTTTTTGGATTGTACATTCCGGTCTATTGAAATGTCTACCACGCTTTTGCTGTATCTGTATCTTTTTGAACAAAAAACACAGTATAACCGATACGAAGAGCACAATTTGTTCTATTTACGTTACAGACATGCGTAGAAACTTATTGCCTGAAAATCTCTACAGCTTGAGACGACATATCGACATAACGACTTCAATTCTGATGACGTAACCGATACGACGGATGACTCAACTCGTCGCTCCTCTGATCGGTTCTATCCTGCAAGCAAATGAACACCTCTCCATCGCTGACAACCCTACTAGCATAACAATGCCCCTTCTCGCCCGTTCTACTCGTATCAGCCTTCCACTACTTACACGTCTGCCTATCAGACGCCTAGCCACTCCCGCAGATCTGACAGGAAAGACAGGCCCGCGTCAGTCCACGACACCGCCCATTCCACCCGACCAGGAAAAACCTCTTGTAGACGAGACGTGGGTCTATTCAAAGGAACGTGATCCAATGGCAAACATGTCGGAAGAAGAAAAGGAAGCCATTCGAAAACATATCAGACAAGAAAGTGCGCGAATGTTTTCGATTTCCTACGGAATTATTGGAGGTGGCATGTTAATTGCGGTGGGTGCAGACTGTATCTTTTCGTGGCATTTTCGCGCTTACTGACTCTTATCATTGACTTTGTTTCGCACGTCAAGGGACTGGCGGTGTGGTATAACCTTAGTCCTGGCGAGCGTCGACGTTGAAAAGACAGCAATGCGCGAGATGTATAGTAGTTCCTGTTACCCCTTTGTATATATGAAGTATTATTGAAAATGAAGATGGAGAATGCATCTGCAGAAAAATATAACTTGCGAACACATTCTATGTTGGTGTCACATCCCGCGCATAATGGTGACTCGCAGTTCATTCTCACGAGACAATCCTGGTATCAATGAGGCTGGCGAGTTCCAATGTTATGATCTCTTGATGTTGCGCCCCCTCCAAGATGTACCAATCATCTGGAGGTAAGTCGAACTTCCCTAGCATGCCTTCCGCAACCTCTTCGTCCTCTTCATTACTCGTGGTTGCTGGTCGGAAAGAATTTTTCAACTTGAGTGTAACAAGTGATCGCCGAGGGTCAACGGAAAGGACTAATCCCTCCTACAACAAACATCAGAGCAACATCCGTTAGTATGTATTAGAGAAATGCTCAATATCAGCAAGGCGATCACCTTAAAGTCGGATATCACCGGGCAATATGTATCTGACATCTCTAAAATCTTGTAGGCAATTGTCTGCCCACTTACTGGGCTTCCGATCAGAGCAGGCATGGCAGCGTAGTTCTTCTTTGGTCCTTTCTCAACTGCAGCTGCTGATACCGACGTAGGGCGTGCTGATCCGTTCACCTCTTCGCCATCTGTTGTTGTTTGTCCCTCCATGGAATACCTTGAACGATTTCGACGTCTTTTCCCCTTGTTCTTCTGGTCATCCTCAAGATAGACTTGTGTATAGATGACACGCGATCGACCGATTGAAGTATGACTAGGCTAAAGCAATTGTAGGTTGAACCGTAGGTAAGAACAGTGTGAAGTGCCCAGAAAGAAATCCAGAGTGAAATATACCTCTGATGCCTCGGTAACTGCATTGTCCTCTCCATCCCCAAATCTCACATGGTTTCTACCTACATTCACTGAGTCTTGCGAAAGCGTTGCATTTTTCTTCCCAAGTGACACTAGCAGAGCAACATCAGACACCGTGCCTTCGAACGCTGCACTGGGATGATTCGACCACTCACCATCTTGCTCAGCCGCATGCTCTTCTTCATCGTCGGCATCTGCAAACCTCACATGAACTCTTTGGTGATTGATCAACTCCTCCATTTGACGCTTCTTTTTCTTCCCCAGCGATAATGGAGGAGCAATATCAGATATTGTGGCTCCCGCCGGTGACCGGGAGATGCGCTTGCCAACTTGTCCCGTTTCGCTGCTCTTCACAGACATTTGTGGTCGTCCTACCTTTACACCATCGTTAGCGCACAGCAGCTTTGCTCTTGGTGGGGGATAACGAACCTCTTTCTGCGAAGTCACTCCGTTCACGGTCAGCGTACGACTCTCCACACGTATCCCATTTTCCTTCGATCCCACTTTACTCTCTTTCAAATTCGCTTGTTTCGATGAATCTCCTTTCTGCTCCTTTTCTGAAGATTTCACTACGGACGGCTTCTTGGATGCCTCTTCAGACGACTCGTCCGAAGATTCTTCTGATTCCTCAGATGCCTCGTCCGATGACTCTTCTGAGGATTCTTTAGAAGATTCTTCCGACGACTCCTTCGACGACTCCTCAGATGACTCTCCACTGGAAGTCTCATCACTTGACGAATCAGAAGAACCATCATCCTCCGCTTCTACGGTATCTTTCGTGCCGACTTGAATTTTATCTACTTCAGATGCTACCTCAATCTTCTTGTTGCCAGACACGGTGTCATTGGTCACAGTCTTTGTTCTCTTGGATTTGGAATCCGAGCCTTCAGTTGATGAGAAGGAGACTCGCCGCTTCCGCTTGATCCGAACTGGTTTCCAGACATAAATCGACATGTGAGAATCTGTACGTCAAAATAAGCTGTTGTTCAAATTTCAATACCATCTATCCTAGGAGATGCAACAGAGCCCCCTTGGACACAGCTGACACTGCAGGCAGACGACCAAGATCAGTACGGTGATGTTGAGAACCAAAGGAGTCTAATATATTCTTACACAATCAAGTCGCCCTCTCTAACGATGCCCTTTGTCGTCGACGACCTCCCTAGTTCAAAGCCATCGACCTCCAACTTCAATTGCTCCGCCTTTGCGAGCTTCTTCAGATCAAAGTCATGCCAAAGCGAGGTAGCTAGATCGCTAATAAGGGTATGTCGATCTGTATATGAAACTTCATACCAGCAACGATTAGACGGTAGAGGAGGGGAAAATTGAAGTCGGACCCGCAGGCCACCTATTGACATTTTGTCAAGGCCGAGGGACAGAAACAACGTGGGAAGATGCAACTTGGGACGGAAGAGCTCTGGGAAGATGTTGGGCCACGTGACGAGGCTTACCTAATATTCGATCTTCATATAAACAAACGACAACTGGATGGCTGATGCAGTCAATTGGAGAGGATGTAGTATATAAAACATGAATGCATACATTGAGCATTTCGAAAATATGGCATGAATACATGAACGCAATAATCCAACTGGGGCCTGGATATATCATGGTGAAGCACAGCGGTGCGTCTGGATCTAATCAAGTAGCAAAGGTGTCAAAACATGAGAGCAGTTGACAGAGGTGGATATACACGTACTTTCTGCAGGATCGTTTTTCCTTCGGTTATACCTACGCAGCTGTCCTCGCCGCATGTTGGACATTGTTCGGTCCTCAACACATCCAGCAACAGTTGTTCTGCAGCCTGCAAGTATTCCATCACCTTCGCCATAGAGCATGAGATAGAATCGTCTCGCTACATGCATTACTCCACTATACTCTCACCTGTTCACATGCCCTCTCCCAACTGAGGGCGGCATCGTATTCGCGAAGAACTGCGAAAGACTCGATGGACGAGCGCTCTTCTTCTGGTATCATAGAGCCATTTTCTCCCCTAAATGGATATCCATAAACATGATGATCTGTGACAAGATAGGCAAGGAGGCGCGATCGTACCCCGGGCCTGAATCCTCAAACGCTTTCCCGTTTTCTGGTTCATGCGATTTTCGCTTCCGATTGGAGATCACTGTACGTTTTTCCAGGTATACATCCACTTTGTCTAACAAATCGTACAGTTCTATTCGAAGTTGGTGTGCCGGACCGTGGCTATCCGGGAGAGTCCACCGTGATTGTAGGGTTTGCTCAGAGACGGGATTGGGGAGAAGAGTGTTGAGGAATGCCAGGCACTTTGAGAGCGAGTAAGGTGTTTCGTAGATTGACTGCACAATGAGCTCCATGGAGGAAAAACGTAAATGTACATTCAGGTACGGAATAAAAGTGCACAACAGGTTAGCTTACTTGTCGCTTTAAACCAAGAAATGCTGAGACGAAAAGCTTCTCAGCAGCCCCCGAGCGTTCTCGCAAAGTTTCCGTTTGGTTCTCTCTGACGACCGTGACTTTTCGGCGTTTCTTTGACCAGTCTCGTTTTTCTGTACTATGGGGTTCCAGAGCTCGGTTGACCGTCGTGCGCCTCATTCCCTCCATGTCTTGCATAGTCTGCAGCAGGTGAACAAAATCTTGTCGCACCTGCTTGCACTTGGGGGATAGGGTCAAACAATAGCGGATCTCTGCAATACAGGCGGCTAGGTTTGTGGAGAATTCAGCGCTGAAAGCCGGAGAATAGGGTGCAAGCTTGCGGTGCAATCGGGAGTACAGGGCAGTGGTTGCACTTGGTTTGAATGTGGTCGCAGATGACACTCGTGCGGCACAATGTTCCAGAATCCATGTTGCGATTGGGGCCAGCGTCTGGTCGTCTGGAATGGTCGTTAGCGACGAGCTTGGCGACATGCGACTGACTGATATTCAATCTAAGTGGGGCTCAAATTCGGACGCGCACCAACGACCGCGATCGGTCTGCAAACTGATCTACACGCTGCAGAATAAGACCAAGTTTTAAGACGTGAGTTGACTTTCGTCTTGCTTTTTCTAACCAGTAACACTACAATGTAATCCTAAGAAAATATATACTATGACATAATGGCTTGCACCTACTTCAGATGGCCGTATTCGTAACCTTTTGCAGGTTGAATATTATTATCTGGTTTGATGATGCGCACCACTCTCAAGTGGGGGTTAAGCGACCCATGCTCATGTCTGTCCGATCGTTATTAGAACGATCTCCGGAGAAGTTTTCAAGGCAATATATCCAGCAATCTATTACGACCATAGTCAGCTCACCGGCTCCAGACTCCAAAATACAGTTGACTTTTGGTTCTTACGAGACCACATCATGCTTACTAAGCAGCCTCGTCCTTTTCTTCGGGCGATGCAAGTGTTGTTCACGATGACACACGAAATGGCCAACACCCCACAAGCGTCGGTGCACTCATCTCACCAAAGCATAGCACCGCTCACACCCCTGTCACCGCAAACCCCAACATCAGCGTCATCATCTGCATCTAGCACATCGTCTGCTGTGGGTCTGGAGACAGCGGATGCTACCCCAACAACAGCCAAGATAAAACCCAACTATGACAGACAAAGTCTGGAATATATTTGGCGAAGTTTGGTGGCGGGAGGTGTTGCAGGATGTGCGGCAAAGACAGCCGTAGCACCCCTGGATAGAGTGAAGATTCTGTTCCAAACCAATAACCCTCATTTCGAAAAGTATTCAGGTGTGCTGGCAGACGGATGGTTGTGCATTGGCAAGCGCGCGGGAGCTAATATGGCGTTTTAAACGGCAGGAACCTTTTTCGGTGTATTTAGAGCTGCAAGTGATATCAAGCGGGCTTACGGTGTGCGAGGGCTGTTTCAAGGGCATTCCGCAACATTACTCAGAATCTTTCCCTACGCTGCCATCAAGTTTATGGCCTACGAGCAAATAAAGCATAGAATCATGCCAACAAAAGAGAGTCAGTCAGCTTTTCGGAATATGATTGCTGGATCTTTGGCTGGTGAGTGTTCTGGTCGCCTGCCGCCTGCCTTTGTGTATGGGGACTATTCTCATTTCTAAGAACACTAGGTTGTACATCTGTATTCTTTTCCTACCCATTGGATCTTATAAGAGTACGGCTGGCATTCGAAGTGCGGGCACACCATCACCCGATAAAACTAAGTGATGTGGTTCGCATGATCTATACGGAACCGAGTCCCTTTGTCCACAATCCTCGGCCAACGCTGCGACCACTAGTTGGTGTTATGAATTTTTACCGCGGATTCATGCCAACGCTGTATGGAATTATTCCCTATGCTGGGTATGTGGAATACCAAGTCTTTTGTGTATCGCTGGTAATTTGACTCACACGTTGACTTGTCCCACCTGTGCAGAGTCAGCTTCTTGGTGTACGAACGGCTAAAGACCTTCGCCAAAACAACACTTGGAAAATACACCCTCACTTCACATCCAAAATACCCTAATAAAGCAGAATTGACATGGTGGGCGTACCTGACATGCGGGGCAGTGTCAGGGGCCATCGCCCAAACGTCTGCCTACCCGTTTGAAGTAATTCGCCGTAACATGCAAGTCGCGGGGGTGGTTCGAGACGGAAACGAGTTGCGGCGCACTACAGCACAAACCGCTCTGGATATCGCGCGACGAAGGGGCTGGAGAGGATTCTTTGTAGGATTGAGCATAGGTTACATGAAGGTGATGCCCATGAGTGCAGTTAGCTTCTTCGTTTATGAGTGGATGAAAAGTTGGTTGGGGATTGACTAGGCCTACAGATAGAGGACATATAGAGATTTTCGCTACCTGAGTCACTGGAGGCATTCTCCGCGTGAATATATACTTGATGAGAAAAGATTGCCTCTTGCGGTTCATCATGTCATGCTGAGCATGTGCGAACATTGTAGTGGCATCTGTGGATCAATCATCACCACATTTAGAGGCGCCCGCTCATGAGAATTAAAGGAACCATGGACGACTTTTAGCGCTAAATGCGGCCTATAGGGAAGATTGCAGGTACATTACTAAACACATATTTACATATCCGCATCAGCATCGATTGTTTGTTCGCGTAAGGAGACAGAGTGTCCGACAACAAATTGTTGTCTGATATCCTGGCAATGGATATGATTGTCAGCAAACAGTGCTTGTGAACACGAGACGGAACTCTGTTACTGGTGTGCGGACCTGAGATCTTGATTGCCGTATCACGATAGGCTCGGCATATACGTGTCCCCGCTGGTAATGACCACCTCGTACATTTTGTCCGTGCTGATGAAAGCGTATGTTCAGACCGCGTGCCCGAAGGTACCTAAATCTTCGTTTAGGTACTTCAATCGGTCAAGTTAATAAAATACTCCCAAAGTAAATTACTTGGCTGGTTGGAAAACTGTTTGGGAACTGGATAGAGATGCCCGGACTCTTTCGTATCCGGGTCCGAGCTGTAATGGTAAGTCTCGGATGTTGAATGCCTGTAATGACCAGCAAGATTTAGACGACAGTTATGATTTTGAACTTCAGGTAGTGCCGTCAACCAACCTTGCCCCCATATGATCGTTGCCCCCGGGGAGCTTGACGATTGATCCGGTTCAGTGTTGACCTAATGAGCGGTTTGTCGTCAGTATTGTATGCTATGCAAATTGTGCACGGAGCGTTACACATACATTTCGTTGAAGCGAACGCCTTGTCTTTGTACGGCTTTTTGTGCAATGATCGGCTACAGAAAGGTGGTTACGGTTGAGGACCTCAATGATTTCGACACGGGAGCAAAGCGATAAGTACCCGTGTATCACGAGTCTCTGCTTCAACATTGAAATTCGGATATCCAGATGTCGGGTTCAAATCCAAAACGATATCCCTAAGGAATATCGGCTTCATGTCCCGGTTTGCGTGGAAATCTGTATTGCGAAAACGACATTTAGAGGCCTTCTCTTGCGAGGAACATTGGAGAGTACTTTGAACCTTTCAATAACTTTATCTGCTCGGACGGAATGAAATGCAGAACTTTTCCTTTTGGCTGATTACGGGCCGCAAGCATCTCTGCTCGCATCTCTTCTTCGAGTAGGTATGCCTCCTCGTCTTCATCTGACCAACTGTATTCCTCCGTATCTTCGCCTGGCCCAAAGCTCGCTTGTTGGCCCTTGGGACCTGTGCGCATCCGAGTTGGACCTTGGCCACGGGGTACTATATCGATAGTCTATATTAGCATCGAGCCATTACTAGCAGTGATTATGAACCTACGCAATGCTTTCCCGCGAGGGAAGAAGTCATGTAAATTAAGGAAGATAGCTTTACTCTCTGCGTTTTTTTTGGCGTTCCAGGTAGTGTTAACTCGCTGATAGATTGCCCAACACTTGTTCGCAAATACCTTCTGTAGCGGATTCATCTATCGGTCGGTATCCCAGCTTTAGCATGTAATTCGTGATTGGCACCCCCTACAGAAGGAAGATACAAGTTCTCAGCGTTCTGCGGCAATACGATGCAAAATCCGAACACATACAGATCGAATCATATTGTATAGAGTGTCCGCATCTTTCTTCGAAGCCATTGCGGTCAAAATATCTCGCGGGTGGAAGTTGGTATTTACAATGAGCCGCAGAATCTGTCGCGACGCTATTTCATGCTTTGGTTGCATATGCAGGAACAGTAAATGAGCCTCGATACTGATGTTGCTGTCGTAGAAGAAGCAGCTACCTACATTTTTCATGTTCTCGGCTAATTGCGCGGTATCTACACTTTTGTATTGCTCCAAAAGGGTGTCCAGAAACGTTGGAAGGATGAGACCGTGTGAGATGAGGTTGCGTAGTTCGGGAATCGTGATTTCTGTCGTCTGTCTTTAGACCAGTGCAGAGAAAGGACGGCTTGGAACTTCACTCACTCTTTTGTGCACCGCCCTGCTCCATTTCCTCCGTAATTTGCGACACGAGTTGAGCGTCTTCAGTAGTGAGCTGCTCCATGGGAAATTGCTGTTGCATGAAATTCGTTAGCTCCTGAAATGCATTACTCCTCGAGTGACTGATAGACCTTATCTGTTGCCACCGCGTCTTCTCGTAGTGACTTCATGGAGCGGCGTTGCCTACAGAGAACGTTGAAGAAGAGAAATAATGCTTCCGAAAAGTTGAAGATCTTTACCAGTAACTTGGCAGGTCCTCTTCCTTTGTGTGCGCTTTGATACCAAAGAACTACGAAAGGAGCTGTTAGACCGTATGACACATATATCCACCAATGCACAACTTACCAATAGCCTATTTTGGCAAACACAGTACATGTCATCAACAGCATCAACAAATATCGAAGTGACTGGTGCAGGGACGTTGATCTGGAAAAGTAGATCCCCTCGACGTACGGACCATAGGCGACATGTGGAATCTACGCAGCCTGTTATAAGAATGCTGCAAGATAGGTGAACGCTTCATGACAGTATCCTTTTCCTGTGAGTGTGTGCAAAATACCTTGAGCTGTTGTTGAACCGTGCAGCTAATACAGGACCCTCATGCCGGAAAGTAAACAAGAGGTCGGCGTGAAAACCGAGGGGAATTGGAAGCTTGAATGGAAACTTTAAGACAAGCGCTCCCAGCGGCCGATTGCTTATGTTTGATTCTTACATCGCCAATTTTCAACCCAGTGAAATCTTTCGTGCCAATCTGGACATTATAAGACTCATCGTCTACTCTAATTGGGTCTTCCATTTTCTGCGCAACTCGGTTTGACTCCTATCATATATTGAGGAATAAGATACGGAGAAATCCATCTTACAGTTGAACACTTGGCCGACCTGTAGCTCTTGTTGCACGCTGTTGTAATCTTTCGCATACGACGTCATGTTCCATAGTTTACAGGTATTGTCAGTTGCGCCTGAAGCTAGTAGCCGGTTGTTCGGAGAGACTCTAACACAGAGAATGGACCCTTGCGGCACAATGTGAGATTTTGTTGCCTCGCTCTTGTTCACCCATCTATTCATTACCGGTATGATTTCGATCTACATCGGCCCATGCCATCAAATTCATCTCCGCACCGTCTTGCACCCTGAAAATAAAGGTGAGATCTCCGATATCTTCATGGTATGCTATCATTGCACTCTCACCAATCTGGGTCTGGTTTTACGTCGTCAATGATTAGCTTACTGAGTGTATCCCAAGTGCTGATATGGCCATCACTTCGACCACAGACAATGCGGTCAGCGTGGCCGTAATTGAAGTCGAAGCATCGAACTGCTGCGGGATGTCGGATGTATGATCCGACTAGCGTACCTGGACAGCAGCATTGGTACAATTTGACAACATTGGTTAAGCATTGGCACCGTAGATGCAAGTCGTACCAGTCTTCCATTGCCAGATTTGAATTCTGCCATCATCCGACGCTGACAGAAGTCTGCTGTCGTCTTCTGTGAAGGCGATCTGATAGACCACGCCGCTGTGGGCTTCGATGACCCTAAATATGAGATGAGCTGAGCGAATCGAGGTTTCTAAAGCGTAGTATGAATCATGAAATCTCCCCTACCCACTTTTCTGCTCGTAAACTTTTGAGATTCCATACAACGATACGTTTGTCTTCCCCGCATGTGGCGAGCAGCGTTCCGGCAATGTTGAATTTGCAATCTCGTATATTTTCTAAGTGAAGTTCAGTACACTCTTCCCTGCTTCACAATGGATTGTGTGGGGTCATCACAGTCCTACCTCGGTGAACACTTCCTGTAGTCCTACCGAACTGGATTATACCATCTGGTAAACGACCATGACCATCCTTTCCTGACCATCGCGGTACAACCTACCTTGTGTACGATCGACAGTGAGTCCAGGGACCATACATAGACAACCTTTCCCGTACATGTAGCAATTAGATTTGCATGCAGGCATACGTCGAAGTTCGTTATGGGGACATCAACAGCTAAGGAGCGTTTTAAAGTCGTCGTGACAATCATGCGGCGGGCGATACGGATATTTGCTCCACCAAGGGAGGCATCAATGGCTAGAAGCACCGCATTGGAACAAAATGAGTGTTGCTGATATAGATTTGGAAATTTTGCCGTTCTTCAGTAAATACCTCGCAGCCCTTTCGTCGACCCAGGCTCATTACGAGAGGTGTGTTCAGGTACTTGTCTAGAGGTTGGTCGGGTGGTAGAAGGTCGTAGGATGCCAAGTTTGGGCTCGGGAAAGGCACTGCGTGATGGACGGACCACTGACTGGCGAATATCTCCAAACATGGTGGTGCGAATCGATATTTCAGCTCGGTGAAGGTCCTCAAGGCAAGTTGCTGCATATTGCTGACATAATCCACGTCGTGTCGCAAACCCGATCAGCTTGTCTCGCACCAACCAGCTTGCCCTCTCTGCGGCGGTTGAACAATGGATAAGGCAGACTCGGACTTTTTGCATCAACTCTTCCGAGAAAATAATGAACTGCGTGCGAAGTTCAATGCACTGCAGCGAGAGGTACAGTTTCAAAGCTTGCTAAATCCTACCAGAAGTCATATCATAACCAAACTGAGATCTTATCTGATTTGCGGTACCCCTACAGCTGTACAATAAAGCTGTGCAGAATGAGACCATGGAGGATGAAATCCGACAGCTCAAATTGCGGCTAGAAGAAGGAAAGACTACACCATCCCGACCAACGGTAAGCAGAGGAAGAGAAGCAACCAAGTTGGAAAAGCACTTGAGAACTTGACTTCCATAGCTCTTTGCATATTTGTTTGCTTCAAATTTGTTTTAGACTCAAGGTGGCCACGTACGAAAAGGGGCGAGGATCACCAACGACTCGGTAAATGTTCGCTCGGTGACGATTTGGTGAATCCGATTGGCATGAATTAAACATCGCTTGTCGCATCCATGAAGGTAGCATCCCCATCCACACCGAATGCAGCAAAAGATCTTTCCGAAGCGCTTTTTACATTAGAGCGCAAGTCAGCGGAGCTGAAACAAGTGCGGGAGGACTTGGCTAAAACCCAGAGCATGTACGAAGAAGAAGTTGCCAAAACGGGTGAGTTAAGTGATGGCTTCGGCTGACCGGAATGTATCACTTCTTAATAAACTTTCCTAGAGGATCTTAAACGTCAGATGACGGACGTCCAGGAAGAGTTGCACGATCTGCGGCAGTTCCGTGCCACGGCACTGAAAGACGCAGAAAATGCCGCAAAGAAAGGTTGGTATTTTGGACTCTTTTACAACTTGCCATATCTACGTGATACGTATTTACACTGCTGCAGAGGTCCAAGTTGCAGTCCCTGACGACATCATGGACCTACAAGAAAAACTCGAAGACGCGAATGCAACCATTCAACAGCAGAAGCGGCAAATCATGGACATTGCAGCGGACGCCAACCGACGACATAATGAGCAGCAAAACCAATTGCAAGGAGTTGAAGCGGTGGGTTAAAAGTGTTCATAGTCGATCCGTTTGCAGGGACCACGGCGCATCTGGAAGGTATTAACACGTACACAACAGCTCATTGAAGGCATTCGAAGAGAATACGATGAATTCATCGAAGTGACAAAACTCGAGAACGAGTCGTACCAGAAAATGCAGCAAGAAGAATACGAAAGACTGCGTGACGAATATGAGAACCATAAACGAGAGCAGTTTGAAGACAAGAAGCGCCTGATGACAGAGTACCAGGTATAATATTCGTATAGTATCCATGTCCACACAGTAGATGAAGGTGATAGAGATTTGTGCCTTTCCGTAGGGTCTTTTGTATTCAATGCAAGGGCAATTCGATGAATATCGGATGACCGCTGAATTCCTGTTCAATGCCGAGGTTGCCAAGCTGGAGGATGAGCTGTCATCCCAGGCAGCCAGATATGAACAAGAAATCATGTACGTTATCCAAGCCAAGGACAAGTTCTACGCGGACATGATGGTGGCAAAAGATGCGAAGATTATGAACCTTATTGAAGGGTCCGACCTCCAGAATCTAATGCAGAAGCATGAGATGGTATGGCGCCTGCTTTACTTTGCTGTCTTGAAAGATAATTACATGCAAGTTACCACAGGACATGGAAAACATACGTAAAGAGCATGCCCGGGAAATTGAGCGTGTCAAATCCGACCAAGAGAGCGAACAGAAACATTTAGTTTCGCTCCTGCAACGTCAAAATGTCTCACTTGAATCCAAATGTGACAAACTTCAAGCACACCTCAAATCGCTGGAAACGCGCATTAAAGATCTAATGGCCACGATTGAAGTGAAAAACAAGATGATTGCGGATAGGGAAGAAGCGCGGCTGCGGGCAGAGACAGATAATCAGAGAAAATTGGATGATATGACTGCGAGAATCAATGTGCTGGCCCAGGAGAAGGAGCATTTGAGGCACAAGGTCATTCGATTGGCTCTGGATGCCAAGGGAGAGGGACATAATTCCATTGAAAATATGTTGAAACGAATCTCAAGGGTACGTTTTTGTAATTCGGGATTCCCAAAGCAGTATGTCCCATGAACCATCCCCTTCCACTCCAGGAAACCAATGAACTTCGCTTTGACTACGAAGGAATGAGTGTCAAGTACGACTCTATGCTAAGCGAAAATCAATTGCTCAGTAAACGCTTGAAGGAAAGAGAGAAGTTTGTAGACTTCCTGGAGAAAGAAGTAGCCCGAAGGACGGAGGAATTCCAAAATATGGTGTGCATTTTCTGAATGAGTTTCAGGAGCCGAATCCGTCAGGAGACTAACCGCTATATCCAGACCCGGACGTTTGAAGATTTCCTTGCCGCTAGAGCACGGCAGTCACGACGGGATCGAGCGAAGCGATTGATGAAGCTACATGGTAACTTAATGTACTGCTCCATCAATCGATTTTGCAAAAACTGACCGGTGTCAATCAGGAGTCACACTCGACGATGAAGGCGCCTGGACAAAGAGGTAATTTTATGATATATACATATGTCCGGGGACGTAAACTCATTCTGTCATCTAGTCAGCAGGAAGGCGTGCCCCCAGGGTATATGGATGCCAAAGGACTGCTTAAAGCACGGGTTCCAGAGAAAGAGGTACATTTTGGCATGACACTCCGGATGGTCGTTTACATCTATAAACTTAATGACACCCGCTTTACCCTATCAGGGAGCAAGCCTAAGCGCCCTCCACATACCGCCAGAGGTTGAAAAGGAGACAAGAAAAGCCGAGCTGGAAAGAGGTTATGCGTGAGTGCCTGGAAACCGCACATAGTTGAACATATGTCCTGGTCTTCAACGTTCGCCTGCCCATTACCAGGTATCTACGTCGTTTCAAAACCCTTTCCCGCGCCTTTGCCACCGGTGATTTCCGCATTATTCCCAATGGAGAGCCTACAACCTCTACAGAAGGTATGCCTGGAACATGGCAAAAGGTAACTCGGCGTATTGATTGATAGTAGATTCAGCATGACTGTGGCCAACATGTCCCCTCTTGTAGACGGCATTGTACGCCAAACTCGAAGACGCAAATGTCACTCTTGCTCGGCTTTATAAAGAGCCTCCACGAGAAGAAGTTACCAAACAACTGCCGCATCCAAAGCCGTTAGTGTATATACCTGAAGGGGACCCGACTGCTGTTGCCAGAGTAAGTTTCCAATCTCGCTCATGCTGTCCCTTTCTGTGATGAGGACTCACTATATAAAAATAGCCGCAAGCAAAGGATCCTAAAGTCCTAAAGATTTATGATGATACAGAGAGGGGGGCTGCTCCGCCTAAGAAGAGACCGAAGAGTGGAGAAATAAAGGTAAACGTGACCATGGACAACCAATGTACTTGATTATCTGCCTTCTTCCTAACATCTGATATTAGAAGGAGGATAAACCTTTGTTAATGGTGGGAAGAGTATCCGCCAAATTAGTCCCACATACATGAATATTGTTGCCCGGTAGATTACAATTGATGATACTTTCCGATTCCAGTTACCTTTGCTACGTGTGAAATTCAAACGATAATACCTACTGCTGCATTTCCAATATTGAGCCTATATATATTTTTTTTTTAATTGGAGCAGTATGTGCAATCGAAGATTAGTTAAAAGCAACGAGCAAAGGTTCATCACCAAATTCCTGCCCACGTGAATTACCACCCATGAGGTGTCCCCCATTGCCAACTAGCGAGGTTCGTCAACAATCGCTACGCGCGATCTTCAAAGATCGGCTTGCCAAACATGACCACCGACTCGCCGCCCGTGCGCTTCATGTCGCCCACCCTACTGTTGCTTACACTCTCACGTTCAGTTCTTGCATCTTCTTGCCAGATTCATCATTTCTTCCGGTGCGAACCACCTAATTCGTTGGCAGTGTCATATATCTGCAAGGACTGCTCGGTGCACCTGGAGGTGATAAATTCTGCTGGGACTTCAGAGTGCCCTTCGACCGATGCCCCTTGCCATCATTTCCATGTGCATGAAGCGAGTAGTGGAACGGAATTTGTGGCGAGCTGTTGCCAATGCAGCAAACTGGTAGAATGCCGACTCAATTGGCCAATAGTTCCACTGCAAACCCTTCAGAAGCTGTTTGCCGGTAAAGAGATACGGCATCAGCTTAATGGATTAAAGATATTCTCCAAATATTTGGAGGACATGGTCAAGAACAAGGTACGAAGGAACATCAATGTCGAAAATAGGGCGTTCTCCAGTTGGATCGGATACAATGAGCACAGGTGCCGTTTCGTTAACTGGATACTCAAATGAAAGTGGATGGCTGGTCATGATTCATATTCCCTAATCTTCTCTGGTGCCCCCACAGCTCTTTCATCTTTAGCCAGCTTGGCTACATGTACGATTCTATCACTAGACACTTTATACCACAAGAGCTACCCGAGGGTGACAATAGACTTCAGTTTGCATACCAAGAAGTTCAGTTTCAAAGATGGAAAAAAGAAGGACCTCCAGGTCTGCTCCATGCATTCTGAGAGTCACCTTTTCCTTGCTGGCGGACCATAACGCCGACAAACAACAATAGGTTCCAATGACGACTGGCTAAATTTCACCTGTGCTACTGTCTCGATATGCTCTCTTATCGGTAGTAAATGTACGTCGCTCGAACTCTTGGCATCTTGTGAATGGTCTGAAAGCAAACTGTCGCTCATTGGCTACATTTCAGTTCAAGCAGACGCAGGGTCCGACATAGTGGCGCGACTGAAAAGCCTTAATGCGGATTCAAATGGAGACCTTACGAAACATCATCAAACTTTGGGTCTTACTAGGTAAGGGCCCCTTGAATCAAGGAACCGACCATTCCTTCTAACGGCGCCACATGTCCAGGGACGCAACCGATACCAGCATAAAGAATATACAATGGATGTATTCAATCCTGCAAAGGGAGGACCCAAAAGGGTTACCCACATATCTGGTAGGCTGTGGATGCTAAGCCTCGTCTTCTGCTTGCCGGTCCATAGTGGAAAGCTCACATGAGACTTGGCGACTTAGCATGCGGTGGCCGAAATTGCACAGGCACGAAATAGTAACGATTTACAAGAACTCGTTGTTGTGGAGAGGTCTAAAGGCATACCTTATGAAGCTGAGGTTCAAGCCGCGTATGCGATGTTCGGATTGGTGAAAGATGCTTCGGATGACATGGTGATAATTGCGTATGCACGCTCTGTAAGTCCAATTCGATCATCGTACCGCTTCTTTGTCGTTCTAAAAGCTAGTATAGGCTACTAATCAACTCCAGAAAGAACGAGAACTTAAGGAGGCACTCAAAAGCATTGCCATCGCCCGGGACAGTTCTGTGCTTCAGCATTTCTTGGAGACTGGCCAGCACTTTGTCCAGGACGCGGCGCCTATGGACATTGGTGTCACGGACCTGTAAGTTGCCTCCGGTACTTCATTGACCAACCACGATACCTGTTTAATTATTATTTTTCAGCCCAGCGGGGATGCAAAATATTGGAAACACGTAAGTGTGAAGTTCCAGTTCTGCATTCTATACATCCACTGACCAGAATTCCATTGCAGGTGTTATCTAAACTCCCTACTCCAGGTTTGTTTCTTTTTGCATGGTCCTTGTGCGCGCGGATGATTGATGGTTCCCTTTTCCCGTAATCTCCAGTTATATTTCACTATCCGACCTCTCCGTGATGCTGTCATAGATTTCAAATCTGAGACCTTCAACGGAGAGCAGGAGCAAAAACGACAAAGATCGGCTGAATGTGAGCCTCAATGCAGTCTCTGACGGTGTAAACGCAGCCTGATTTGTATGCAGTTGTTCAGCAGCTTCAACGCCTCTTCACCGACCTTATCTGGACGGACACTGCAAGCGTTGAACCTCCTAAGCGACTGGCAGAAATTGCACTCAATAATGAGAACTTGTTTGGACAACAGCAAGACATCAGTGGTGAGCCAAAATGACTGCCACTGGAATGTTGGCTGGGGTTTATGCATTTCATCATAGAGTCAATGGATAATATCCTGGATTTGCTGGAGACTGTGCTCGTACCAGCTGAAGTGCAGACCAACCTTGTCAAACGGTATGTGAGCATATCGAGAAGCAAGAATCTTCCAGCACTGCTCAGAAGCGTCTTTAGGTTATTTTTCGGCAAGACCAAGCAAACCTTGAGATATTCGAATCCCACTGGAGAGCCGAATACAAGCTATAAGAGCGAGGAGTTTAGTCATCTAATTGTTGAGGTGAAGGAAGATCTGTACACCGCATTGGATGCCTACTTTGAGACGACACAGGTGAGTGGGACAGGTGTTTTATTCTATAGTCCTGAGAAATAGGCTGATTCTCACACTTGGCTCGTATGTCGGAATCAGGTAGATCTGGAAGGAAAAGAGGCGCAGAAGGAATTGTTTATTTTGGAAGCCCCTCCTGTCTTGACTGTGCAGATAAGAGTTAAGTTCAACTCCAAGTGCAATACTCTCCCAACTTGGAATGCTGACTGCTTGTTATAGCGAGTAAAATACGATCGCGAAAAGAATCAGGCCTATAAATCAAATGATTACCTGCGATATCATAAGACAATATATTTGGATCGATATCATGCCGAATGTCGGGAAGGAAGAGGGAGTGATCATGTATTGGGAGACCATTCCACGAAGCTTGACGGGGACAGTGACCCAACAACGCAGGTTAGGAGCTTGTACGTACTGAACTCTGCCTGAAGACTGAGATTGTACTGGAAAATAGGACGATGGCGTGTCAGGAAAAGATACGATGCTAACCGACGAAGAAAATGGTTAGATCAAATGGTTTTCAAGGAACTGGGAGCGTAACATGTAACGTGTTCTCCACTCAGGTTTGCCGACAGATATTGGCGAGGTGGCTTCGTCTGCGGACATGAAGCAGCTGGAGTACAAACTGCACGCTGTTTTCATCCATCTTGGTACGTGCTTGCCTATTTCGATTGCACTCCTCCAACGACCCTTCTGACTGCTATGCTTAGGCGAAGCCTCCTTCGGACATTACTGGACATATATTTACGACGAGGAGAACGACAGATGGCTGAAGTTTGACGATTCCGTCGTATCCAAGGTACAGGATGTTCCTTATAGCTTGATTTGTCCCTTTGTCAACCTTCTACAGGTGTCCGAATCGGATGTGTTTTCGGATACAACTGGATCAACAGCAAATGCTTACGCCTTGATTTATGTGAAAGCAACAGGTAGGGCATTGTTCTTGTACTAGAGTATTATGGTAGCATCGACGACTGAATTCCCTGGTGTAGATGCAAAACAAATCCTTAATGCGTATGCGCGCAGCCCCAAAATGCGTGCACATTATTTAGAGCGATTTTCTGGTGTTAGTTCACCGTGATAGGCAAAGTTGGCGGGTCGCCGCCCATCTGTAGCAATAGTTTGACTGAACTTCAGTCTGGATGTACATAGATCGGAAAGAGTAGATTGTAAGGAGGAGGTCAATGCCCATAACTGGTATATATAAACATATATCTCCGTCCAAACGAACGTCATGGCTTCTTTGAAACTAACACTTGGCTCAATCGTCTCCGCCAGTTCCACGCTCCCCATACCCATGAGTCTGCATCCCCCCTAATCCTGGTCCTGGTGATGGCGATACATTCCCTCGCATCAGTCCGGTCCCACCAACACCGTAGCCAGCCTGAATCTTGGGAAATGAAATTGCTTGCGACGCTACTTTCTTCTTTGCAACTGGTGGTAATCCACCGAATCCGCCCAAACCCAACCCGAACCCCATGCTACCGTCGCGAGACATGACTTCGCGATGTCCCCCAGCGCCCCCAACATTACCGCCACCATAATTTGAAGTCGGGCCCGTTGTCGTGGATGTTGCATAGTAGGATTGCTTGGAATACGATTGGGCGCCGTGGATTGGAGGAATGCTGGACACGGTATATTGCCTATATAGGTGCGAACATGTGAAAAAGAAGGGTAACATTGCTGCGTTAGATGGGAAGGTAGCCCTACCTGTCATCATCGGCGTGCCTTTTCGCATTGCTTTCCAGGTCTTCAAGTGGTTGTCGCGCATCTTTTCTACTGACTAGATTTCGATTATCGTAATGCTGTCCTTGCTATATGCGATCCATATTTTAGCAGGCAGTCAAGGTATTCCTCCGTTCAACAGAACGCAAAACAAACCTTTTTTGGCTTCCTTCGTCGAACGCGGTCAGCCTGTTCTCTTTCCTTGTCCATATCAATTAGCTGCCGAAGTTCTATCTCAAATCTGTCCGCAAACCCATCCGACTGGAAGTACGGATGTGACATGAGCTGACGGGTAGTGGCGCGTTGATCGGAATCATAGATGAGACATTGCTGATCCAAAGCCAAGTCGAAAATTGAGCCATATGGTCATTTCATCCCAAAATGAAAAAGATGCCAAACTCACTCGCAACCATCCCATTGCATCTGGCGCCACGTTCGGTAGTTTGGATTCTATTGGTGTAGTTCTACCTATTTCTGGAATGCGCACTCCAACGAAGAGAGGATTTTTGAGGAAGACTTCCATGTGCCTCTTTGTTAAGGGCCCTATAAAATGGAGTATACGTGAATGTCAGCCTTTGTTCCCCGGGCTGAATGGGTGACAGTAGGCTCCTCACCGAGGCACTTCATAATTCTGTACAACTGATCAATATCAGTATCTCCAGGAAACAGTGGTTGCCCTGTCAAGATCTCGGCGAAAATGCATCCGGTAGCCCAAACATCAACGGCCTTCCCATATTCAGTATCACCGACCAAGAGTTCTGGTGCCCGATACCAGCGTGTCGCGACATAATCGGTGTATTTTGCTCCTGGTCCCGCTGTTTGAAAGCCATGCAAAATTATAAGACTTGAAAGTAGCAAGGATAACGGTTGCCAAACGATCAAGACCTACCTAACGTTCTGGCAAAACCGAAATCACAGAGCTTTACGACACCGTTAACAGACACTAGTATGTTCTGTTCCAAACCTTGGTAAGATAAAGGATCAGAGCAAGTCGGCGTTCGGACATACCTCCGGTTTTATATCTCGATGGATAACCTACGATTTAATAGAAAGTTAAGAGATGGCAGACATGCAAAAGTGAAATGGTCGAAATATGGTGCAGATCCAACTCACATTATGCGAATGTAGATAGTCCGTCGCCTTTAACAATTGCCACATGACTTTCCGGACGGTCCCATTCTCACGGTCGTCTGAGAGCCCATGTGGTCGTTTATCTAGGTCTTCGAGGATGGTGTGGTCGAGGTGCTCAAAGACCAAATAGAGTTTTCCTTTTCGTCGAAATACTTCAATAAGGTTGACGATATTGTCGTTTTTCAGTTGCTAAAGGTGAATGACAGTGCGGATAATGATGAGCATGAATATGTGAGAGAGAGAGAGACAGAGAATCCAACATTTGGCAGCAACAAGGGACTGAACTCGCCATACCTTGAGCATTCGCACCTCCCGTAATGCTGTCTTTCGTATCTGCAAATCGTCCTCACTTTCCTTGAATTTTTTGATAGCGACGATTTGCCCAGTTTCTTTATGTCGACACTTCATCACAACCCCGTAAGTGCCTTCTCCAATTGGACCGACTTTCTCATAGTACTCCATTATGAATCCAGCAACTGGCTCGCAGGAGGGGTGTATAGATATTATGCTTGACGACGTTCGGAGGATGCGGGTAGGCTATTTAAAGAATTGATCTGAATGGAGACGGTATGCAGAACGTTGTGAACTTTGGATGCAGCGGTCAAGTTTAGAGAGCGAGACTCGATGTGTAGACTGTGATAGGCAGTCGGTCGCCACCTCGGTCGCATCGCTCACCTGCAAAAAGAAGGTGTCCAAGAATTGCTTGTCATGTTAAATGGGGCCATCTGATTGCGATCAAGCATACCCTACAGATTTAGGGATGATCCCTCATCGACCACGACACTGATCTTGCAACAAATTTAGGCAGAGACCAAGTTTCCTTCGGACATTTTCTTTTTAGTCCTTTATCCTTTATCCATGTGTCCAGGTCCCAGTATAATAGGTTTCTAATGCATCACAGTCCTGCATGATGTCTAAATGGTGAGACTGCAGGGTTCAACTGCATGTATTCCAGGTCTTGATGACATAAACGTAAGTTATGTGAAAATAGGGTTGGCTGAGGACAGCTCTCGAAAGTGCACTCAGTTGCAAGTTTGGTCTTTGACCAGAAACTTTTTGAAAAAGCCGCGACAGCTACCTAGTCCGCCGAGATCAGAAACGGACACGATGGGACAAACCTCATGTGAAGTCTCAAATTTAATAGCTTTTCTCAATAAAAGGGTACTCTCACAGAAGAATGTAGTTAGAACCCAGCGATATGAACGGTACGAAGATAATTTGGTGGGTCCTCAAGTGGGCGGCACAAAAGTAGCCTCAAACACTTCAAAAGAGTGTTCAAAGATGAATGCGCTATTATGGCACGTCCCTATCTAAGTACATTATTGATCATCTACCGGTAAGGAAACCCAACTCTAGACTTGATATCCTCTCTAGACATAGAAATCGCAGTAATGCGTAATAGGTCACCACTCATGCATTCAAATTGCTGGTTAAGCATTGTGAGATTCTAAACTGCCGTTGTCGAAATATATCAAAATCTTCATTTCGCTCCAGCCATAACGGCTTCGATATCCGCTATCTCCTTTGGCACCCATCCCGTCAGATTCTCAATTCCATCCTCTGTAACTACAACATCATCCTCAATCCTCACACCTCCAACATTCCGCCTAAACCTCTCCAACACCTCCACGTTCAAAAATTGTCGTTGAGTAGGGTTGGCCAGGGCAGCATCCAGTATGGGATCAACGAAATAGATCCCTGGTTCCACGGTGACTACCATGCCTGCTTCCAACTTTCGGCGCATACGAAGGTACCGTAGGCCAGGTTCTGGGATGCGCGACACGCCTTCGGGGTAACCTCCAACGTCGTGAACGTCAAGGCCAATAAGGTGCCCCAGGCCGTGTGGAAAAAAGATGTTTGGAATGTGGTTGCCAAGGAGGTCCTCGAGTGTGCCTTTGGCGATGCCCGCTTTTAAGAGGCCTTCCGCGGCGACTTTATTCGCCAGACGGTGCATGTCTTCCCATTCCACTCCGGCTTTGATAGCCCGCAACACGGCCTGTAACCGAGTAATCTGAGTAACATCCTACCCTGTGCCGAGTACGAGAAGCGAGCATACCTTTTGCATGTCTAAACAAATCTCATATGTAGTCTTCCAATCTCCTTCAAACTTGCCTCCGACAGGGTACGTCCTGGTGATATCCGCAGCGTAGCATTCGTACTCGCAAGCAGCATCCACCAAAAGCATATCTCTCTTCTCAGAGGTGACAGGGTCAGTATTATTGACGTAGTGGAGGACGCTCCCATTTCGGCCTGATGCAACAATTGGTGTATACGCTTGGAAGCGGCCACTAAAAAGGTACATATAAGACGAGATTAGGAGGTTACAAGCCTGCCCTCATTACATCATGACGAGAGCCTACCCGTTGCGGAAGCATTCGTATTCGAATAACGCATGGAGTTGACGTTCGGTGTCCTTTCCAGGTCGAACGGCTTTCATCAATGCAATGTGGGCGTCCCCGCTGATTTTGGCAGCTTTCCGCATTAATGCAATTTCGGCTTCGCTTTTGATGACGCGTGCATCAATTATGGCTCTGTGGGATAGGCCGACAAGCTGATCAGATCTATTGCGTGCGAGCTTTGACGTTCAACCACACTTTCAACTTACTTTTTCAAAGAACCCTTGTCCGCCTTTCCTTTCCAGTCTCCCAGAGCACTCAGATTCTGCTCTTGGTCAAGGATATGAACCTTTCCCGGATTCAGCTTCTCTAATACCCTCAAAATATCCTCGGCAGTCCCAGCGTGGTCTACTCCGTATTTAGCCTTCACATCCGCAACAGTCGGAGGATTGCCACACCACAAGGCATAGTCCTCTCCATACTTGGGAATAAACAGATGGTTCTCACTCGTGCCAATGTCAAGGATGAAGTGACAGTCTGCTTCCGTGGCACCTGTAAGGTAAAAGAAATTGCTTTCCTGTCTGAAGGGCATTTCAGCGTCAGTCCATTTTCGTTCGGTTGTTTCCATGCCCCGAAGATAGACCACGCCGCTAACACCGGCTGCTTGAAGATTTCGCAGCAGTTTCTGGCGATTTGTTGATGCGCATTGTTGACCGTATGTTGAGGACATGATGAAGGGATAGATCAGAGTTCAAGTTGAGGATGAGTACACCAAAGCGGGAGGTGTGGGGTAAGTTGAGGCGTTGACTGACGCATGGATGGCTGTGCCACTGCGCGGACAGGGTGTTGTAGCTCACCGTGGCAAGTTCACTCAACTCGAAATCCTGCAAGATTGGATATTGCTCAAAAAGATACCTGCCTTTTTGAAAGAGCAGAACCAAGCAAATCCGTGAGCTGGAGAAAAAAGGTGTTATATTCAATTAATGCTAGCGACTGTCCTTTCGTTCATAGCATCCCAAACAATGCATTGCTTGTGCAAAACCGCACAGGTAAATGCCTGCCAATACTATCGAAATCCTTGCTATCAAGTCAGTATCTGATGTACATCGAGCGGGCATTGAAATGATGCCCCCCCCACATATGCGGTAATCCAGGACAATCGGTTGAGCTGCATATATGCAAGCCCATCCACAAAAACTGTTCAGATCTGATCAAATCAGATCATAATTGTAGTCTTTGAAGAGATTTGTGAGGCAGGCACCACACCGAAAACATGAACGAGGATGGAAATAGTGAACGATATAGTGGGCGCTCTCCATCGTTTACCATTCGGTGATCTGAGTGCTCTTCTGCTCAAAAGTCTGGCCGAACCCGCGAATGCATCCAGCGAGTTTCGAAACGCAATTTCGCTCTTCGTGGCTTGATGGGCGCACGTGATTCTCACTGGATTGCATTTGGGCAAACCGCGTGTTGACGTCAGTTCTCCATCTTTCCAACTCCTTCTGTACCTTAACGGCAACGAAACATCTTTTGCCTGCTGCTTCTTGAGGTGAAATATAGTGTGCAACGACGGAATTTTGCTAGAGTATCGCTGATATCCTCTCAGTTTGGGATATTTCAATTTCAGCAGTCTTGACAGCCTTTTTACATTTGCGAGTGTGCTATTTCGTTTTCAAGAGATAGACGAGACAAGCACCCTTTCCTTCCCTTATTCAAGAGCGGCAGGGTCCAGTGCACCGACTATAAACATACTGGAACTTTGCCAAGTACGCTTAAACAAGTACCACATTCTTGGTGAAACCAATGATGGCTGCATCCGACAAATCTCCATCTTCACCCGTCTCGGCGTCAGGAGAAATGTCGCGCCTTATTGTTGTGTCAAACCGTCTGCCTGTGACGATTACCAAGAAGGATGAAGGATGGAATTTTGCGATGAGCTCTGGTGGTCTGGTTTCAGCATTATCTGGTCTGAAGAAGGAGATGAAGTTTACGTGGATTGGATGGCCCGGTAGGTGACTAGTTTGTTTAGTCAATATTTGCCTGGATCTGACATGCTTCCCGAACTTTATAGGTCTTGATGTTATCCGTGATCAACAGGATAGTATGAAGAAACAACTCATTGAGCAACATTCATGCGTACCTGTGTTTGTCAGTGATGAATTGGCCGATATGCACTACAACGGCTTCTCTAACAGGTTCATATTGGTGTATTATCCTTTCTTTGGAACTTCTCTTACGAGTTTCTTCTCATTAGTATCTTGTGGCCTCTTTTCCATTACCATCCCGGGGAAATAAACTTTAACGAAGATCACTGGGATGCCTATCAAAAGGTCAACCGCGCATTTGCGGACGCAGTGGCGGACATGGTCGAGGATGGCGACATTATATGGGTGCAGGACTACCATCTAATGTTGTTGCCAACGATGTTGCGAGAGCAACTCATTGAAAAGAGGCGCAAAAATGTGAAGATTGGGTTTTTCCTACATACGCCTTTTCCGTCCAGCGAGATCTACCGGTGTGTTTATATACGTGTGTATACTTCTAAATCATCTATCTAACGCCCATGAAGAATCTTACCAGTGCGGAAGCAAATCCTTCTTGGAGTCCTCAACTGTGACTTGATTGGATTCCATACATACGATTATGCACGGCATTTCCTCAGCTCTTGCACGCGTATTCTTGGACTGCATACCATGCCAAATGGCGTAGAGTTTGAGGGCCGCGTAGTACATGTGGGGACTTTTCCTATCGGAATTGACACGGAAAAATTTGCGCAGGTAAAAGTGCTGCTCACTGACCGATGGGGATGAGCTTCTTTCTGATGCAGGTTCTATCCGGTAGGGACTACAAACTGAGCATATCCAATCACGGATCAAGCGACTTCAGGAAAAATTCAAGGGCGTAAAGCTGATTGTAGGAGTTGATCGATTGGATTACATCAAAGGGGTTCCTCAAAAGTTGCATGCACTCGAACTGTTCTTATCAAAGCATCCCGAGTGGATTGAAAAGGTATTTCCTGCACACGACAGCCTGCAATGACTTGCGTAATAATGCACTCTATTCGCCGTTGTATGCAGGTCGTTCTTGTGCAGGTAGCGGTTCCTTCACGGCAGGATGTCGAAGAATACCAGCATCTGCAAAGAGTGGTGAACGAACTCGTTGGACGAATCAATGGCCGTTTTGGAACTGTTGAATACGCTCCCATACACTTTATGCACAAGTCTGTTCCGTTTGACGAGTTGGTATCGTTGTACGCAGTGGCGGATGCATGTCTTGTATCATCGACAAGAGATGGCATGAACTTGGTCTGTATTGATGGAACAACACTTTTAACATCCAGTGACTGACTTGTTGATGGCGCTTTATAGGTATCTTACGAATACATCGTGTCGCAGCAGGACCGACATGGTGTGCTCATTCTAAGTGAGTTTGCCGGAGCGGCGCAATCCTTGAACGGTGAGTTTGAAAGCTATGTAATATTAGCATTGAATCCAGTAGTAACAGTATGTGCTGTAGGCTCAATCATTGTGAACCCATGGAACACTGAGGAGTTGGCTCAAGCTATCCATGATGCTGTGACAATGCCAGATGATGTGCGAAAGGCAAATCATCAAAAGCTATATCGCTACGTTACAAAGTATACGGCGGCCTACTGGGGGTTGACGTTCGTCAAGGAATTACAGGTAGGACTCGCCGCAATCGCTGTTATAATACATATGAGGCATCTAGCTTACCGCCTCATCTGCCGTAGCGTGTTTCCGAGCAGTATGATCCTCAAAAGTTGCCGAAGCTACCATTCGATGTGGTGCTATCGCGATTCAGCAAATCGCAAAAGAAAAAGGTGCATCTCTTTGAAATGGCACAATGCACAGGGCTCTTGTATTGACTTGCAATTTTGCAGATCATCTTTCTCGATTATGACGGAACTCTCACCACTACGCACAAGCTTCCAGAGTTTGCCAAACCTTCTTCTGCAGTACTCGACGCACTCAAGCGCTTATCATCGCGGCCAGATGTATTTGTGTATATTCTATCTGGGCGCTCTCGCATGCATTTGGACCTATGGTTCTCGGAAACAGGAGTAGGACTTTCAGCTGAGCATGGTTGCTTCTACCGTCATCCTCAAAAACTTGGAGAGGCTTTCGGGGACCCCGAGGCTGATGTGGATGAAGGGTTCAATGAGATCCCAGCTGAAGAGAGCGACACGGCTGCCGGTACGTCTGATTCCAGTGGAAAGCCTACCAGCAAGGGAGTTGAAATCTTTCGACGACGGGCAAACAATGGGTGGCTCGCATTGGTGGACCAAGTAGACTCGTCATGGCGCGACACAATCCGGCCATTGTTCCAACACTACACGGAACGCACACCAGGGAGTTTCATTGAAGAGAAGGAGATTAATCTCACATGGCACTACAGAAACGCTGATCCCGAGTTTGGCAGCTGGCAGTCTGCAGAGTTGCAAGTTAATCTTGAAAAGATATTGTCTCACATGGCTGTCTCGGTAAGCTGGTGCACAGTTTCAATGCATGAAATACGGCAGTCACTGAAAGCGATTCATTTTTATCGGATATTGATAGATTATCTTGGGAAATAAAACCCTTGAATTGCGTCCGTCTATGGTGGACAAGGCGACGGCAGCAAGGGCAATCCTCAAAGATCTCGGAGCTCCAAAAGATACGGATTACTGCCTCTGTGTGGGAGATGGGAAAACAGATGAAGTGGTCTTCCAGTTCCTTCAGCATGAATTTGAGGGTAACGACTCTCTGATCACGGCAACGGTTGGCAAGAAACAGACTGAGGCTGCATATTATGTGGAAACTGTAAAGGAAGTTGAAAAGCTGATTAGTAATATGGCTAATATGGAGTAGGGTCTTGAATATAGTCTAAACCCGACGAATGTCAGCAGAACATGTAGAAAGATTTGTATATTTACGTACTTGTGAAATATATGGAGGGACTCTAGGAGGGCTCAATTCGAGATTGTCAATTATTAAGGATCGAAGATGTCTGTCTACCTACCCTCTCACCTTGTCACTTTATCTAGACCTCGGGCAGTAGGGTTCATCATATTCTCGTCGTTATCACCTAGATGATGGGCCCACCTTCGTTGAAAACAATTTTGAAATGGATAGGGTACCTATAGTTCTGGCATAGGAAACAAAATGGCTGGAAGAGCGGTCAAGAAAGGACAAGGTGAGAGAGGTCATAGGACCTACTGCGGGTGAACAACAATTTGCACAGTTGGCGATTCAAAGATCAGCCCATCATTCACTGTGATACTGCAATGTCAAATGCAGGACACAGCCAAAGACCCAAGTCTGACAAAAAAGATTCCGAAAACTCTACCACTCTCCAAAATACCAAGTTACGTGGTTGTCCTTGATCAAAAATCCAATACGGCAATGACAACGACGAACTCGGTACTGACGAGGGTAAAGAATCCTGAAAGCCAATGTCCAAAACAGAACAACAAGCGCTGCTAAAACTTTTTGCTCTGCTGACCCTGCCTAGAGGCTACCATTCAAACGAACCAAGTTATGTCTGTATTTCATTTGCATTATCATTTTAGCGAGAAATGCAGACAAACTCAGGAGCGAATGAGCGGTAACATCCATAGCAGGGAGCGAGAGACAAACAAAGCAAAAGAAGGTGATATCGGGAAGAGAGGGAAATGGCCGGAATGGCCTGAATTTATAGGAAATTTCCAACACACCTCTTTTCAAGAAACCCCAAATAACAAGAAAATGGGGGGTGTGTGCGCAGTGAGCACAAATAGGTTGCCAGGGGACATATCACACGGCTCTGGCGTATTTTCTCCTTGCATTTTGTCGTACGGATTTTTGTACAAAGGAGTCTAATTGATCCTTTAAAGAAAGGGATTTTTGCACATGTAGTGTACTGATTGTTTACTTTATTAATGAGTTTCCTCCTCCCCTGCTTTTCTCTCCCTTTTTTTATTTATCTTTTGTAAAATGAGGAGAGACAAGCGGCTGTGGTGATGCATGGCTATTCTTGATGAATGGAACAGTTTGCAAGAGGAGAATAGATGACGATGTTGGTTGACGAGTTGCCAGTTGTTGTTGAGCATGAGTCACCTCGGGGGCATGTTGCGCTGGAAGGAGGGCCTGCTGTTCCCCTCTCCCCCTTCCCTCCTCCTCCTCCTCTTCCTTTTCCTCCTCCACCACCACAGGTTCAATAAAACTGAGCCTTGTCTCTCTGTGTGTGTGCCATAGGCATGCTAGTGTTCGTCCAACCCCTCGACTGATTCCGCATTCATTTTCCTTGCGTCGCCATTGTCAACATTGTCGCTGTTGTTCATTTGCAAAAAAAAGAAACTCTAAACCGTTTTCGGCAAATGCGAGGGGCAACTGCGAGCAAAAGAGATCAAAAAAAAAGGAACACTTGCGGTCTTGATCACGTCATTTAGAGACCATCGTGAACACGTGTTCGTAAGTGTGAAATGCGCAGCAAAAGCAACCGTTGCAACAAACAACCACAGCGACGTTAAAATGCTTTGCAACGGCATGGAATACACATTTGTACAAAAGGAACAGCAAGAACTAAAATTTCTGCCATGCTGTCATTTCCACATGTGTTGTGTGTTGCAGTTTGTATGTCATCGATGATGCTGGGTTGGATGGCCCAGTGGAACATTGAGAAACAACAACGTTTTTTGGGGCATTGCATCTTCTTTACCCGAGCAACTAACAATCAGAGGCGAGCCAAACAAAATTTGATAGCCTCGTCGTCCTCATTCTGATGTCGTTTCTGAACCCAAAAGGAACTTTTAGGAAATCGAGGAAATCGGCATTGTGACTTCACCTACGAGAGCATTCTGCCAGCCACTGCTGGACAAACATGTCATTTTCTTCCTCCAAAAAAGCTGTAAACGGGAGACGTAAATGGCAGAACGGAAGCCAGAGACCAAAAGCAAGAAAAAAGATAAATAGGGGGGGATCCATTCCTTCCCCTCCTCCTTCTCCGTGTGGTCAGTTTATCCATTAACAGCAAATTCCTTCCACCTTTCATCGGGTTTGGGTCCTTCTCCTGTGGGGGCACTTATCATCCTTTTTGTTGATTGCACCCTTTTGCATATTTTATCATTCCACATCTATCACATATTTTTAACAACCACTTGCACATCATGAAATCTATCTTGTCTGTTGCCGCATTGGCTGCTACCTTCATTTCGACAGTCGCTGGACATGGATTCCTTGTGGGTCCTGGTGTCATTGGTGCCGGCGAGAGGGGCACCGTTAGGAATTACGGTGCTATCAATATTGGTATGTAATGCAATGTTTGTCATGAGCGCGATCGATCTTGATTTTATTGAATAAACATTTTGGCAATTCTTTTTAGATATCGACAGTCTTCGTAGTCCCACACCGGGCAACTCTACCTTTTGCCGCAATGCTCCTCCTGGTCCCATTGTACCCATCACACTCACCAACGGCGAGCCCTTCACAGTGACCTTGGCCATGTCCACCGGAGCCGCCCACATTGGTCCTTGCAGTATTGAAATTATTGATCCTGCGAACCCCGCCCCCGGCACCGGCGCTGTCATTGTCAACCTGTGGCAGGCACAGGGTTGCGCCGTGCCGCCCATCAACCAGCACTCTACCGGTGATGTCAAGGCGGCCGCCTCGTCAGCATGTCCTGGTGATATTCCAGCAGGATTGATAACCGATGATATGTGTCTCTCGACATGGACCTTTACCGTTGAAAATGCGGATAAAATTACCTGCAAACGGTGCATCCTGAGGTGGTACTGGGAGGGTTGGCATTTGGGCGTCACCAACCCTGAGCACTGTAAGTTTCCAGATTGATGTTCACGTTGACATTGTTCAGATCCAACATGTTAACTCGCGATTTGTATGTTACAGATGAAAACTGTGTCGATGTTGAAGTCACTGTCGGCGGAGGTTCTGGAGCTGGTACACCCGCTACTCTTCCCGCATCCACCGGTTCCACAGCAGCGCCTGCTCCTGCTCCTACTGGCTCGGTCCCTGCTCCCAGCTCTACCGCTACATCAACTGCTGAAGCTGCCCCCGTACCAACCACAACCGCTGCCGCCCGCCTCGTTCGCCGCGCACGCCGCGCTGGAACTGGTTTGAAACTTAAATGAGCAAATCTAGATACACGATAAATATAGTGCTTCCTAGATTAGGATTATTGTTTGTTTTCATGTCTAGTCTGTACTTTTCTTATGCTAGTAGTACTAGAGGTGGGTGAACCCTAGTAGATATAGTATTTGCCATAGCACACGTATGTAAAAACACTAAATGAAAGAAATAAACGTATGGAGTGGGTGTATTTCAACAACAGTTTGTCCCAGTAACTTGCTCACTCGTAATATGTATTTCATGTTGGCTAATCAATAACCCATTTTACCATAGTACAATGACCCTCATCGTGTACAATTAACAACAAAAGCAGAGAGGTTCATCCGGTGAAACTGGCGGCCGTCTCGGCGACGTCGGCGACGGCGATTCAGCAGGCACAGGTGGCAATTCAAACAGCTTGGCATCATCCGGCGTCACAGCATTCTCCCGGAAAATGGCCCGAACTTTACTACTTTCCAGAAAATCAATATCTGTAGCAAATAGTATGGCATCATAGATATTGATCGTGCTCTCTGTCTCATCATCTTGTTCATGCTCCTCTTCCTTTTGTTCCTGTTCATTTTTCGGTGTCGTGGGTGCCGACTGATTAATATCCCCTGTCTGCTTTGCAGGAGGCGAACCTCGAATGGTATCCAACTTTGGAGTACTAATCCTCAACCCCTTATTCACCAAACTAGCCCTCCCAAATGGCCTCACAACATCGTACTCCTCCCCAGCATCTGATCTTGATCCCTTCCGCTTGAATGCCTTTCGCTCTAATGTAACCATATGCAACCAGTCTTCAAAGGATGCGTGAGTTCCTGCAGCTGTTACAGCGTTGTGGTAGGAGAGGGTTCTTCTCCTATTTCGTGATGTAGGGGGAAGGGAAGTCAGTTCTTCAATGGGAACCGGAACGGCGAAACGGGTTACGTTCCCTGCGGGTACAGGAACTTTTGTCGCGTCTGGGTGCGTGGTTGGGAACGCTGACATGGGCGGCTGGGCTAGCGGCGGGGTGGTCGTTGTGGGATGGTAAGCATCGCCGGCGGAATGGTGACGGCGTTGAGAGGGTGCATGAGCTTGTGGTGTGGATTTATCAGAGAAAGCCCTGAGACGCATGGACAACATCTTTTTAGGTGTCCCTGGTGCGACAGATTTTCGACGAGGCGACATGATATTGGAAAAAATGGATTTTTTCCGTGGTTGCTGTTTGGCTTCCTCGCCTGTGGCATCGGCTTTCCGGTCACCTGCTAACAGGGGTTCATCATCGGGCGCTTCGACAGCGCTAGGAGCACTCATTGTCCATGACGTTGCTGTTCCTGCTTCCACCTGCTTGACGCTTGGACTGGGCGGGATGATGAGATCCGAGTTCCGGCGCGCAGGACGGGGGAGAGAGTGTGGGCCAGTTTTGATGGAGAGGGAAGTGGGCCGTTTCCGAGCAGGTTTCATCATGGGAGGGGGAAGCGGTCCTATTGGTGAGGAAGGGAGGCCTTCGTCTCCTTCGTTATCAGTAGGAATTGGGGGCTGGAGGACTTGCAGCATTTCTTGTGGAGCTGGGACGGGTTCTGGTACGGATGTTACCTCTACAGGTTGCAAAGTTTCTGCTGGATTTGCCTCATTTTCAGATTCCTTTGCATCTGATTGAGATTTTACCATAAAATACTATCGCAAGAATTCAACATTTGCTGCAGCTTACATGTTCAAAGCGTACACAGAATGCACCTACCTGAACATTTCCAATAATATCTGTATTCGTCAATGGATTCAAGACATGCAGTCGATGGATCAATCGTTTTCCTTTATATTTCTGTGTTTTGATGAGAATCTTGTTCAACTGGTATGCGCTGTAATAAGAATAAAACGCCTAGCAAAAGCCAATCTCTATCAGTTACATTCTCCGTACGCTCAACGGGGCTCAACCACCATTACAAACTTTTTCAGGCTGCTTATGATCCCACGTTTGTACTCTTGCAATAATAAACTCTTTTGTGCCTTTTGGTTCGGACTCGCGGTGCATGGAAATAAGGTCTCCAAAGGTTTCGAGGCAAAAAGAGTCTTCATAGTCTGTTGAGACAGAGTCGAGAACATTTGTGCCTGAGCTGTCCAACAGGCGAATGACGTCCGACATTATCTTTTTTGCTCACTTCTTTGTAGTTGCACTTTATGATAAAGCGGGTGCGTGGTCGTTGTTGTAAACTGGCCGATGCGCGATACCGCCAATGGGTCGCTGGGCCTTCCTGAGCGGAGCTTTATGTAATCAATTTGTAAATTGCAAGTTTGGATACACACTTGGAAATAACACTGCAAAAGCATACTTTTGGGCACTGACAGCTTCACCGGTTTCTTTACATGGTCTTTTTTTGATGCCTCTTTCAGTTAGCCATCTATATTTTGTTGAGTGTGCTTACTTTTTGTTTTTGGAGATCCTCTGCATGGCATTCCGTCCGTTTTATAAAACTCTTGCCCAGAAAAGCCATGCTTGAACGGCGATCGGCGATCATTGATATCTATTCACATTTATACTCAACATTGTTGATACCCGAATCATACCCCAATCATGTAACAACACTTGAAAAGCGGATCAACCGATCCACATGGTTCATAATAGATTGGACATTTTAAGCGGACGTTCCGCAATATGTACGGTGAGGAAATCCGTTTTACAATACTATGCTAAATAACTTGCTCTCGCTTTACTTTGTTTACAATGTTTTGCCTAAATATCGCTTCCCATGGCGAGGAGAAAGGATTGTCACCCACATCCTGCCATGCACGCGTTGAGTTTTTGTTGCGCTGTAATGACTCATCCATTATCTCATCATGGCGGGGGCCTATTTAAGGTTCCTTTCTTTTAAAGGTTCTTTTTAACAGCCGGAACTCTGTTCAATACGCTTTGTATCTACCTTACTTGAGATTATCAACCAAGGAGCATAGCATACAGAAAGAATGCCGGCCAAGATTGCTATCATTGGTGGAGCTGGAAGTGTTGGTGCTACGGTAACGTTGGTTATTCATCAATATCACGCAGAGAGACGGGCATATCTTGATACATTGAACCATCTAGGCCGCCTATGCCATCCTCCTCCGTCGTTGCGCCTCGGAACTCCTCCTAGTTGATCTCGACACTGAAAAATGTGCCGCCCAGGTCTTGGACCTTTCCGACGCTGCTTTCCTGTCGGACACCAAAGTCAGGATGGGTACACCCAAAGAAGCCGGGCAATGCGATATTGTCATTATCACTGCCGGGGCCAAGCAGCGTCCCGGTGAAACCCGTGTGGACCTCATTGGCCGTAATCGAGCGATTCTGAGTTCCGTCATAGAATCAATGAAACCATTCAAGCAATCGGCAATTTTGTTGCTCATTGCTAATCCTGTTGATGTTTTGACTTATTTTGCACAAAAACTGAGTGGATTGCCTCAAAGCCAAGTCTTGGGATCTGGGACATACCTTGACTCGGCGCGGCTGAGAAGTGAACTCTCATCGCGACTGGAAGTGGCAGAGACTGCTGTGCATGCCTACGTCCTAGGTGAACATGGTGACAGTCAGTTTGTCGCGTGGAGCTCGGCTCATGTCGCCAATACGCCCTTGTTGAGTTTATCTGCAATGAAGGGGGTCGACAAGAAAAAGTTGGCGGAGGACGTCAAGAATAAGGCATACAAGATTATTGAAGCAAAGGGCGCCACATATTTTGGGTGAGTACACATCTCATGTTTTCACTTGACTATTGATCACCCACCAACAAACTCCTCATGTGCCCACAGTATTGGCGGTGTAGCAGCCTCCATCTGCGAATGCATCATCTTTGACCTCCGCCACGTCCGTCCCCTCTCACACTACATTCCCGAACTCAACGTTTGCCTCAGTTTCCCCGTCGTGCTAGGCCATAGCGGAGTCAGGCAAACCCTCAAACCTCCTTTGACAGAGGAAGAAGAAGAATTGCTAAAGAAATCAGCAAAGGAAATGAGAAACGTTATTGAAAAGTACGAGTTGGCTCCCGATCAGTAGTGACGTTTGCAAATGTATGATATTGTACGGTTCGTCGGGTCTTTGGGAATGGAATTTTTGGTACACTGTCATAAAAGACAAGCCATACCTGAGGTTAATATATACATATTGGATAAAGTTGAATGTGTTAATGGGAATGTGACTGGCGTTGGTGATGATCTTGAGGCACCATTCTCCGTGCCTGAGTACCATTGTTCTTATCTCAGCGAGCTAGATTTGTCCAGAGCAAGTACCGAAAAAGAAAAGATATTACAGACTCAGCGGTTAAAGGTTGAATGAAAACAGATTCTCTTCTGAAATTGCTATGTACATGTGGTCGAACCCTCTAAATGTCCCAAACTACTCCTTTCTCTTCTGCTCCTCTTCCCAATCCTTCTCCAACTTGCCCACAATCGGCTTGTCCTTTACACTAGGTTTGACTAGATGCTCTGTCCCTTCCCATCCGGGCTTGTCCTTTTGTGCATGAGCAACTTCTTCGACAGCTCGCACTGCATCGTGGTGCGGTTGGTCCTGTCGGCCGTGGAGGATATACGCACTGTTGGGTTCGTGACCCAGCGGAGGAGCGTTGTGTTCACCTTTTGGAAATGGAACAGTTTAACAAGGATGGTTTATATCGTGGAAGAACTTGCGAAAGACTTACGGTGTCCTGGTGTTTTGCCCATGTCCTTTTTGTCGTTGATTGATGTTTGGTTTACAATCAATTGCTTGGTCGAGTGCTTGTCGTGTTTTCTTGCGAGATGGTCTGTCCGGCGTACTGTCTTGCTTTTTATCCTCTCGAGTTGAAATGGGGCTTCACAAGGTTACGATTCCACTTGTTGCGTCATTAGAATATCATCTGTGGAAGCTTGCAAAGGGCAAAGGGTGGATCATGTGATAGACGCTTAACAAGTTGCACTTGGGAACAGACTACGATGCGCATCAAGCTTTCATATCTACTCGCTGCTCACCAATTTTCAAAATTTGTTAAAATCTAATTTCGAATTCAATAGCCAAAGAATAACAGTTTTTGTAATTGAAAAAGCATCATTCTTTGATGGAAAGCTCATCAGAGCCAAAGAAGAAGAAGAAAAGAAAGGTTATGAAAGCTGAGCCTGAAGAGTACGTGGCAATGAAAGCACTTGCACATCATCAGAGCCAAAGAAGAAGAAGAAAAGAACAAAGAAAGTGGTCGGCGCCAACGACGACAATCGTATTGGCAGCACTCCAGATGGAATTCTCCAGAACGAACTTGATGAAAATCAAGATCATGTGGACCAACTTTTACCAGGCACCCAGGAGCCAAAGCCAGTGAAAGCAAAGAAAGTGGAAGCCGAGAGCACTCGCAATCGAGCGGTATGCATGTGAATCCATCACTGCCATTTCGGATATTTCCTATCTCAATAGATGCGATGACATTTTTAGCGACCTTAGTCTGATGCCGAACGCAGGCTCTCCAAATGCTAGCTCAAAAACACGGCGAACTCGGCAATTGGCCTGTTATAACACAGGAATTCAACGATATGTTTGGTAGAAATCAGAGTCAGTTGCGAACATATTGGTCAAATATTCTCAAGAAACAAGTTGGATCACCGTGAACGTTTTGTTTTTTGCTTGTAGCTGCGGGAAGGTGGAAATCATCTTCATGGACGTACCGACGGCAGGGCTGATTGCCAGAAATACCTGGGTAAATGTATACTGTTTTGCTAGGTTATGCTTGAACAGAGATGGATTTGACATGTGGCTGGCCGTACCTTGTTAACATTCCGTCCCGCCTGAGCAAGTCATAGTTCTAAAGCACACGATAGAACGGACCCTAGAAAAGTGAATGAAGGGAAGGGCATTGCTCTAAAACCACATGGCCATAGACCTATTTGAGAAGTGGACTGTGAGGGCCGATGGCCAAGCCTTTCTAAATGAAAGAGAATCTGGGCTAGCCGCATTGATGAGATCGGAGAAGACATCCTACAAAACACAAACAGCACGGGACTCAACCCCAAGAAATTGACAATGCGGGCGTTGTTGCAACGGAGAACGCCCGTTCGACAAATTCAATGGGTATGAAGGTTTGGGGTAAGGTAACATTGGACTAATACGCTCCGCAATTTTCAGCCCTGATGCGGGTCTCGTGTAAACATCCCTCAACCCGCATCGCCTTCCTTTTACCCCTCCTTGAATAGTTTATTCTCACGAGAGCCTTTGAAAAGTAGTGGGTGGAAGCATTGTTCTGCAACGGGTTGTCATTGTCGTCAAGTCGCAACGTGACATGGGTGCGATGGTGGCATTCCAATCTAAGAACAGCATTCCTGGTAAACATCACGCCTCCGACGCTTTACGGGCGCAGGTTAAGATAGTGTTGGCATATCCAACTGTATTTAGGAGATAGCCCCATCTGTCTCCCATTTCAAGTGGCACCTGTCAGCGTTTGTTGTTTGCGGAGACCTGCTTATGTAACGGCGGAGCTTCTCAAATACTGACAGCGTGCGATTATCTTCAGTATCAAAGAAGGGCAAACATCCATTCAAAATTCAGGATTAACATTTTTTGTGTCTTTCAATGCCTTTACCCCAGGAACCATGATTGTTGTGTAATTTACCACGGATGATTAAGAGGGATATGTCATGCACTCTACGACCCAGGCTGCTCAACAGCCCACCAAAAGACAAAAGCTTCTTCTTGCCTTTCCAGTACCTATCCTTTACAAAAATTGATCACACACGATTATGAGTATGAGTAGATCTCCAGGAAGACCAGAGCAGTCCGTCAATGGCGGGTCGTCGACGACGGACCCTACCATGTCCCTCAATAGCAAGGGTGAAATGGTCCTCAGTAACCGCGTATGGACCTTTCACCGGTTCATAACGGGATTGAAGAGTGGAAGGGCGCCGATCAGTTTGATTTTGATTGCATTTATTACGTCGCTTGCAACTGGGATCGCTTTTTTGGCATGGGGATTGACTTTTCGTGCCGCCACGGTAGGTCTGCCAAGTTTGCGCATATTCGGGGTTTTGACGACTGATTGTCTTTTCATCTTTAAGAACTCGGCAACTATTCTGGCACAAGCTCTTCAGAGGCGAATTATTGACCAAGTGGTACGCTTCTCGTTTGTCATCACAGTTGTGGCTGCTCATCTAAAGTAAGCACGACTCCATAGGTTTCGGATGTTGCCGTTCGTTTTCTAGCAGTAGAGGCATCAACCGCAGTCTCTGTGCTTAACTTTCGCCAGGGTTATTACTCCGCGGCCACGTATGCAGACAAGGATATCACGACCCAAAAATTGGTGAGTGGCTGGCATAGCGACAAAAAGCTCCATCCCGAATCAATCTCTTAACTGCATCGCTGCAGCTCAATGTCCTCGTTCCCAACGTCAATTTCTACTCAACTCAATACTTTACTACCGTTCCAGAGGGTGAGTTATGGGGAGCGTCGACTTCGACACAAGGAACAGTCAGAGAATACCACCTATGGCGACAATATGGGGGGAATCTGACCACCTGGGACGTTGCCGCAAATGGAACCAATCTCGGCCCTGTGACTAGTGACCTCAACCAAAATAATACCAATTCTTACTGGGTTCAAGTGAGTATAATGCCATCAACTGTACGCACCGGGAGATATGGGTCACATTCCTTATCCTACGTTGCTCTTGAAAGGCGATCGATGTGTCAAATGCCAACGCGTTCAATTGGTCATCGGTGCAAGTTTGGGACTATAAAGGATGGAAGAGTTTTCTTCGCGTCTTTTCGGACGACCATGGCACAATTCAAGGTGTTGTCGGAGCGGACCTTACATTAAGCTTTATTCAAACTCTCTTGGCGGAATCAAAAGCATCGATCCCGTACAACAACCTATTGTACGCATTTGAAATGGCCGGAGGGACGGATACGATCGTGGCTTCATCTGAGCCAGATGTCCAGCTCTACGAACTAGATTCGAACGGTGCGGCCGTACGAGCGCTGACCTTACCCGAAATTGCGGTTACGGATAAGGACACCGCTGCATTGTATCAATTGCTGCAAACAAAATCGGATGGTTCTCTCTCCCACTGGCTATCTATACATCCAACTAATGAGGCGGTGGAGCTTGAATTATCGGGTGGCACGTTCAGTATGATGGTTGGCAGAATTCAGCGAGCGAACACAGATTTGGCCATCATCGCTTTTATCAACCGTGATGCGATCATGGGCGAATTACAAGCTGCCAATCGTAAAACGATCGCGATCGTTGCTGGAGTGGTAGTGGCTGGATGTTCGGTTGCGGTTGTGTTTTCGTTCTTTTTGGCAAAGGCGCTGCATCGAATTACACGGGACTTGAGAATGTTGGCCAATTTCAAGTTTCAAGACGTCTTGCAGCAAGATATCGATAAGGAGTCTGGAGTTCGTCGGCCCCAGTATAGTCGTATATCAGAGCTGTAAGTATCGTCTCGTTGTTCGCCCGCAACTTTGGCGATGACGCTGACGCTCGCTCCTTTTCTAGCTGGCAGATTCAGCGAGCGTTTCACAAGATGGTGATCACCTTTGCGCGAGCGGTTTCGCAAAACAAGCGGTTCTCTGAGCGACGGCCAACCCTGCTTAATAATCAGCATAGAGAGATGATGCCGAGCCCCTCCCCCGAGGACGGAAGAGATTCAATTGGACCAAGTAGTGGATATCAAGTTGAGACCGAAGACCCTGTTTAAACATGTGATGTCGTGTCATTTCGCAACTGAAAAGTTACTGAAAAGTGGTAAAAACGTTACGGGAGAGAAAAGGTCTCGAGTATCTATCTATAAATGTTTTCTTCAATGTATGTCATTTTTATATTTATTGAATCCGAATCCATACAACGAGCAGTACATTCAGCCATCGGATGATTGGCGTATGGCCCATCTGGTGGGCTCGCACTTTGAAGGAACTATACATCAGATAAAGCAAAAAACTGCACCAGCGCGCGCATAGTGGTGGATTTGAACAAAAGCCCTGACCGTCATTGAATAATTACATGCAACCTCGTGCTGGTTGTCTCCAACCCCCGCTCCATTGCGCAGACGAACTCTTACAAACAAACCTAATGTGCATTGGCAAGCCTGATCTCCTTTTCATTATCCCCTTGCTCCTTAATTACATTTGCTTTAAAACTCCGCTCATCGCCAACTTTTGCTATTGCCCTTTTAGGGTTAATGAAAATCATGACGCGCGTTGAGCCGTTTTTAAAATAACGCGACTTGGTTGTGAGTTGTTGGAGGAGGAGGTTCTTCCAGTGCCAGCCGCCAAAACAAGGAAACACCTGCAAAGAAGAACGTCGTAGGAACAGGGGGGGCTGAAAGGAGAATAGAAGGAAGGGTAGAGGGTTTTTGCCTTTTGATTTCTGAGATCTCATAACGTTTTTTTGGCCTCGTTTTTTATTTGCGTATAGACGTTAGACACATTTAGATTTACTGCGCTTTTTCTTGGCGGCTGCATCGCTTGGAGGCCTTTCTTTTTGTTGCAGCTCTCTGTGCTTTTTGTTCTTTTGTCGTCTCTGCTTCTTGGGCGAACGGACGTTCCAAAACAAACAAAAGCGTTGCTTACGGCGATTCACTTGAGAATAAACAAAGAAAATAGAAGCATTGCATCGTCACGACGGGAGAGCCGAGCATTGTTAAAATGTCGTCACTTACACTGCCGCGACGCTCGATGCCTCCCAACTCGCCATATCTGCCGACCTTTGGGAATTTGGGACATTCGACGTCGACAGCTGCCGACTTTCTGCGCATGCAAAAGCCTTTACCAAGTCGACCAGATGTTGTTACCGACGTTCCTATTCCTCCACGCACAAAGTCATCCCCGCGGCGCGCAGCTCTCCGCGAAGACCTTTACCAAGACCCATCATTGGAAGACGAGTTTGCGGCTGGCTTGATCAAACTGCTGTCCGGTAGTGGTACGGCGGATCAGAGGGACGGCGATGCTCGTGCCAAACAAGCGCCTTCTGCCGTTCCACCGCGCAAAGCCTCCTTGAGCCATGCGATGGGTGTGTCGGTTTCGTTGACTGGAAGTCCTCAAGGAGAGGAGCCGCCAATTCCGGGACGCGACATGGCCGGGGCCTTGGAGCAAGAGCAGGTTAGTAGTACTACACGAGTGTATCCAGCCCCACAAAATTTTTGGTTAACCTTATCCTTGCATGCAGTACATTAAAGTGAGCTCCATCTATCAGACCTTCTTCACTTCGGAACCTGAAGAGATGGAGGAGAGTCGTTCCCAAACACTGTCGCGGACAAATTCAATGCATGTCCAAATGTGTGATCTAATGGATATGTATAATATGGACGAGGCCACACCAATACCTAGACTGGAAAGAAGCCTGACTACGGAGAGTGTGCGCAGTGAATGGCCAACAAGCGACAACCATGCTTCAAGGAAAAGCAGCAAGAGTTCAAAGAGCTCCAAGACGTCGTCGGATAGATCTGGAAGTTTAGGAAGACCCAAATCACCAAAGCTTTTACCCATTTTTGGAAATGGTACCCTTGCTCGCACCTTGTCGCGGTCAAAGTCGCGAACAGTAGACACTCCTCGCACGTTGGCTGAACAAGGGCTGACGAATCCGGATCGGGAAGGTCATCTTTTGTTCCGTGTTGACAGGGACAGTCCATGGAAAAGACGTTGGTGCTTGTTGAAGAATGAGCATGTTTACGTGCTCAAATCTCAAATGGTGAGCATTGTTTGCGTCCAGATGGCTCCGTAACCTGCCCAATTAACCGATTTGGCCAACAGGACAATACCGTAATGACCATCATCATGCTCACCCCGGACCTCATCGTGCTACCTGATGACTCTGGTGGGAACAGCACGGGCACGACCAGCCGCTCCAACAAGGCACAATACGCATTTAAAATCGTCACACCTCAACCGGGAACCGGCTCGCATGCGATTCCGTTCTACTTTGCAGCAGAATCGAGATTGGATATGTTAATGTGGATAGCGGATTTGGTCAAGGTGGCTAACGGCGCACCCATCAAAGCTCCTCGAACACTCATTCCGATACGGTCTGAATGTCCAACACTATCTCGTGACCCTTTGATTTCCTTCTCGACACCCACCGAAAATACGCAGTCTCAACCTTCTCAGAAGACGTCAGGTTCGAATAAACGATTCACCCTACAAAACCTGACACAAAAACTAAAACACCAAAAGCCGATTCGAAAGCTTCGTTCTTTTTCGCTGGATTCGAAAAAGGCGGCCGTTGAATCTCAACCACCCTCGCCACCTCCCCCACCACTACCGATCCAAATGCAACTTCCACCCCAACCGGAACTCCCACCCAATCCAATGTCTCAGTCTTTGCCTCGTAAGAGCGACGATATAGTTTACAAAGAACCGCCCCGATACCCAGCACCTACCACACCTCCTCCACCAGTTCCTCCGGAACGAACAATTTCTCTCTCCCCAATGAGTTTACCCGAGGTTAAAAGTATGCGTTCTCCCGACACTCGACGTAGCGGTATGATTGTCACTTTTGATTTCAACGGAAATGGACGATTTGGAATAGGGGAAGACGGGGATGCGTGGTATTGGGACCCGGATTCGCCTCCTGTTCCGCCTGTGCCTCAGGTCTATGCGAAGGCCTAAGACGATAGATAGAGCGCATTTCTTCTCGTGGACTTGCTCTGTAAGATTAGCTTATAGTTTGTCAGCAGTTTGGTGATATATATGTATGTGCGGAAGGTGATGGCAGGTGAGACTCGCTTTTTTGTATATACCCCCCTGTCTTGCCTTTGCCGCTTCCTTCCGTGTCCATGTGTTAGTTGGGAGTTTTATTGCATGTAATTTGTTTAATGGTAGCTAGTATTTGTGTGTCATTCCTGGGATTTTGTTCTATCCCGTCATTATATACTTTGGATAAGTTACTGGATGTATTTGGGCTACACTAGGCCCGTGGCAGACATCATCGTGGCCGATGAGGCTCTTCTCCATGGGATGTGGTATAAATACCACATGAATGCTCTGTACATTATGTGTGCATGTCCGGATGATAAGTCCTCCGTTCTCCCGCACCGTTGCCGCTTTGGGGAGGAGCACGGCGAAGGTCAGCGTATATCGGCAGCTTCGCTGAAGTAAGCAACCGGTTCTATGCATTGGAGGGTGGCAAAGCCACCTTGACGGTGGTTATAGCCATTTGTCATTGCCAATGGGTGCGAGAGCATGCAATGACAATGCTTCCTGACAAACTCGCACATGGATACTACCGCCGTACATGCAATATTAGATCATCTCCTGTCCAATCCCGACTTTAACCTGAAAACACTGCGTCTGGGTGAAGAACCCCCAACAGCCGAACTGCAACGTACCATTCTATCGAGTACACTAGAACGAGATAAAGGGTTGTTTCTCGGTAAGCTTACTCCAAAGCTGTTCTTTACGGCTGCTAGTCTGTTACCCTCTTCCATGTCTTATCTTTTGATTTTGATTTACTATAAGAGAAATGGGGAAAGTTTTTGGGTTCGCAACAATTGGAGTTTTTTCATCCGTTTGCAGGTACGTTAATAAAATCTCCGGACTCTGGTTTACTCGCTAATCTGTCCAAAGATCAGTATGAAGTGAAATACTACCTGAATCAATACCAAAGTGTCAGTAGATCACTGACGAAAGCCCAGATTCGAAATCGGAGGTCAGTGAACATGTAACATTACCACACTAATGTAAGGGTTTATTCCTCAATTATGGTTGTCTGTCACTAGAATCAATTATATGAATCAAAATCTGTCCGACGAATACTTCTCCGATGATGCCTTCAAAGACCGTGAGCCAGCCCTTTACGAGGAATACATTGGTACCTAGCGAGGATGATTTCATATTTTATTCCATTCTCAGCTGATGCCATTAATTACAGGTCGGTATCTTCCGCCACCGCAGGCATTCCCGGATAGTATGACTCTTGTGGACCGAATATATTCAAATATGGATCGTGCCACACATTTGGAAACTCTCGGACGCCAGCATGAGATTGAAGAGGAGCAATTTGAAGAGTTTGATACCGATGAGGAAGAGGACGTTCAGGACCAGCAAGAGGAAAGGGATTTGGAATCGAAAAATAAAAGGGCTATAAAAGTCGACGAAAGCATCGATCTGGAAGCGACAATGGCTGAGGGGGAGGACGAAGGGCCAATATCAGACGAGGAGAAGGAGGCATTAGCAGAGGAATTTCGCACACTGATGCGACTTAGGTTCATTGATGGAGAGGAGGTAATCATCGCACTTTACATGTCGTTTAACTCCCACTGAAGATGCTCAATGCTACCATTGCTTGATTGCTAGAGTGACTTTGAGTATTCGAACGTAAGTTATGACGGATGGCTCTGGTAGTTGACACATCTAAGCGGGATTGCTGTAGGTGGACAATAACGCCCTGTATGACCTTTCCGATCAATCACTGCAAGACGATGCGGATGCATATTTTGATAGTGAAGAGCCCAGCGCGGGCGTGGATGAAGATCGAGGCTATTTGATGGAAGATTTCTAGAGAGTGTGGGGTTTTCCAATGACTAGTCAATGTCACTGTCCCACAATGTTATTCGGTGGCGAACCAATAACGAGATGCCACGCACATTGATGTGGCAATGAAGCATGACCGTCCTTGTTCTGGTTCCTTGTAGCTATCCAGTTGATAAGAACTCGTGAAGTTGTTCAAGTTTCCGTCCTATGACAGCTTAAACGAAATCAATGCATTCCAACCCCGGGCAGTGGCATTGAATCTTATTTGTTAAGCATGTTATAAAGTCATTAGTTTAGCCATCATAACTGAGCTACCTGTATTGAGAAATCTGTAGAAATGGCAATGATCAGAAACTTAAAAGATAATTGCGGCAAAAAGTGAAGAGAATAATATAGGTCATCACTGGGCCGGATAGTTGTCTCTGTGGAATTGTATACTTCTTTTTTAAGGATCATTCCCACCGATAATAAGATCCACATCTTCTAATTGTAACCCTCCCTGTCGTGGACAGAAATCATAGGGTGTGAGGAGCAACAAAATGACTACGAAAACCTTTATCCACAAGTGCCAACCATGTGAATCGCTGATGCCTTTCACTGATTGACTTGATAATGCTCCGTAGAGTCCATCCAGTCAACCTGTAGGGCATTCTCCATTAGCCCATAGCATGGAGAATCAACCATCTATCGGGATGCCTTGTAACCCTCACCCGAATCATAGCTTGTCGCACAGCATACTTGGACATCTGACGCTATTGACGAGGAGGGGCGCTTCGCTAGTGAGAAGCACTTAAAAAGGACGTACGATGTGATCCCACTTGTGAAGTAACACATCTACAGAATACTCTCAGTTCATAGTGGTAGCTCATAAGTTATCCTGACATGTAGAATGACTCGGGTGAGCATTTCCTGTGCTCGCTCCTGTGGAGAGCAAGCTCAAAACAGAATGCGGGATGACAGTGACGATTGGCACATAATATTATAGTTAGAAATCCTACGTACACTCTATTCCTAGTATTACTGATGTTGCTTTTTCTGCTTCGCGTCAATGATCACTGGCATTTTGCCCTTCCAAGTAGCCCATGTTTCGGGGTTCGTAGCCAATTCAGCCATAAAGTGGGCAATGTTTGCTTTTGTGGTGTCGTTAACGTCAAAAAGGGAATGTTGGATTGATTCGTGGGTGGTGTATTCGCTAACGTCTCCATCGATGAAGGCATCAGGGCGAACAGCGGTCCACTCAATGAATTGATTTCCTGTTCCAATCTCTTTGTTGATGTACTCGGCAGCACGGACATTGTCTTTATGTGGAGGAATCAGAGCTTCGAGCGTCCAGAATATTGCCCTCTCAGTCCGGCTTCTCACTCCAACGTCGGTTCCTGCTGGGTTGGTGACGCCAACCGTGTTGAGGAGAATGAATTTTATGGGTGTTTCTGGTCGGATTTTTTCAATTGCGCCGCACAAGTTTTTTGAAGCTCTCAGAACCAAATCGTGGGGTGCCGCCCAGATTCCTGCATAAACCAACATTGAATAAGGTTAATACACGCAAATCCACGAGCGATAAGTATATGCATGCGTACCAAGAAAAGGAATAGAACCAAGGTGCATATTATGCCCAAGGGTCGACATGACAGCGTCACACCCTCGGATGTGAGTGATCAACTCATCCTCGCTAATATCCAGCAAACTTGCTTCAATCAAAGATAGTTTTGGATTGCCAGATATTGTAGCAGGAATGCTTTCGGGGGAACGAACAATGGCCCGTACTTCGACACCTCTTTCTAGTAATTGTTGAAGAAGGAGCTTTCCAACGTTTCCTGTTCCGCCGACTACTAGTACACGCATGATAAAGTGATAGTTGAAATTTGAGGAATGCTTTTCAAATGTTTGATAGATATGTAAAAGTCCAAAGGAAACAAACTGAGATGTGGTTTAAATAACTGGCTTCGTTATCGCGCTCTGAGTCATGGCACACTCCTTTGTTGCATTTCAACGTGTCCATTTCCCATTTGCCCCCAGAATTTAAGTTGCAAATGAAAATGAAAAAAAACCTTATTTAACTGACCACGAGTCATCGAAAAAGTTATTATCCACAAAAAGCCCTCCGTTGCCCTCTGCTGCTATCTATTTAGCGACAGGTTGAATGACCAACCCATGCGAGGGTGCTGGCTATTTGTTCACACTGTAGCAAGCAGATCCACACGATACAAGTATGCAGTGGGGGGGACCAATACGAACTTGTATGGCTGGTAGCAAAATAAATATTGAACAACTCTTTCTCCGTCGCTTGTTTCCTTGCATCTCTTCCACTTGGCTCTACACACTTTTGCTCCACGTTTTGGTGGATTTTTGTTCAGATTTCAGGTTTTAGGTCGATGTTGCGTTCAGCATGTCTCTCCCGCTTGGCGCTTTAACGTAACGTAGCTTGTTTCTGGTGCACATACTACACAATATGGCGCACTCCAAGTCATCACTCTGGACAAGTGCCTGAACAGAGTTCCCAAAGGCCAGAATTCACGCTCGCATGCAGAATAGGATCTGTATCATGAATCCGTGACATTCGTCCTGCTCTCCCTGATATTTTGTAATCGCTATATTTTCATAGCAGTATTGGTTAAAGCTGCTTCCAACATTTCCGGATCATTTCAAGAGGCAGTATGACGGAGGGGCCATTTTCAGGCAATGATGTTATCGCAAACACACTTTTTGAAGCCGTGGAACAAAATGAGTGCGAATGAAGATTTATTTTTCTATCCTCTCTTTCTTATAATAATTCATGACCCAGTGCATCCGAGAAGTTGCTCCCTCAATCAAGATGTGGATTATCGGGCTGCACTGGCGCTTAGACTGAGGACTTTGTATTATTGCGACAATTGTATTGAGGCAATTTGGGCAAGCTCATCTTCTTTGCTAGCCAACTTAAAGCGCTATATCTTACATTCGACTCTTTCTGCAAATGACTTTCTCTCCTACACAGGGTCAGCTGCCTATATCTTGGGTTCAAGGTGACCACGAATATCACAGAATACATCCTCGGACCACTGCAGGTTCTATGAAGCCGATGGCAGTGAAAACCTGACGCCGTCACCCCAAGAGCCCAAAATATGAATGCGACTGGAAGCGCCAGCGCCATGTCCAGCAGCTGTTTCGTAATAAGGGGATCGCCCCCAATCATCCCTTTGGAGATCCAACATCTCCGCTTTGGCACGTCTTTCACAGCAATCAGTCTTGGCTTTTCAAGATCCAATACGCGGAGAGTATCTCATGCCAGGGACCCTCAGAGCCAGTGTTGGATATCCTCTCTATCCCATCCGACTTCAATCTCTATCTACAGGATAATGGCACGCGGATGTTGCCTACTTTACTTATTCAGCTGTCTCCACAGATCATGAGGAACGTCAGCATCTACAATTTGCAAGCAGACGGCTATAAAAAAATCGTAAACGTCTGGGGATGGAACGAGTTCTGGCCTCAGGAGAATGAAATCTCCATATCCAAACTTCCAATCAGGTGGTCGGTGAGGGCAACTTTTCCGAACCTCTGCTACTAGCGTGAGTCCATCAGCATTGTTAAGGGATATCTTAATACGAGTCAATCCCTGCTGTAGCAATTCCAGTTGCCATCGAGAGCCGTCCCTCAATTGAAAATCTGCGTAGGCATCCTACGTAATAGACGAGCTTTAGAGTTTGTACTTATCATTGATTGGAACCGTCAACTTACCGGAATGTAAAGAGCATTTGTGCGTTTTCTATTCATTGCCACAATCTCAATCTTCTCTGTTGTCTGGCAGTTTTTGAACTTCCACCCGGCCTTTAGCATTCCCCGAAAGGCAACCTCGTATAAAGGTTTCGTCAATTTAACAGGCGGAAGGTTCTCCAGAAACGCTTTTCCCTGTCCAGGATCATAGTACTCTACAACTTTACGGACGAGAACGACGGATCCCCATTTTCCAGGTTGCTTTTCCGGTGCTATACAGTAGAGGGGCCGGTAGTCAGCGTCTATTGCATACATGCCCTTGCGGTACATGTTATCCGGATTATACGCAAATGTAAGGTATATATGAAAAGGCAATTGCCCGTACAGCATGGCAGAGGATTCTCGAGAGGGATATTGTGACGTTGAAGGATGAAGACCGTGCTGGTAACCGTCGAGGAACACTCGGAGCGAAAACGATTGAAATTCCCGGTTGAAACGAAGTAAAACGCGTCAGCCAGTCGTTTGTCTTGTTTTGCTAAAGTGCTTCTTGATCGTCCTTGGCCAGCCGGAGACTTTTTGGCGAAAAACAACAACGACAAAAGAAAAAACTGTCTGCAAGAGTTTGCGTTTTGGTTGACTTTGACTCTCGTGGGATGGTTTAGACCACGGAAGGTATCGGCGGGAGACATTTTAAAGTAGTGCACAGCAGCAAAAAGCTGCCATCGTCGCAAACCAAGAAAGGACTTACAAACGGCTGGGTTTGCAATTTCATTTTTCTCCATCTCTTGAGCAGCTTTTTTCAGGGGCTTTCGCAACGTTGAACGTTGAATTGCCCGCAGGTTTTTTTCTGGCTCTTTTTTATACTTTGGAATTGTACATCTTGTGGGTCTTTTGGTCGTGCGCAGCCCTTTGACCATGGCAGTAGACGACAATTTCAAGAAGCATTCCCAACTCCACGATGACAAGGATCATCATTTAAGCAATGTTCTTTTTTTTTTTTTGCCGCAAACAAAACTGCTTCCAGACGGGCAACTCTAGTCAGAAAGTTGCTCAGCCTTATCCATATAAAAAGATGTGCATCGTTATGTATTCTGCCAGCAGCCTCTTACAATGGCCCAATCAAAGTGGGTCGTATTCGGCATCATCCTGGGTGCAGTGGCAGCTGCTGTACCTGTTTCGGCCATCGCTTGTGGAGCCTCGAAGCAGGTCGTGGCAGGCGATAATTGCTGGGATCTTCGTACCTCTGCTGGTCTCAACGAGCAAGTCTTCAAAGCGATCAATCCTAGTTTGGATTGCAACAACCTGAAAATTGGTCAACCGGTGTGCTTACAGCCATGTCAAGATTATCATGTAGTTGCATCTGGGGAAAATTGCTGGGATATCAGGAGCAAAGCAGGCATTTCTCAGGCGCAGTGGGATGCGTTGAATCCTGCCTTGGACTGCAACACACTTCAAGTGGGTCAACCCATCTGTGTGCAAAATTGTCGTAAGTTCTCTGTTTGGTTTGATGCCTCTTGACTTTGAACCTCACCAGACAATCTGACTCGACAGTGAGGCAAACTAAATTGCAATCCGGGGGCAGTTGCTGGGCAATAACCCAGGATGCGAAAATATCACAAAGCGATCTTGACCGATTGAATCCGACACTGGACTGTGGTAAACTGCAAATTGGGCAACAGATGTGCACTGGCGCATGTGCGAATTACGAAAAGGTTGGCGGCGCAATGAATTCATGCTGGGCCATTCAAGATAAACACAAGTTGGGTAGCGTGGATAACTTGCTGAAGATGAACCCAGGTACGATGTAAAGTCTACTTTCCGTAATCCTCATAGTATCTGAATGTGCTCGTGTCTACAGGGTTGAACTGTAACACCTTGCAGGCAGGCGACCGTGTTTGCGTTAAGCTTGGTGCCCCCACTTCTCCTTTGATCTGGCCTCCACCGGCTGCTCCTGCACCGCCAAAGCCGACACAGCCGCCGCCTACATGCACAAAGACGTATGAAGTGGTGTCAGGGGACACCTGTGATTTGATTGCCGATAAAAACCAATTGTCTCGGACATTGTTCCAATCTATGAACGCAAATGTCGATTGCACAAAACTCTCAATTGGCCAAAAGCTCTGCGTTGGTAACAGGGTGTCGCATTGCCCCCAAGTATACGTTGCTGTAGAGGGCGATACATGCGCATCACTAGCTGCGAACTATGGTTTAACAGTGGACGAGTTTCAAAAGATCAATGCTGGATTAAATTGTAATGCACCGCTAGTAGGTGCCTCGGTAAGTCTACCGTCATAAATATTGCCCTGAAGAATGGTTCTTTTAATAATCTTTTGCCATCGCAGCTTTGTATGGGCAGCAAACCTGCTACATGCATCCAGTATGTGACGGTTAAACCTGGTGACACCTGTTACGCCCTACAAATGGCTGCCGGAATCACTGAAGAAGAATGGACCGCCCTCAACGGATTTGGCCCTGGTCCTAATCAGGTATGCGGTGCAAATCTTCAAGTTGGTACCCGTCTATGCGTGCGAGGTCCATACACGGGCTGCTCCGCCTTTGGACTTGCTGAGAGTGGAGAAACCTGCAAGTCTCTCACTGCAAAGATGAAGAAACGTTTGGCTGACTTCCAGCAAGCTAACACCTGGTTAGATTGCAATAGACCATTGGCGGTAGAGTCTACATCCATTGTTTTTGCTACAGATTGGATTTTATCTCACACTAAAATGATGATAGGAAGGAGAAAGATACTGCATCTCTTCGCGCATGACTGCCGGCTGCCAAAAAATGTACACCGTACAAGCAGGAGAAACATGCTCATCTATTTCTTCCGCCAATGGATTGACGGAGGATGAGTTGCTTCTTGCAAATAACGGGCTGCAATGCTCAGTGCTCCGTGAAGGCCAACGCATTTGTTTGGAAGTGCCTCCACCCTCTTGTGAAATCGAGATAACCTTGATGGGTCCCGCCAACAGCACCATCAGCTGCGACAATGCAGCCGCACAGTACAAGCTGACGCCCGATGCTTTCAGACGGCTGAATCCGCACATCACTTGCCAGAAACCACTTCCTATGATGACAAATGTCTGCATTCGTGCCGCTGAAGCAGCGTCAAGTCAAAACACTCAGCTTCTTTCGGAAACAATCAAAATTGCGGGAGCCGATGACCCAGAGGTTGCCCAGCTTGTTGCCCAATATCGTAATAATCCTTCAGATGGTATGATAAATCTTTTCGCTCATCACTATGCGTTAGCTGAGTCTTGACTTGGCAGCCAACTATTCGCTTCTCGGTCTCCGGTTGCTCAAACTCCTTGGGACGGCGAAGGGGCGTGAAACGCTGATTCAACTCGAAAGTGGTGATCCTTATTTCAAAGCGCTTGCAAAGAGTAAAGCCGCCCAGCGAGCCGAGTACTGCAAGCGATTTGAAAAAAATTCCGAACCAGAGCTCTCCAAGTGTTTCTGTGGAAGTGATCCTCTACTCTATTGGTAGGCTGCGTACAGACTCTGGCATTTTCTTCATGTGATGACTACTGACGTCTTGCCAGCATGTCAATTCTTCAGACCCGTATGAATGACGTACTCAAAGACGCTGCCACCGTCAAACTAATTCGGAAGGCATTCACTGAAGCCATAAAAAAGAATCTGACGCCGGAACGAATTCAGCAAGCTTCCTTGCAGCAAGGCTATGACATTCAAGCCTTTCAGCGGGACATCAAAGAGGCCACCAATGGGAGGAACGCAACAGCGTTGAACGCAAGAGCACCATCATTGCCAGGTGTAAAATGTGAGGCAGATGGTGGCATTTCCAAGCTTTTTGGAGCTTTTAGGGCTCTTCAGAAAGGAGGAAAGGCAGGATTAATGGATTGGGCGAAAGACCCAGGCACCGGAAGTCCGATCCCTGCCGATGCGTGCCTTCTTGCCCAGTACGTGTGCAGTGTTCTTTACGGTTACAAGAGTGTGTCTTGCTGAATGCTTCGCCGAAACTAGATGTTGCTGGCCGATGTGGGGAAATCTTGCTACCACTGGAGTGCAGTTTGGTCCTTGCTTTGGTGGTGGCATGTGCTTGGCGGACCTTGACACCAAGAATGCGTTTGGCTCCGAGTGTACCGAGGAAGGTTGCAAGTATGCTGGAAATGCCTTTACCGACGTGAGCGTCCGCGACTTGCATATCTCTCTATTTCTCAAGTTTTGGTATGTCTTGTTGCTTTCTAATGTTTTGGGACAAGTTAATCACTTACCTCTATCCCAGCTTTGAATTCAACGATCAAGTGAATAAATTATACAGTACACCAATAATAGGACATATCTTGGAAGAGATGAGATGTCTTTTGGAGATTTCGTTAAAACTCTTTGCGTTCAGGTAGGCATCCAGTTGGCATCTTCGTACTCTAGTCTTTATTGACGCTGCTTCCTAATATCCACCACACGATTGCCTCCAAAGAGGGGACGTACAATACGGGGCCAAACTGCAGCTGGTAAGCTCTATTCCATTGCCAGCGTTTGCGTCCGAGTACATTTTGAAATGGTCTTTTACAGGGGCCCTTGATTCTCGAAATACAAGGCAACACTCAGATATATCAGAGTGATCTGTTCTGTCAAGATCCCTGTGCACACGATTATTGTAGAGCAAAGAACGGAGATACGACGGGCAAAGTGAGTTATTATATGAGATACTTGCAGTGCTTAGCCTTCCGCTGACAATACAATATCTTAGCTGATGCTTAAAGTTGATTATATCGTCGGGTCGTCCACAGTGTTTACCAAGACACTTGGAGAGCTGGAGGAATGCAACCCAAAGGAGGAGAAGATATCTCAGTTAAATAGAAAAGTTCCCAATCCCGTTAAAGGTCGTGTTGTTGGCTCGTACTTTCCAAACTGGTAAGCCAAGATATGAACTTTATTCAATGGTTGATGCGAACACCACATCATGCCTAAACCATTTCGGTGTTAGGGTCGCATACCATGATGATCGCCTCCTTCCTCGACTTTTGGAACAAGCTCGACATTTAACTCACATATATGTGGGATTCCAGACCATCAGCTACAGCATTCAGTACGACTCTTATTATCTCGACTTTTCGGATCCATGGGGAGATCTGAACATGTGTCGTGGGCTCCCAGACGACGAATGCCACGCTTACAATGGTAACTATCTTAATAGTCATGTGAAATGAATACGGTGATTAAGTTGCCCATTGTGCCATCTTAGGACCAGAAGTCAACTTTGAGTCGCCAGGATGCATGACTGCTGACATCCCCGAATGCGCTCCAGGAGTTGTGGCGGTAGCGCCATACCTTGGGTATCGTAATCCTGACGGATCCTGTCCCAAACCACAGGGACCGGACACCTGCGCCAACAAAGCCGGAGTACCTGGCCTGAGAAAAGTACCATGCTATACAGTACTCGATGGGCCGTTCAGAATACCCAAGGCCAATGGAAAGCCGAGGATTTGCGGCCAGTTTCAATATTTACTCCAACAAGTGAAAATGTCAAATCCTGATGTTCGAGTGATCGTATCTATCGGTGGCTGGTATGACAGTCCGTACTGGAGTGTGGCTACAAGTTCAAAGTATATCGACCGCTTTGTTGAGTCAATTGGACGGGTATGTCTGCGTGGCAATCTGTCGCTATTAAGTGTCGTAAAGCTGTACTCAACAAGCGCCCGTTTCGCCTGATAGTGGACAGATGTGTTTGATTTCGATGGGGTTGACGTAGACTGGGAGTTTCCAGGGTTCGAACACGGCGGGCAACCTGTCTATCCCGCCACGTCCGCCCCTGGCAATGTGGAAGAGACCACCGATTGTAGCAAACAGCAATGCAATTATCCAGATCGTCTTCAGGACGGAGAGCGCTATGTGAATCTCTTGCGCAAGGTATATGCGAGGCTTAATGTAGAAAAGCAGCCACTCATGAACTTACACATGTCCGATCCACCCGCCAGCTTCGAGAAAGACTTTCAAGATCAGGACCTATGAAGAACGGTTTGACAATGAACAAGGTCCCATTCGAGATTTCCATCGCTCCTCCCGTTGGTTTTGACAAGGTTGAGAAAATGCACTTAGCGGAAATGTGTCAGAATTTGGACCACATCAACATGTACGTCTTATTGGATCAACAACAGGCGAACCGATCAGACTTGACATAACGTTTGCTATTTAGGATGGCCTACGATCTTCACGGCTCCTGGGACGAACTCACTAACCATCAGGCACACTTCCACGATCATACACCTAACGCAAAGGGTAAACAATATGAACTTGCGGGTGCCATTCAGGCCTTCCTAGACGGTGGTTGTTCACCCGATAAACTCGTGCTCGGTGTGCCATTCTACGGACGTGCCTACAAAAATGTTGATCCCGGACCGAATCCCTCTCGGCCAGGATTGTACCAACGGCATTCAGGGAACGCGTATAATGAACAAGGTATCTTATCGTTCCGTGAAATTACTCAGAACCCCGCCTGGAAGACGTTCTGGGATGATGACGCCAAGGCCAGCGCTGCTTACAACGCTCAGGACAGAACCTTTGTCACCTATGACTCTGTTCAAGCTGTTCAGTACAAAGTTGAAAAAATCAAAGAGATGGGGTTGAAAGGTGCCATGTACTGGCTCATGGGTCAGGATGACGAACAGAACACACTGCTAAGAACCCTCTCAGAGGGGTTGCGCAGATAATTGCTTTAACTTAGGGAATACCCTCATACATTACTGTCGAACGTTCTATTATATCTTAGACATCATAGAAATATAAATAGAGTCCTTGCTTAACAGATTGAAGATGAAAAACGTATATATTAATTCGGACTAGCATAGTCAGTATGCACCCAGTCTTTTTGAGTTCTTCGAAAGCTGAGGATTATTTTATGCTTTAAAAATGCAAACTTGATGCTGCAGGGGTTATCTCCTGTTCGAATGTATGCATGCAAAGTACATAATCTAGCAAACATCTGCCAACATCCAGCCATGCAACGTGGCACTGTACCACCGGTATTAAACTAGCAAGAAAGGACACAGCGGCGGTCTACCACAACGCGCAACAAATAAAATACGAAGTTGCCTACAGCACCCCATTAAAACTTGAGAAAAACGGGAGGGTAATGAGCTCTAGGGTTACTCTCTCCTCAGTAATTACATTCCCAACTTGAGGGCAATCCGTACTGAATACAGCAGATTAGATTGGGGGCTTTGTTCTCCTTGCTTAGATTGCACGCTACAATGGAGAAACCAAGCCAAGCAACCACATACTTCGTACCCAACATGAAGCAAATCGAAAATACCTTGCGTACATCAGGCGAACAAAATAAATGGCAGAACTGTATAACGAATGGGTGCTTTCACATCAACATTATCCCCAAAGCTTCAATGGAGAACGTGCGAGGACCGCAAAATATGCCGTTATATTCTTAATTTAAATGTATAATACAACTTGCGTAATAGACTCAGTGCATCATCTATAACCATGACCCCAGTTCAGAAGAAACAGACCCACGATGCGCGCATCGCCATCATATGAATAGGGTGGGCAAAAAGGATGTGTGTTGCCTTCGCTACACGTCAAGATTGAGGCTTGTGTGCTGTCCTTCCGTGTCATGCAACTGGTCTATGTTCAGCAAACAATCGTGTAATCCCGTTCTCCCTGTCTTTGAGCATAAGAGTCATCCCGCAGTTCTGGACGCTTCATCTAGCTCACCATTTTTGGAGGGACGCTTCTCAGTAAGCATTTTCCTTGACGGTCCTGTGAGCAGCCCTTCTGCAGTATAGGCAAATGAAACAATCATTTGCATCCTGTCGTTCATGTGAGCAAAGCTTGAACGACAGAATGCGAGCAAGGCCAGCGAATGGATATTTCCGTCAGTGTCAAGGCTTTTAAGAATTCTCTTGCAAAAATACTCGTTTGCCGGATGTAGCACCGAAAGTGGCGGCTTTGCGTCGAGGTGGTGGACTAGGAATCTCATTCTCCGTGCTCTCGCTTATTGTTTCAGGAGGCTTTCTACTAAACCAAGTGGCAACAGTCGTTGCGGACGGTAATATGTAGGATGTCAAATTTGAGAGAGATCGGCTCTTCGACAAGGTTTCAGGAGGGCGCTCGGAAGGGGTCGGAACCACGGGAGCGTGTGGCGGAAGTTGAGAGCTCTGATAGATGCTGTCATACATTTTGAGAGCATAGTCGTTAATTGTGGTCCGGAGAATGCAGATATCGTCCAGTAAAGTTTGCACAAGTTGCACTAGCGGAAGTAGCAGAATGATGTACAACTCGCTAAGAGATGGAAGACCAGCAGAGTGTTTCAGGACAGGGAATCGGAGTGGAAGCCCCTTGACGTCCATCTTGATGTTTTCGATTACGGAATTGGACAACTTTGACAATTCCCGCATATCAAAGCTCCTTCTGATTTTACGATTAAGGCACTGCGGATCTGTCGAGTTCAGCCGATTGCGAAGTTGACTGCCAATGCGCGTCAAGGTTTGCAGCTGCGAGTGAAGGGATGTTTGTAGAGACTCTGTGGTGCTTGGCACTTGGATATCGCTCGCTGCCGGCACGGCTGTTCCAGTTGCCCTGTCTTCAAGAGCAAAGTCATCATGCTGACGTGTCCTCTTAATTACGTTTTCCAATTCGCCAAAAACTGAGGTCATCGGGGACGACCCCGTTGAGACAATGGATGCACTGTCTTGCACGTGGGTTCGTAGCCGTTCTTGATCGAGCCGTGAGTCGTGAAGAAGTCTATTGGCCTCACTGATGTCGTTTTCTAGAATATAAATCCGCTCTTCTGCAGCCTTCAAGTCGCCTCTTAGATTGCGGTTTGCGGCTTGTAGCTCCTTTGCCAGAACTAACAGCATTTGAACATCCGTGTCGGCAGGCGGTTCATCTTTCGGATTTAAATTTATTTTTTGGTCTTTCCCCATATCCACTTCTTTACTACGCGGGACTTTTTCCCGCTGTGCCTGGATAGACTTTAGCTCAGAACGCGCTTTATTTCGCTCTCTGATTGCGATATCCGCTCCTTCCTTAGTTTTCGCAAGTTCTTGAGACAGCAAGTCCGCCTTCTCTTCAAGCTTTCCATTCAGGTCTTTCTCTCGCTTCAAGAGTTTCTGCAGATTCTCAATCTGTTTATCTTTGCGCTCATTGTCGCAATCGGCACGTGAAACTGCCTCCTCCAAAATTCTCAGAGCGCTTTCCGTTTCGCTTAGCTTTCTACTCTTCTCCGTGTCTGCTTTCCGAGCTTCGTACAACTTGAAGCCAGTCCATGGTCACCAAAAGTCCCAGCAGTATGGGCGATTGTTTTCTTACCTGAAGCTCCAGTTCTTCTTTGTCGACTTCCAGCTCCCTGACCTTGGTCAACAGAGTTAAGCCCAACTCTAAAGTAATTTTGAGGTGAGTCGGAGAGGGGGACAAGGTTTCTGCGAACTTGGGAACCAACCTGCTGCAACTTTTATTTCCTCATCCTTGTCCCTTAACAGTGAAGTGATCTTGTGATAGACCTGTCCGCACGAGCACGAGTCTGAAGAGGGAGAGTCTGAGAGTAGCGGCAACTCTGCCTCTAAGGTCGAGTGGCTCAATGTCAAAAGCTGTGAGTGCACATTGTGATGTGACATTCCAATCAACTGGTGATCGGCGCCGAAAGCCGCAGACCGCTTGGGTTGTTGCTGACTGCAGGTTCGTGACCAGGTCACGGGTATCCATTTTAGGTTATATTGCATTCAAAACTGTGCCACTGACGCGGACGCGATGTCTAATATGTTGGTAAAAGGCCGACTCTTCACCAGGAAATCTTCTGGAGGTTATCACATTGCAGGAATGGCGGAGAAGGAAATAGGTAAGGAACTCGGTGGTGGCTGCGCTACCCAGCCGCTTACGGATCCTTCCACCCTTGTAGAATTATTAGAAACGGTGGAGTTACGCTTTGCCTTGGCTGACACAAATGAACGATTTGAGAAATCTCTTGGTCATTTTCTTGTCCCTGTGCTTGCGAAGTTAGACAGTCCACATGAAGCAGTTCGTGCCAAGGTACGAAAGTGCTTTAAAAACGCGCAAAAATGTATCCGCTCTAATCATAAACGGAGCAGGTCATGGGTATTTGCAGCCATGTCAGCAAACGTTTGAAGGCAGACTTGGCATTGAAGTTGCCCCTTGCTGCCCTCTTGGATCTCTTTGGAGTGGAAACGACCTCTCAGCTTGTACGAAATTTTATTCTCATCTATCTAGAGATGGGTTTCCATCGGATTGGACTGGAGGAGCAAATCAAACTACTTCCTGGACTGCTGCGGGGATTGGCAGATCGCCTTCCAGCCCAGCAAACAATCTTATTTCAGATTGCCCTTCCGGTACTATGTCCATTATTTCTATGCCTTGCGTTAACCTGAAGCAAAATCTTAATGCCCTTAATGGTTAGGTGCTCGCTGATTTGAATCCTGACCGCCTGAGCTTGCCACATGGCATCAATGATGACCCATTCCACTGGAGAGAACGCCCAGCGGATCTGAAGTTTTTGCTTGATAAATTTCTAGATCTTGCGCTCTATACAATCCCAGCCGCTGGAAATAAGTTGAGCACGGCAGATTTGTAATTTGCTCTGAAGATGCACTTAATGTATCTCATCTACTAGACCTGGGGAATCCAATAACGAGCCCTTCATACCACCTAGTCTCAGCAAAGAGGCAATTTTGTTTCTTACAAACAATGGGAAAGCATTGTGGGTTCGGAATGCAACGGAGCTGCGGCATCTGAAGCTCGGTATTGCACGGCTGTTATCAAAGTCCTCCTTGATTCAAGAACAAGACTTTGTTTTGGAAAAGTTCAAAGTATATGTTGCGCTAGCCAGTGACAGCAATCATGAAATCGTTGACGCTGGAGAGGATGGTCTGAGGCGGCAATCGAAGCCAAATATGGAAGATGAACAGGTATGTTACATTACAGCCTTACTCTTCAATTCCCCCCTCACCAATCCATTTGAATCATAGGTGGTTCAGGCACTATATTTCTTATATCAAGGGACGGGCCAAATCTCCAACTTAAGCCGGATCCGAAGTCCGGGATCAGTAACACTAAAAAATAAGGTACTGGGGTTTCTTTTGCAGTCGGCTCGTGCCACGAATAAATTCCCGCACGCACTGCAAGTGAGCTTTGATGCTATCTATGGTTAGGGCACGACCTTTTTTTTTTGTTGTTCGCTGCTGGAAACACGCTCTGACTTCACGTTGCCAACGTACCAGGGGATACAACAACGCCCAGATTACGGGCCTCAGGAATGTCTTTTGTGCAGTGGATTGCGCGTATGGCGAGTGCAGAGACCATCAAGTCTGTCGCTCCAGTCTTGCTGTCCGGAGTCTTACGTTTCATCAGCGAGCAAGAACCTGCACCTGGGAATGAATCAGAAAGTGGACTGCGAGGCTTCGCGTATGAAGCTGTTGGTTTACTATCAAAGAGAGGTATTGGCACTTCAAAGGTGCAGGAAACCCTGGATATTTAAGTTAATGTGCGCGCGCTGGAACAGCTCCGGAATGTTTCGATACATCGATTTTATTCGACTTCTTCAAGGCGCTTTCAACGGAGCCAAGGAACGTCCGAATTTCTATTCAGGACGCATTGTCTAATATGGCTCATGCATACAAAGGACTGGCAGCTGGACAAGAGCGTCAAGAACTCGAGAGGCTTCTTCTGGAAAATATCGATAAGGTACCATTTCCTCACCTTGAAAGCGATGTATGGTCAAGGTGGATGTAAATCTCAGTGCATGTTTTGCAGAGTGAACCTCAAGCACGTTATGTAGCGCTGAAGTACGCAACCGTGGTCTTTCCGCCTTCGTACCCCCTCCGCCAATACCTATGTCTCATTGGGGCCTCTGATCAAAAACCTGATGTCCGGGATGTGGCGACGCGCGGTTTGTCTCTCCCGAATCCGCCGGTTCAAGGGCAAGACCTTGCAGAGTGGCAACTCCAATTGCCAAAATTTGACGAAATGATGTCGCTTTTGTTACAAAAATCTCGGGAGACTCGGCTTAAGGCGGTGAAACCTCCAGGCTCGCAATGGGTTGGATCTTTCACTGCTGATACGTACACAGATGCACTGAAGTATCTAAGGAAATTGCTGATTATTCATGCAGACCCCAGTGCCAGTTATGATGACGGGGACGATCTCACCTCGCTTGCGGGCACGACGAGAACTGCGCTTAAAAATGTCCTGCAAACAGCTTACAATAATGAGGACCGTCGAAGGCCACTTCAAATGTTCCTTGAATTTATTGAATTTGCACTGAAATCTGAAAGTTCAGGTACGGTAACGGCTTGAATAGCAATATTGTGCAATACGATTATTTACCCCCAGCAGATGCCTTACTGCAGTCTGTGGCTGCATCTTGTCTGTTCGAGTTGGTGTCATTATGTCCATCGGAGTTATCGACATCGTATAGTGACAGAATTGACTGGCTCAAGGTATGTGGGCGCTCTCTCGTACCATTGGTGTAATAAAAATGCTCATACAACTTTTTTAGTCCTTTTTGACATCTTCGAGATCGGAGACTCGCGCTTCAATGGCTAATATTCTTGCCATCGTTGCAACCAGTGGTCTTGAAAACAAAGATAGAAGTGAAAGGATTGTCAATCTTATTCAAGAAATTTTGTCGGTGTCCGATTCTTCCGCACAGGTGGCCCCGTTGCTTTGCGTATGACCTTCTTTCACCTGCCTCCTATTTACGTTTCATGGCAGACGTCCTTCGAAAATCGCAATGGCGCGACCCTTGCTCTCGGTTCCATCGCGGGTCGATTATTATATCGCTACAAGGAACCCGCTGCCTACGTACCGCCTGCAATACTATCACTTATGGTCCAGAGGATCGGACAGTTCCTTGAAGCCGATTCGAGTCTGGAGGTTATCGGAGCAGCCCAAGCACTAGCTGAATGTGGGAGATATGCGCCTCTACCTGTGGACTCCAAAACTTCAACAGATTTCATTGACAGAATGGTTTCAATTGCAAAGAAGACCAAGGAAGCCAAGGTAGTGGATGCTTTCGACACAGTATATGGCTACTATATGACCTTTAAGCTTGTTCTCTCATTTCAGGTTCAGGAACAGATCATTGCATCTCTTGGTCACCTTGCCATAGGGGACCCAGCTCTGGGAGCTCGTATTCTAGAATATTTCTTCACGTTGTCAGCCACCATTACAAAACAGGTGGAGATCCACTTTACCATAGGGGAGGCAGTGACTGCCGCCGCCTGCGGTTTCACTGCAACGCACATGGAGCGCTATCTAGACATCGCTGATGTTAGCGAATTGTCCGTTCCGACACCTCCTACCACATTAGCGACGCAGATACTGGACCGCATATTGGACGACATCAAGCCAGGGAGCAGACCGATCGTCAGGAAAAATGTGGCCATTTGGCTTCTGTGTTTTGTCAAATATGGCGGACAGCACTCCATCGTAACTGTACGCAATTCACATATTTCGTCGGGCTACGTCTTCGCGACTCATCTTGTACTCTTCTTCTCAGTCAAACGTGGTCAGAATACAAAACGCTTTCACAAGCTTACTGAGTGACAGAGATGGTATGTTTTACTAGTTCGACGCTCATTTACTTATCATCGCTAACGTCTCGGTCATAAAGATTTTACGCAAGAAATAGCCTCAAAAGGCATGGGACTGGTTTTTGAACTTGGCGATGGGAGTGTCCGTTCCGAACTTGTTACATCGCTCGTTGGTACATTAACAGAAGGACGGAAGATCACCCCGCAAAGCGTGTCCGGCGAAACTCAAATCTTTTCGGAAAATGCACTGGGATCCGCACCTGATGGAGAGAAATTAAGCGGAACTTACCAATCCATTCTCTCCTTGGCGTCCGATCTCAATCAACCCGATCTTGTTTATCGCTTCATGTCGTTGGCTTCGCATAATGCCATCTGGACTTCGCGACGAGGCGCTAGTTTAGGTTTCTCGGCTATTGCAGCCCAAGCAACTGCGGAGCTGCAACCACATTTGCCTCAGATGGTGCCAAAACTGTACAGATTTCAATTTGACCCCAATCCAAAAGTTGCTGAGAGCATGCAGAATATTTGGAAGAGTTTAATTAAGGAGCCGAAGAAGGTGCTTGATGAGTACTTTGCACTCATTATGCAAGATCTGCTGAAGAATCTAGGGGAACGTCAGTGGCGCACGAGAGAAGCTAGGTACGCCAACTTTGTTGTTAGAATGGTTACGCAACTTTATCTGACTTTTCTCTAGCTGCTTGGCACTAGCTGACTTGATTCAAGGGAAGACCATGGAGCAACTGCGGCCTTATCTGGAGGACATGTGGACTATGTGTTTTCGCGTCCTCGATGATATCAAAGAAAGTGTACGCATTGCTGCGTTCAAAACATGCAAAACCCTGACCAACATCACGGTTCGCTATTGTGACCCGTCGGTGGTGTCACTATCAGAAGGGTCCAAGATAACTGCAATCATTGTCCCCTTTTTCTTGGTAGGCCCAACATGTAGCTGTGAATAAGTGCACTTCACTAATCCGCTGCCGTTCAGAGTAAAGGTCTTGGGTCAATGGCGGAGGATGTGCGAAATCATTCTTTGGCGACATTGCTGAAGATTTGTAGCAAAGGAGGCGCTCTACTGAAGCCGCATCTGGCCGACCTCATTGGAACTCTTTTAGAGTCTCTGAGTAGCCTTGAGCCACAGGTTTTGAGTGAGTTTCAGCACATATTTGTTCACTCAACAGGAATAACACTTACAATTTGTCCTTGACGATAGACTACCTTACATTTCATACCGATAAATACAGCATATCTGCTGAGCAGCTGGAAAGCTCCCGTCTAAGCGCGACAAAAATGTCACCCATCATGGATGCCATCTCACGTCTTGTCGATCAGATAGACGAAGCCACCTTGCCAGCAATTGTTCCCCGCTTGAATACTTTGATCCGGAAAGGTGTTGGGTTGCCCACGAAAGCGGGATGTGCACGGTTTGTATATTCCCTGGTACAGAGGGTGCCCAGCGAGTTAAAGCCGTATGCGGACGGGTACGTCAGACAGATTCTCTCAGTTTGAACCAGTTACTACAGTATTTACTGATAGCGATTTTGCATGTAGGATCCTTCAGTCGCTAAAAAGCGCCGTTCACGACCGTTCCCCAGTAATACGAAAAGCCTTTGCGGGTGCGATCGGCTACATAGCACGATTGGCATCTGATAAAGCCCTGGTAAAGTTGTTGGAGGATCTGGAAAAGGCTTACTTTGACAGCGAAGATGAGGAGATTGCATCCATAGCGGGCATCACTTTGCTGGAAATTTCTCGTCGCGCACCGGAAAGACTGAAAGATTTCCAACAGTACGTCCTTCCCGTGGCGTATCTTGGTGCCCGTGACCCGCGAGAATCTATCAAAGTAGTGTGGGTATCAGTGTGGGAGGAGATGACAGGAGGATCATCCGGAGCGGTCCGGGTTTGGATGCTGGAGATGCTATCGAAGATGAAGATCTTGATGGCAACTACCTCGTCTTGGGGTGTCAAAAAGCAAGTGGCTCAAGCGATAAGCGATATGTCCAAGGTGTTAGGAACTGCTTTCGGGACGCAAACCGGAGTTGCAATTCAGATGTTGATCGATGCTTTGGCGGGACGAACATGGGAGGGAAAAGAGGTTGTTATCAGCGCGCTAGCAACTACGACCGTCGAATGCCGTGAATGGATTTTGAATCCGGAAAACGCCGGGATGGCCGAGACAATTGTTAACGTCATGATTCGCGAAGCAAAGAAGAACAACAAAGCCTACAAACGCCATAGTATGGAGGCTATGGGTACGGCATTAAATTCACTACAAATTGACAGATTCGAAGAGGTTCAAGAGCATCTCGTCGATCTTTGTACGGACGAACAGGATGAAATGGACGTTGATGAGCCCCATGCAAAACCGCTGGGGCTGGCAATTAAAGCGGTCGCTTTCAAAGCTCTTGGATTATCTTGGCCACGCAACGCACAGACGCAGGGTACGTCTGCACTCAAGGGGAAGTTACAATGATGAAGCGCTAACATAAGATTTTAGTCAAATATGCGAAAACCTTGGGCACTTTGCTCGCCAGAAACCTCGATGGCAACGTGTGGAATGTGCGATTAGCAGTATTGGAGGCGATGGACTTGTATTTCGAGAAACTGGATGTTGAGGCATCAAGCTCGGTTCTAGATAGCGAGATTATTTCAGATTTCCTCCGTAGCTTATTTACGTCCCTGGAAGATACAAAGGTAAACTTGCTGTTACGTCCTGGGTCAAAATTATCCTCGTTGCTGACGTCTCTTTATTAGTACACGGCAGTACGAGAAGCCAGTGCCAAAGTGCTGAAGAAGCTCGTCCAGCGTCTAAGAAGTCGTTTCGATGAGCATCTCCTGAATCAGTTGCTTGCTGGTTTATCCACTGCGATATCAAGGGAAACCCAACCTATTATAGCACATATCCTTAAAGAGGTGCAAGCGAGTGCTAAGGGATGAAATCTAACATTGTAATAAATCATTGCTAAGACTTGGAAGTTTAATATTGCCATAAATCAATGTGTACAAGAAGCAACAGCTTGGAACTAGTTACGAAAAGAACCAGGACCATTGGACCACTGGCTCAACAAGGCAAACAGGGGCTATCGCACATTGGCCTTCCCACTAGCGGAGCTGCTTACACCAGTAATTTGGACAATCTAACATGCAGCCCACTACAGCCCACCGCTACCTCCACGTTCACATCAGTCGGTGAACAACCTTTTGGTCAGCATGGATTGAGACGATCTGTAGCCAGGATGAAGGCGCGCCACGTTGTTAATTTGATCGGCTTACGGAATCTGCTTGAAGTTCTCTCCAAGCAGCCGAATAGAATGCATTGCGTTCCTACTTGCATACATCAAGCCGATGACGGGAACCCGAAATGTTACTTGTCACGTTGGTGAAATCGACGGTCCCAAGAGGGCACTAATACATGTTGACTCCCACGATGGTGTGCACTCTACGGAGATTGTCCTGGTGGGATCGAGAAGCGAGGGGAAGTACTGGTGTGTTGAGTCTGTTTGTCCCCACAGCTCAGGTAGCCTTCATAACACACAAAGCAATATGATGATATTTCCGCTAAAGCATCCTTTTGTAGGACCTTTGCATTTGGGGGACTTGGAAGACCTCGCCACGGACCCTTCTATCATATGCCCCTGGCATGCCTATCGCTTCTCTCTCACAACGGGAGTCAGCCCGCAGTGTGAATTGCACAAAGCTGGGACACTTCCTGTAGTGGTTGAAGGGGATGAAATCGTACTGTACCTGGATCAAGGGAGCAAGGTCCGATCCGTAAAACTTTTTGAAGGTAGTCATACTGGGCTAGAAATAAGAAACCCTTCTTCTGACGCTAAGATAATTAGTCCCAAGCAAGGATAAGGAACGGCGAAGGCCACAAGCCCCTGCTCTAAAAAATGTCCAAACAAGCCGAACTCTGGTGGATTGGGCAATAACAATCTTGGAAACGCCGGATCCAGCGGAGAAGGTGCGACTGACTCACAACGTTGCGGACCTATGGAAGGCAAATGCGATTTTAGAAATTGGTACAGGAACGCCTCCCGAGCGTCCCGCCAGGGAAGAGTATCTAACCGAAGTGCTACCCGGCAAGACTCGTCGGTTAGGTAAGGGTGGCTCTGTCGAAAGTCGGGTGGCCATTTTGCATGCACTCGCAAACGTAGAGCAGTGGGCAATAGACCTTGCCTGGGACATTATTGCACGGTTTGCTGGTTACAAAACACCCACGGGTGCCGACTTGCCGAGAGATTTCTTCACAGATTTTATCAAAGTTGCGTCTGATGAGGCCAAACATTTTACGTATTTGAATGAGCGACTCGTTGCGCTTGGCTCGCGCTTTGGTGCATTGTCGGTGCATGGCGGATTATGGGACTCTGCAATGGATACCCAACACGATATTGGCTGTCGTCTGGCCATCGTTCATATGGTTCATGAAGCGCGCGGGCTTGATGTAAATCCACAGACAATAGCAAAGTTTGCAAAAGCTGGTGATGAGGAATCAGTTGCAAAATTGGAAATTATCCACTCGGTACGATCTTGTGATATCCCTTGAGCAATGTCGACATGTCTGATACTGTAATCGCGCGAAACAGGACGAAATCACACATGGTAAGCGCTGATCTGTTTGCGGTAGATATCCGTACAAGTCATAATGGCCCGTCGAAATTGCCCTCGGTACAGTGGCTGCAGGTCAGCGATGGTTCTCCTGGTTTACATCTGAAAACGGCCTGGACCGCTACATACATTTCCATGCGATCGTAAGAAAATATTTCCGTGGCTTGTTAAAGCCGCCATTTAATGAAGGTAAGACATATCCATATGGTACCATCCACGGCAGACACTTAGCGCTTGCTTCCAGAGGACAGACTGCGTGCCGGATTGGATCCTCAATATTATAAACCGCTCTCAGAGCGGCCAATCTAATACATTTTCAAATAAGACTGCCGCTTTCCTTCACCCAATCTGAGCAAGTCTGCCATCGCCATGCATCAAAGGTGTAACCTTCGTCCGTTCTTTTAAAAACTGTGTTGTTTGCTGCATGCGCTCTTGTATACTGCGGATGTACTGCTCAGCAGATTTCTGTATATTTATTGAAATACTTGAGCTGCGACTCGGCGATGCACAGATTTGAAGAAGATGGAAGACATACCACATGCACAGGTGGAGCATTCACTGACTGAGAAAGAGCCGACCGCACTTCGGTTTGGGGTTGATGCATTTCTATGGCTCTCCCGTTGTTGACTAGCGTAGATGTCAGAGTTACACTCTGGTGGTTCATCGCGCAAGTTAGCAATATAACGTGAAGTGTCCCATGTATACCCAATCATTGCTATCTGATCCTACCTGTTGGCGTGAAGATGAAGTGGTTGAAGTATCGGTCACCGCCTTATCGCTACAGCCATTCCTTTCCTGTGATGCAATTCCCACATGAATTACTTTGCGAATTTCAGAGGATTTGAAAATACTCACCATCCCATGGACTGACGATGAATGAAGGTCCCGTCGTTCATCCTCCACAGGTGCAGAGTTTCCTTGAGGTTGCTGATGCCCGACTGTGTCGCCCATTTCCTTTGAAGCCATCTTGTGAGCGCTCTTCCAGAAGGTAGAGGTTAAGATCACATACCACTGCTCTTTTCGACTCGACACCATTTGTGAGATTGTGCGTTTCTAAGGCGCTGACACGCGTCGTCAACTCTTTGAGCTGTGAGCCCATGCTTGACTCCAGGGTTTCCAGACGATTGCGAAGATGTCTCAGCTCCTGAACCATTGATTCAGCTCAAATTTCATAATTACTGTGCCATGTTTGCGGCGCATGAGCATACTTACCTCCTCTTTAGCAGCGAATAGTCTCATAAAGTTATCGAAAAGAGCGTGAACCTCAAGATGCTGCGGGATGGCGGCTTGTGGCTGTATTGGAGATGCATTCGCTGGGGGTGCTGTTGGTGCCACCCACGATCGTGTGAGAAACGGGAAGTCTGACGAAAGTCCCCCAAGACGGCCACCCTGGTCTTGACTGATAGTCATGCTCTGCGGCATTGCGACTGTGGTTTGGTGTGGCCTTTCCGCAGTATCTTCATCAATGCGAGTGTCTTGACGAAGTGGCTCTTTAGGATCCAGGTATTTTGGCGAGTGGAGACTGCGAGCGGATGCGTCTGTTAGGAAAGTATCATCGAATCCAGATTTGGGAATAGGCGTGGCAATCTTGAGAAATGATTGTTGAGATTGATAGCTGGTGTCTGTGTATTGAGGAGCACTTTCAGGAGGAGCTGCGGGGGCGGGTGGCTCGGCGGGTTCATATATCGTGCTTCCTTCGGGCTGCCGCAGCCCTTCACCACGGCCTGTGCCCGCCGTTTGTTTAACAGATAGCTCTGTCGAATCCTCTCTCGTGCCCGTATATTGGTATTGCAGGTGATGACGCTGGACTTGTGGAGGGGCGTTTACAGATGTACTGGACAAAAGACTAGTTTCAAATGCAATCTGTCGTTCTCGGGTCGCAAGCGTGGTCGTATCCGATTGCAGTTGAGATCTTCTTTCAGAGAGAATATCTGGATCGTCCTTCAAAATCCTGTATGTGGCCCCACCAGTGAGATCTTCTGAGTTCAGTTGTGAATCATCTTCGTGGTACTGATGGTGATAAGAATCATCGGTGTTGCGGAACGGTAAGGTCGGCTCTGGAATGTCTGTTAAGAGACGATAGAACAGATTAGTACAAAGTATTCAACGGAACTGAATGCAGAATTTTGATTGTTACCTCGTTGCTTGCCATGACCTTTGCGAGGACTCCGCCCCGCTGAATTCCGTGACTGCCGGAAAGCGGATCCTCTTTCTGGGGAGTATTGGTCTCCAACAATTGCAACATTGTTTGGCAAGATCTTGTGGGATGGTGGAGGCCGCCCGTATGATTGCGCTGCAAGTAGTCCTTGTGGAGCTATAAAGTTATCGCTCGAATGAAGACCCTCTTTGCTGCTAGAGGATGGCTTCGATTGATTATGTGTGGGGAATATGTCCATCCGTTTCCGAGCTTCGACGTCTCGATTTTCCTTGCTATCTTCAATTTTTTGTTTCTTTGCTATGTTTCTGGCCAGATTTACGTGCAGCGTCTTTGACAATCGAATCAGATCACCGACAAAGATGAGTTTTCTCTCCGCAAACCCCATCGAGAAGAACTGTTCTCGTGTTATCTGAGGCCGATATCCAAATTCATCCCTGAGAAGACGGTAGACGGACTCCATGAAGCGTGCATCTTTTTTGCCATACAGCTCGTAATTCTTTGCTGCAAAATGACGGGCGAGGATATGGGAGTAATCGAGCAGTATAAAGTGGATGACGGGAAGAAATGCAGCAGGATCGCCTTTACTTGCTCTGCATGAACAGAGAATGCGATTTTTCAGTGAATGTGTCCGCCGCCCAAAATGGACAAATAAACTGATCTCACCAAAGATCCTCGTACGTACCCATATACATCAAAAGGACCTGCGTACCGAATGTGCCGTAATTCTGCTTGGGTTTTCAGAAGGTTATTTCGCAAGTCTCCGGTTTTTGACATGTGAGGGACTGTTGCGTTGGTTGTGCTCCAAGGTAAATTAGGGATGGTTTTCTGAGATTGGCAGCGCGTTCAAGCCAGCGTAAAAAGTCGGACGCGTCGCAGGGCTTGAAACAACCTGCCCACGAGCTAGGCGGACATTCCACCGACTTGCATGAAAATGAACAAGCATGACAGTGTCTTGTCGGGCGAACCTAGGTCAAATCATCAATAGACGCCTTGCACGCTTGCCATAGCGCTTGAGGGGCAGGGACCAATATATCTTCCATGTCCTTCGTTTATAGCTTAGAAGACTAAGCCAGTTACTCGTTCTCGTGTAAGATGTACAAGACTTATATATTCTCCAGTAGTCTTGTGTTGCCTTTTCCACTTTCAATCCGCTAATGGCGGGTGCTGAATTCTCTCCATTTGCGCTGTTATTACTCGTGGCGATAACAGTCATTTGTAAATGTCTTGTTGGCGGCTTTCCATAAAAGGCTTGTGGGGAACGCGCAGACCCAAAATCATGGATGACTCATAGGAAGCCAGTGACCTTCATGGGGGGCCTCCGGCAGAACTTGTTGTTGTTGGCATGATCTCTTTTTTCTGCTCGCCTTTTGCAAGCTGTCGCAACCCACAAGACCAAAAAACTACCACCGTCCTTCCAGAACTCATCCAGAATGTATGTATACAAGTCTCATTCAGTCTCTATGCGCTGTATCTTACCAATAACCGTTCAAAGATGACCACCTTTGAGAAACTTTCCAAATATGTGGATGAGAACCAGAAATTCTACATTGAGCGTCTCGCTGAAGTAGTTGCCATTCCGAGTGTCAGTGGTGAAGCCGCACGACGACCAGAAGTCCACCGGATGGGTCAGGTACAATAATATTCTTTGCACACATCAACAGGCTGATGCTGATATCTTGTTCTCAGTGGCTCGTTTCGGAGCTGAAACGTCTTGGAGCGAGGTATAAAATCTTTGAGCCACGTTGAGCTCGATTCCAATGTTGCGTCTCTTGATCATAATCTTACCATGTCCTGGCAGTGTCAACATCCACAATCCGGGGAAACAAACATTGGAAGGCAAAGAGCTCGAACTTCCTCCAATTGTTCTCGGGCAATATGGATCCGATCCCAACAAGAAAACTGTGCTTGTTTACGGTAGCTTACTGAATTATTGCCATTGCGTCTCAACCTACTGCTTACGGGGTCAATATTTTTAACCCATCAGGTCATTACGATGTCCAACCTGCCTTCAAGGAGGACGGGTAAGCACACTTACAGTTTCTAGTAGTTTACTCTCGTTATTGACTCTCTGATCTTCTGCCAGATGGGCCACTGACCCTTGGACATTGGTGGAGGACGAAAAGGGCCGTTTGATCGGGCGCGGATCAACAGATGACAAGGGTCTGTTTACGTTGTTGCCGTTGCTGTAAAAATGTTCCTCTGCTAATATATAGCACAGCACCGGTCATCTCTTGGTTGTGGGTCATCGAAGCACACCAGAAACTCGGACTCGAGATGCCCGGTAAGCTTGTAGCTTCTACCGGCTCGTCCCTGGGATTCTATTAAACCTTGTCTATCGTCCCGGTAGTTAATCTGAAGATGTGTTTTGAAGGAATGGAAGGTATGTGGTAGAATATTTCAATGTGGAATGTATATTGCGAAGCTAACATCCGCTGTAGAGTCTGGAAGCGAAGGCTTGGACGAGTTCATTTACAAGGAAGCCAAGGGCGAGTTCTTTGGAGATGTGGACTGCGTCTGTATCAGTGACAACTGTAAGGAATTTCATCTTGTCCAGGTTACCGTCATCAGAGTTAAATGTTTTTTTTTTTTTGTGTAGACTGGCTGGGTTCCAACAAACCTTGCCTCACCTATGGGCTCCGAGGCATATCT